TAATATCCCTTTTTTCTATACGTATAATAGGTAACCGAAGTTAGGTCCCTATTTCCGTAGAACTAACGATAGGATAAGATAGGAGTATTTCGATTAGGGTTTATAGTCTCTCGTCTATAGAAAGAGGGTCGGTACTTCTTAGTATTTTCCTATTATTCCTTTTAGTCCTAGTCTTCCCGGTATCGCTTCTTCGGATTTATTCTAGATAGGAAGGGATTCCGATATCCTATACCTCGACTATCCTATATATAGATCGTGGCCGAAACTATATCGGTACGATTCTCTAGGAGGTTGTTCTAGTATAGTACTTTAAGTTTATTTTTAAGGACTAGGCGTAGTTTTACGTAGTAGCTAAGAGTACACTCTTTCTCCTAAATATTTATATAGTTTTCGATAGATTAGAGGTAGTTATAAAACGCGCGTAGGTCTTAGTCCTCGAGCTAGTAAGCGCTATAGTATTTTTCCGTAATATTAGCCTCCGTAAATCGACCTCCTCGGATAAATTCGAGTATCTAGTTAACGAAATTATCCTAGATAGGCTATTAGGCTATAAACTCGGTCTTTTTATAATTCGTCTACTAGGTCCGTTAGATCGGTTCTAATATAAAGAATCTAATAGGAATCTTATATAAATTACTTACGTATCAGTCGGGACTAGCTTCGAAGATATATTCTAATTTATCGAGCTACTAGATATATTACTCTAGGGTTAAGGTAGAGCTTAAGCGGTATAAGATATTATTAATTTTAATCTCTACGCCTCGGGATCGATAGGGAAGAGGAGGCACGGATTAAGATTCGGGGGTATCTCGTCGCCGAATCGTAGCTTTATATTCGAGTTACTAGATCCGCGCTAGGAGGCGATCGAGGGTATTTTATTCGTTTAACTTAGCCTATTTAGGAGATCGTACCTCGAAACTAGATCTATCTTCTAGGTCCCGAGGGATTAGGCTAAGTTTACTTAAGGATTACCTAAGCCCCTTACTAACTCGTCGGGATCGTTCCGCTACCGTAAGACGGGCGGATCGTTAATAGGTCGTCGGTATAGATATTTCTTCTCTAGGTAGCTAAATAGGAAGATTTAGTAATTATTAGGGGGTCTATATCGTAGGACAGAGAACCTATTAGCTAGGCAGAGAGTCTAAGTCTATAGTTATAATTTTCAAAGACTAAATCTTAGGGTATAGTAGACTTCACTAGTTCACACAATATATATATAGGGGTTCCGTATACCGAGTCCCTATAGCCCCACACAGAGCCTTTAGGGTTATTACCCTAAGGCGACGCGGGGTCGATTCGATCGTAAATCGTCCTAAGTCACCACGCATGACTACGCCGTGACATTCTTAGTATAATAATTAAGAAGTATTATTCTATTCCTAAGAATAACTACTATACTAGTAGTATTCCTTACTATAGAAGATCCTAGAGACTAGATCTATACTATTATCTCTAATATAAACTAGTAGGAGAAAGCTATCTTCGTAATACTCTATATACTATATTCTATATCCCTAAGCTATAACTAAGGAAGATAACTTATATAGAACTTCTCTAAAATATTATTCGAAGTATTATTAGGAGGATATAGCTTCCTAATAGTCGCCTAGTAATAGGCCTCTATAAACTTATAATAGTTTCTAGTAGCCTCTATAACCGACTTCTTATTCTATATATCTATAGGCTAGAATAGCTATTAATACTTAATTTCTATCTACTTAAAAATACTAGCTAGATTAGTAGCTATATTATATATTATCTATAGTAAGATACCTAGCTAATAAATATAATTAGCTATCTAGTTAGTATCTATATTTAGCTCCTAGAGATAAGCTATCTAATATAGGAGTATCCCGAGATTATATATATTCCTAGCTATTACTATAAGTATCTAGAAGACCTCTATTAGTAGGACTCTATAAGAAGGATATAAGGAATAAACTTATAAGGGAATAGCTACTACTATATCTATAGTACTACTAGTAGAAAACTAAGATCTTTATATTAAATATATAATTAATCTCGAATAAAGTAGTAGGGATTATAGATACTATAGGAGCTAGAGTACTAGTATACTTCTTTATAGTAGTTCTTAGATATAGAATATACTAGAAGAGCTAAATCGATAATAGTATCTATATAGCTAATAGTCTTAGCTACGCTATAGAAGCGATCTTCCGAATCCTACTAGTAGCTATCTTTCTTACTATCTTTTTTACGCTACTAGTAGTAATCTTTCTTAGTACTATCTTCTTTATAGCTACTTTCCTTAATACTATCTTTTACGCTATACTATCTATTAGAGGATAGATAGCTATCTATATAGTTATATATTTTAATCGAGTTATAGTAGTAGTCCTAGCTAGTACTCTTAGAGCTATAGGAGATAGTAATAAGAAGGAGTAAGAAAGAAGAGAAAGAAGGACTCGAGGAAGTATATAGAAGAAAAATCTCTATCTCTCCTATAGTAGTCTCTATAGACTATCTATTAGATAAGAATAAAGAAAACCTAGTCTTCGTAGATCTAGTCTATCTACTAGGATCTAGTATTCCTAGAGAAGAGAATAGTTATAAGAGGACTTCCTTTATTAAAGTATCCTATTAGATAATCTATAGCCTAGTAATTATTAGGTAATCTATAACCTATAATCCTAGTCTAGCTATATAATAGTTAGATATTAGGCCCTCCCGTAGCTTCTAGGAAGCTAGGCTCCCGGGCCCTCTTAGCCTAGCCTCGGATCCCTATTATCCTATATATTCTAACCCGAAGGATTATAACCTTTATAGTAGCTCTGTCCTACCTCTTCGGGTAGCCGATCGATCGATCGATCGATAGAAGAGGGAGTTAAGAGTAATCCCCTCGAGAGTATAGAGAGAGAGGACTATAAGATAGATACTAGAGAAGGGACTAGTAGGGATCCCTAAGAATTAGTCTTTATACTAATCTAACTACTATAAGCTATCTCTTCCCTAACAATCAAGTCTAGCTACCTTACCAAAGTAGCTACCTTAATATTAAGTAACGTAAATACTACTATATATAGTACGTAGTATATATATAAATAGCTAAAAACTTAGGAGACTTCTAGCCGGGATATCTAGTATAAAGGAGGGGATTAATTATCACGGCGCGACCTACTAAGACGCGGCCATAGGTAAATCATATACAGAACACCTATAAATCTACCGGGTTATAGCCCTAAGGATACGGGCCCCGGCACGTAGGGGACATATATATAATAATCGCAGAAGGGAGGAAGAACTCCGACCTTCAAGATTCAGTCTTTGAATTTGAGCCCCCTAGACTTCAATCCTTTACCTAGTCAACAGTCCTAGTCGCCCTACGATCCCGACCCTAACAAGAAGAAATCAGTATCAGAAGGGAGATACCGGTAACTACGCGGTACCACGTAGCACCACGCACACTACCTCAAAACTTAGAATACTACTATAGCTTCTTCTTCTTCTTCTTCTTCTTCTTCTTCTTCTCCAGCTCTTGAGATTCTTGATACCACGCAGTCAAGTTGAATGAATAGTTTATGAGTCCTTCTAAAACTTTTCTTAAACTAGCGTACAACAAAACTTATAAATAGTACGTAAATCGGTAGTACAGTAGTAGTACTACATTCTAAAAATATACTACGAAAGTTAAGATATTATAAATAGAATTATACTTCTCTAACCAGGCTAGTATAGAATGTTATATGGGTACCTATAGGTGACCCTATCCCCACGCAGGTATTCCGCGTTAGGTATAGGAATTCCTATAGGTACGAAAATTCGTAAATAGTGTAGAGGGGAATGCTCAAGGCAGTCTGATCTCACCAGACAGGTCGAGTCATAGAGGAACCAAACCACAACCACCAGCACGCACGTCCAGAGATCCCCCAGCCCGACCGTACAACACCTATCCGTGGGTTGTCAAGAGGCACAAGTGAAGATCAAAAGGAGTGTGTCATTGCAATGCAAAGAATCAGACTGTAAAGACCGTCCTGAATCCTCGATTCCCTTCTCCGATGGATCTCCCGGATCCCATGAACTCGATGATCCTCGGATTCCTTCTTGGATTGATTCCTTAGGTGATCAAGTTGAGTGACCCCCTCTCGTAATGTCCAAATAGTCTCTCCCGACTATAAGGCCACCATCAGGCACACGCACAGTCACCTCTGCAAACCATCTGCTCTAGGTACATGCAACCGGATTGCCTACTACAATAGGTACGTTAAGGTACCTATAGGTAGGGCCTCTTTCGCCATGGGGCCTATTCCCACCGTCCCACCTCTACTGCTCAATGGGTATCACAGCCAGATTTGTCGAGTCTAGCCAATCGCAGGCTAGTGTTAATGCCATAAAACTAAGGCTAGGATCCGTAGGTCACGTGTTTTGTAGACCACTATGGCAGAACGCCTCTCCACCTAGGGGAAAAAAAGAAGACTATTATCTAGGCCCCTCTCAGCGTATATCCCAAAGAAGTTAGCCCAAGCTATTGTTATTGTGTCTCTGACGAGACACAATCAAATTAAGGATGCATTTTTCCCTGCTCGCAAATTTGGTTGAACACCTCTTCGGTGTGTTGCAAGACCCGTTCCGCCGCATCTTGTTGCCTTGTCATCTCTATCTTCTTGTTTACTGGAACCTCTTCTCCATCCCAACTGATCCAGTAACATCCACTGCCCTTCATACCATCACTCCCCATGCAAGCGTCTTCTTTCAATGTCATTCCCTCCATTTTCGGAGGATATCTTGGGCTTGTGGCTGCATAGAGATGTCTTTCTCCGCTTTCTTCAAGGAGAACCATAAACGGTTTCAAAATTGGTGTCATCAGAGCAGACAAAAAAGCCCTGCTGGTACCTCTCGAAGAATCCCCGTAGCCACGCCGGAAGGGTATGCATGGATGAAGGATGTCTGTGGCTGTAGCTGCGCCAGGTACTCGAGAAAGAAGTTCCCCATCAGATTAGCATGCGCTCCGCATCTCTGAAGGCTGAAGATTTTTTTGAGGCTCAGGTCGGAGAAGTCAAGCATGCCTGAGCCGCCAGCACGAATCGAAGCCATGGGGTCGAATACCGAGACGACCCGCGATAGCCTAGTGCCATCACTCTGGGCCCTCTGTTGTGCAACCTCCTCAGCAGGGGCAGCAACTTGTAGATGAACCGCATTCGGGCGTAGTAGTGCAACACAAATTTGCGATCTAGCCCTTCAGCGGTCTCTTGACGGCCCTTCATCGTCATCACTCCAGGCGTCATGAAAAGAAGGTTCACTTTCTGCTCTCTCGGGGCTATTTCCGCGCAAGCTTTGTCGACATTCTTCAGTAAAGATATGTCACTTTGGAGGAAGAATGTCTGGGACGAAGGATTGATGTTTTTCATAGACGCCATTGCCGTATCTGCTGCTGACTGGCTTCGTCCGATCAAGTAAATTCTGGGTGCTGTTGTGTGCCGTGCAAAGGCAAGCGCGGTTGAAAGCGCGATCCCCGAAGTACCACCAACTACGAAAAGGGTTAGAAACATGTCAATCGGCTTTCAGCCAGATATTTTAATGGAAAGGTTATCGTCAAGGAGGATGAGATGACGGGGCAAGGCCGGGATGCCATACCAAAGACCGCGACCAGGCCGGTCGCGCGAGATCTGAGAGTCCTATTATGTGCCTGAACGGCCTAAAGGGTGACCATCGTGGCTACCAAAGTGTTGACTTTCTCGTCGTCAATCCCTGATCTCAAGTAGGCAAGAAGACTTGGAGAATCGAGTGACTTGGGGCTGCGAGTATTGAGCAATTCTGAACAAATGACTCGACTTGGAGCTTGTTCGTGACCTAGAGACGGATGGAGCAGCCGGACGGGCAGTGGGATTAAGTAGTTGCACTGAGCGCGATCCTAGTGGTATTTATCACCTTTCAATCGTAGGGTGAGCTCCTGCAGAGATGGTGCAGCTGACCATATGCCAAAGGATGCTATTGAAATTGTGGAACGCGATGGCTGACGTGAGACTTTTGGGCTGCCTGGAGCTCACAACCAGAAGATGAAGCGGATACTGGAGAAACGAGCAGTCAAGTCAGGCACATCGTATCTAAGAGCCAGTTCCACACGTGACTGCACCCAATAACAGGCCACTGTCCAAGTTCTATCATGCAGTGCATCATTCACTGTGACTGGCAATCCCAGGTACGTCCCTCGATTGATGACTGGAAAGACTGAAGATTGCGGCTCATAAGGTGGGTCACGGAAGTATGGCTGGCATCTGCACTAGCTCCTCCGTGTTCTTCGTCCGTTCGTCCGTGCATCAGCCTTACCCAAACTGCAGCGTATACTTCTACGCATTGACCCCATCCCATGCAGCTCTGGTAGTCATCATCACTACCTGCGCCTCCAAAGGCCGCTTGGCACGCAATCAAAATAAGAATTGAAGGTAGTCACAGACGAGAGCCGTGCGGCTGGTCGACCTGCAGTGCCCACTGTTAGCGCAACATGAAGGCAGCGCTTTGGTCTTTCGTTTTGTGTATATACAGATGCGACTCATGGCACTTACCCGTCCGTATTCACTGCTTGGTCATTGGTTTCCACTGATAGATTTTCCTTAACTATGCATGACTCATTTCTCTGCCCTGATCTGCGTTTAATGGGTACTCGCGCGGATGGACGCCCTCGCCGTAGCGAGGTAGTCTGCCAGAGCTGCATGGTGACAAGCCAACTACTTGATGTACGCCTTTTTTCGAATTGTTGTGGAATCTGGAGCTCTTATCGGCCAACTAATGGAGGTAGCGCAATTACCAAGGCATATCTAACCTTGAATGACCTTGTAGGAGAGACTCATTCATTCAAGGTAATGATGTTTTTTCATGGGAAGGGGGCGGGGGGGGAGAATTGAAGACTAGATATCGTTAAATCGGATGGAGCTCGAGGGGAATGGTACTGTGCACCGTACGACTTCAAACTTAACCCTAATATATACTGCCAGAGTCCAGTCTGCGCAGATCATACTGCCGGTTTTTGTTACGCGGTGATGCTCACGGCGATGCTCCCGTAAAATGAGCTTACGCCCACCTAGAAAGACCGGCCATAACCTTGGTACATATATATGTTCTTCTGCCAACGCCTCAAGCAAAACATGGATCGTTATCAGGGACCGAATCATTGGAAGCTTGTAATATACTACAGTGTCAAAGACTTTATGAATAGTCATATTCAAAGCCCACAAAGATTTTGCTCACATCAAACCACGATGACGCGTTAGAGAGAGGAATAAGTAATGATGAGAAAAGCGACCCGATCAAGGCAATTGCGCGCCAGAGTCCGAAAGCCTAGCCGTGAATATGGGCTATCCACGTATTTTGATTAATAAATTATAAAATGCCCAATGTTATCATCAAGTTGGGCTTGTGGTTTAGTGGTATAATACTCCCTTAGCATGGGAGTGGTCCGGGGTTCGATTCCCCGCGAGTCCATCTTTTTGATGTTTGATCAAACTTCACGGGAACAATCATTTCAGCATTTCTGGCTGCTGGCTGCGTCTTGGCTTCGTTGTCTTTTCTTCTCTTGCCTCGTATTGCTAGCGGCACTGTCACTGCTGCGCGCGCCGCAGACAAACACTATGCGTACGATATCGCGAGCGAAAGAGCCATCCGATGCCCGACAAGTGTGAACCATCGGAAGTCTTCATCGTCATGCTCTGTCTTGCCTTGGATCGAGATGGGCACTGTTTAATACCTCGTACAGACGTTTGCCAGGACTCCTTAGTGCCATACTCATAAGCATGTCTATTCGCGACACGGCTAGTCATCGGGAACAACGGCAGGAAGAGCTACGTGAAAGTTACCTGTCAAAGAATTAGCTACTGTGGCAGACCAGGTTGCGCAAGAGCTTATTCTTAGGACTGTCGAGGTCACTCAGATAGATGCTTCGACTCTTCGACTTGTTTCATAAAAGCCGTTGAGGGAAACAACATGCATTGCATAGGGTCTACTTTCATGCGTCCTCGCCCATCAAATCCTCGTCCATATCCACCCCAGCATCTTCGGAAGTCCCTGGTCGAGGCTCGCCGACAGCTGTCCAAGCCTGACTCCTCTTCAAGCTATCGATGACTTCATTGCTGAGCCCCAATTGACTGTCGAGGTCACCCAAGCTTTTTGAGAGTGTCCGTAGAGCTTGGCCCTCTCTAGCGAGGCTGAGCTGTACCTCTCTCTCGTGCACTAGTCGAATCGAGGACCGGCTCTCTGTAAATCGCACCATTGTTGACTTGGTGGGATCCGAAGGTTGAACCAATGTCGCCGACACGGCTCCTGACATGATCAACGAGGCAATAGTGGACTCGGTTACCTGATTGCTGACCTGCATAGAAGGTGATTGACGCAAAAGCTCGTCAACGGTCAAGGCAGCAAACGTCTTTTTGACGCGTTCAACCATGTGTTTGATGTAGGCACAGTGCACCTGAGAGACAAGACCCAGGTTATGGTCCTAGGGAAATCAGTTTGAAAATTCAGAACAAATCCCACAGATGGACAAGCAACTCACAGCGCGCCACACGTCCCGAGCGGCCTCAATTTCTTCCTCTATGCGCTTGAGATCCCCACTTTCAAAAGCTTGAGCTAAGCTCACGTATGGCTTGGCCAGTGACTGATAGACCCGCGAATGGCTCGTGACCATCAAGTTCGTGGTGGACGGTAACTAGCGAGGAACCGTGAATGAGATATTAGACTCGACCAGATGAAGACAAAACCCTCCTAGATGAGGATCATACCTTGCCTTTCTCCAATAAATTCGCCAAGATCCACTTTTTGTACGCTTCCACCATGATCATGCTGACAGACCCAGTTGTTGGCATCGAGATAACAATCTGAAGAAAGTGAATTGCCTTCGTCCACTGCTTTAGTGCCATGTAAATCATTCCACCGTAAAGGTAGTATTGCAGATGGTCCTTGTAGGTCAATTTGGCCGAGAGCCCGGACTTCTCTGTGACGAAGGACAAGCTTGAGTCATGCGAGGCGCAAAGAAAGGGGGCAAAGCCGGCACCAGCCCCGGGCTGTGAGGAAGGAAAGTGGCAGACATATTTGTCCAAAACTGGCAGCGCACAGGAATATGCCCTTGCGCGCAAACATAGACGGACCAGAACGAGGTGCGTCGATGTTAAGACAGTACACGATGGGTCGAGTCGGAGCATTGCATCTCTAATTACACGTGCTGCCAAAAGTGGCTGAGGCAATTTAGAATGGAACAAGTCTCGTGTTGTGCTTGGGGACAGTCCTTACCTGCGAAGAGGCCTGTGCAATCTGTGCCACGAGTTCGACTACCTGACGCCATTCTTCACCCACATATCGTGATTGCACTGGATTGAAAGATTTTAAATATGATACGATTTTGGGCCACAGCCAGCCTGTTGGAAGCAAAACGGCCGGTAGAGATTGACGACTTTCTTCCTGGAAGATCTCAATTTGGGCGCGAAGTATATAAAGATACAGCAGGGAATCTGCAGTCGGATCAATATGCTTGTAACAGAAGGCAATTAGCGTGGTAGACTCAGAAGACTGTTGCCAAAATATAGGTATGCTCTTACATCCAACAAGGACTCGTCTCGGGCCAAGTCGCCTAGATACTTGGCAGATACAGCTTCTCTCAAAGAGGCCACGTGCTGACGGATCTGTTGATCGTAAGCTGCATCAGTATTACGCAAAGCTTCATGCAGCTGCGCAGACTGAGCTCTGAGCCCCTCCAAGACACTCATCCTGCGGACGATACAATTTGGAGAAGATCAAGCTATTGCGTTGCTGCGAATAAGCTGTGCGGGGATCAAGGTGTCTCGGGATCGGTTCCACAGGTTGGGTCAAACTGATGACACGGCCGGAAGAGAGCTAGTGCTTTCAAGCTGCAGTGGGAATTACCAAATGAAGCCAGTGCTGAATCGGAGCATATTCGTCGTGAGCGCCTCTGATCAGCTTCGAAGAGTTACCGGCTGTTATCGTCGTAATCTCGAGCACTTTGTCCTGGCGTTAATTCAGTAAAGAGGGCCCCGGCAGAAGTGAGCGGTCAACGCAATATCAAGACGACCGGACCAAATACGGTTATCGATAAACGATAAGGAAGTCCATCCGATAGCGGAGCTGCTCAAACCCCCGCCATACATTTACAGTGCTGCACTGCTCCCACTCCGGAAAAAAAAAAGAATAGAGGTAATACCCCGTTCAGGACTGTGACTAAGTCCGCTTGAAAGCCGCCTTCGAAAGCATCTGACTCATATTCAATTTGGACAGGAAGCCCCGTATCCTTGAGGACCCAATTCTTGGCCCCCCAAAAGTTCTCAATCTCGTATTAGAGTTGATCGCTTGCCACGTGCTATCTTTGCCCACCATTAACTTCGGATATACTCTCCCTCAAGACACTCTACGATGTCGTTGACGGACTCAGCAGCCGTGGATGTCGCGCGTAGCGCCTCAATCGCCTCTCGCCAGCTGGCTACACTATCAAACACCTCTCGCAATGACGCCTTGACTGCGCTTCACCAAGCTTTGGACCAAAATCGTGACACCATCTTGGCGGCCAATGCCCGTGACGTTGAGGCCGCCACAAAGGCTGCCGATAGTGGTGATTTGAACCACAGTGTGCTCAAGAGACTTGATCTCTCACGGCCTGGTAAATACGACGACATGTTGCAGGGAATTTTGGATGTTCGGGACCTGGAAGACCCTAGTGAGACTCCTCGTGTTTTGCTTGTCATTCTGATGAGTCACAGGCCAAGGAGGAAGCTAACTCTGTTGTGCATTGATATAGTTGGCAAAGTGACTCTTCGAACTTTGTTGGACGAGGGCTTGACTCTGGAACGAGTCAGCTGCCCAATCGGGGTCTTGTTGATCATATTCGAAGCTCGTCCCGAGGTCATTGCCAACATCGCGGCGCTAGCCATCAAGTCCGGCAATGCCGCCATTCTTAAGGGTATGAGTGGGAAACCCTGATTCTCTGACCCGGGTTCAAGACTGACGCATCCATGAATGTTCCACAGGTGGCAAAGAATCCATTGAATCCTTTACAGCCATTGCGAAGGTGGTCTCCGAGGCCATCGCTGGCTCCAAAGTTCCCGTCTCATCCGTCCAACTGGTCAAGACCCGGGATGCCGTCTCCGCTTTACTTGCCCAGGATGCCTACATTGACCTCGTCATCCCCCGAGGATCGAATGAATTGGTCCGGTTCGTGAAGGAAAACACCAAGATCCCCGTTTTGGGCCATGCCGACGGCCTTTGCTCGGCTTATATCCATGCAGATGCCAACATCGACACTGCTGTCAAGGTCATCGTGGACTCTAAGACCGACTACCCTGCCGCTTGCAATGCGCTCGAGACTCTCCTTGTCCACGAGGACGTTCTCGAATCTGTCTTCCCAGAAGTTGCAAAGGCTCTTATCAAAAAGGGCGTTTCTCTTCGCTGTGACTCAGCCTCCCAAGCTGCCCTTGCCAAGTCGCTGGCTACTGATCAGTTATCGCAAGTGCGATCGGCCAGCGAGGCAGACTACAGTACTGAATTCTTGGATCTTATCTTGGCTGTGAAGAGTATCGCTAAAACGGACTCGGTCGAGTCGGCCGTTGAAGCTGCTATCGCGCATATCAACACTCACCATTCCAAACACACTGATATCATTATCACCGAGTCTCGCAATCTTGCGAACCTCTTCATGAACAGTATCGACAGTGCCGGAGTCTTTTGGAATGCGTCCTCGCGGTTTGCAGATGGTATGCGATTCGGGTTTGGCACGGAAGTCGGCATCAGCACAAACAAGATTCATTCCCGCGGACCGGTTGGGCTGGAGGGATTGACAATCTATAAATACCTGATTCAAGGCAACGGCCATGGTGCGGGGGATTATCACGATGGCACGGGGGGACGCAAGTACCTTCACAAGAGGCTGCCAATCAATGAATGAAGACAGTCCAGATGTATAAAACGAAAAGTCTTACCTAGACAATTGTGGTTTACTTCATGCCTTTTGCATGCTTAGAAAGAAGATTGAGTTTTTCAAACGTATTTTTCTTTTTAAAACGTTTCGCAATCATAAGAAAGGATGAGGACTAAGCCGGTTGCATTTTTCTTTTGCCCTCTTTCCGTCGACGTACTCCGTATCCTCGTTCCATGCAAAGACATTTCACCATGTAAGGTACATCGAAAAGAGGTCTCCAGCCAGACTCATCGTGTCGAATACGAGAGTAACGCGCTTGACCAGGAATATGCGTTCTTGCACCAGTGGATTGATGTCTGCCACCATTTCCTCATCAAGGCTGTTTAGACCTTGAAACCCTTGGAGCGTCTGCGACCACGAGCACGCTCGAACTTCCGCCCCTTGGAAGCAACGTAGGGCTTCTGTAGATATTGATAGACTGTTAGTAAATTGTGCTCGTGCGGAATTGGACAATTTGGGATATTCGTTCAAATTCGAATACCATATTCGGAGTTGGCGATAGAAACGGACCTTGTGAGAGTGGGGACCGAAGCCGAAGTGCTTGACAGCCTCACGGGCGTTCTTGGGGCCACGGAGGAGCAGGGTGTTGGCACCGGTAGGGGCACGCAGAGCAAGCTGATCCAGGGTGAGGGTCTCACCACCGGCCTTCTCGATACGGGCACGGGCAGTGGCGGTGAAGCGCAGGGCAGCGACGGACAGCTTGGGGATGGTCAGGAGACGGTTGTCATCGGTGACGGTACCGATGACAACAACGGTCTTGCCCTTCTGGGCCTCGCTGATGTTGGAGGCGATGCGCGAGAGGGAGACGGGAGGGCGGTTGATGCGCGACATGAACAGGCGGCGGAGAACGGCCTTGTTGAAGTTTGACTCCGTGCGGCCTAACAAATATTCCCACAATCAGTTTCGCAATTCGACCATTTCCAGATTCAAGTTCGTATGAAGATGCATTTCAAATTGACATGAAATCGAGACATCGAGATTTCGTCTTCGGTGGTTTCGATGCACAAAATTTATTCGGACTCTGGATTGATCACAGGAAGGAGGGATTCATACGGGCCAGGAAGCGGTAGAGCTTCACGAGCACCTGCAAGTACACGTTCTCGCTCTTAGGCGCCTTGCGGTGGCTGCTGCGCACATGGTGACGGTCCAAGTCGATACCTAGAACAGTTCAAGAGATCGTCAGTTTTCCTTCGTTTGCAAATTCGCCTTGACGAGCATGGCGAGTCTTTGGCGACGACGATATTTTCGCAGAGTGCATGTGTCGCCGTGAATTTCGCTCCGTGGAGGGTGGCACATACCCATGGCTGCTGATATGAAATGTACACCTGGGAGTTAGCTTGCTATCGCACCCGTATGGAAAGTGCAAGAGGTTTTTGGTCTTCAACTTTCGGCTGCGCCGGTGTGTGTGGGTTGAGCCCTAGGCTAATCCCGATATGGCCATATGGGGAGTCAGCTGACTTGGACTCTGACAATCACGGGAACGGCAGAACGCCTTGACTGGCTTAGACCTCGAGAAAATCGATTGTTCCGCCTGTCCACCCGACTGGTGGAGCAGACTACCTTATGTAACGCATACAATTAGCCGCAGTGAGACCTTAATTGGATAGCCGCAAAACCGAAATTATCAACCTGAATTTTGCTCCATACCTAGACCCGATATGACTTCCAAATCCGAAGGCCGCAAATGTATCGAGTTGCGGTAGCGTCCGTAATCCACAGGTGAGGAGTCCGACGGAAAAGAATAAGCTCACTGGCTGACATTAAGCGCTTGACAAACGAACGCATAGTGAACTCGAGGCTCGTGGGACGGCCCAACATCCCCGAAGAGTATGCTGCTCTTCCATAACTCTGCAAATGCACAACGGCGCCCTAATGCGAGTCTATTTGTGCCGTCAGATTGCCTATCTCCCTTCTCTAGAGACATTGGCAGTTCACAGAGAACAATCATAATGCTTGCTTCGAATTCCACCGCCTAGTGCCTTCGATCCGACGGCCACTGTCCAGTCGCATGACACCTAAAGGACGGAGTGGATCCCTGCCGGTTTTGATCGCGGCTCCGCTCAATGTTCTAGAGTTCTTTAGACGAGTCCAAGCAACCTTTCCAAGGCTACGTGCACTCGATGCTATGCGGGGCAAAAACAAGCTTGAGACTTTCACGAAGCTGTCCATACGGAGAGACCAAAGACGACGGTCCAGTCTGACAGCAAAGAAGGCTTCGCTCAGTTCGCAAAGTCGCAGAGATGCACGACTGTCTCATGGGATCCAAAAAAACTACAATCTAAAAACCTGAGCAACGGGCAGCCCAATTGCCCCAGTCACATGGTGCTTTGCGCATTGCAACGGGAAACCGATCTAGATGTATTGGGACTGATCTCTATCGTTCAAACCTACCAGCAGATCTCTCGTGAACTCAAAGCTTAGCCAGCTGCTGGCCATGCTGGGGGCGACTTTCAAAAGGTTCGGTCCAATGCCCTTGAACAGTCCTCGTGTGCCTTCTTCGGCCACAATCACTCGCACGGCATCCCAGATGGATTTATACTGATACCCCATGCCGGACATGGTATTGATTTGGAATCGTCGACGCAGGACATCACTAACGGTAAGATAAGTGTGAGGAGGCTGCTCTGCTTGAGAGGAATCCGATGAAGAGGGATTGCTTACAATGGGTATGTGCAGGTCTGTGCAACTGCTCCGGATATGGCACCCGCAAGCAACTTTCGCCAAGGGTTGGGGTTCTTATCCCCCTCAGGAGTGAGCCACTTGCGGACTGATTCATAAGTCATAAAATTGAGCCCGACCTAGCTTTCGTCAGCAATGTCGGTCGCGCCGTGGGAAAGATTTCATGGAGCCGCGGACAACGTACATAAGGGGCAACGCCGGCTACGGTGGGAATGATGCCGCGATAGAGCGCAATTATTCCACCCTCACTCTTGTATATTGAGACCATGGTGGTGAACATGCCAGGAAGCTTTTGGGAGGGATCCCGGGAGCCTAGACTCGCAAAGGAAGCGGATTGTATGGAGAGCCGCGTGCGAACGATATCCAGTGGGTAAGTCACCGTCACCGAGGTAATTCCCGCGATACCACCGCAGATGAGGCGACGTACGGGGGTCATTTCGCCCTCTGGCGTTTCCGCGAACTGCAACATCCAATGTTAGGACCAAAGCTTCTTGCTACGCAGGCTTTTGGGCAGGAGATGCCGCACATGGTGACATGCAAGCAGTCTAGCTCCTCCGTGAATCGAATCGATCTGAGAGGAGTTCAAGCTCAACCACTTACCCTCTTGTAGAAGTTGTAACTGCCGAATTGTACCGCCGAGTATGGGATGATGCGGATACAGTTGGTCCCGTTTCCTCGCATGAATCCGCGCCATCCTTCTTCACGCTTCATTTTCTTGAGGCCTTGCCATATTGACAACTTGTATTCTTCGCGGCCGACACTCTGGATCTGCAGTAGAATCTTCAATCGCTCCAGAGGCGAGACGATCGTGCGGGAGACGGCGCCAGCAACGCCTCCTGCCATGAATGCGGCGACAACCGGCTCGGCGAGCTTGCTCCGAGTTCGGCCGATGAGGGACGATGGCCTTGAGACGGACTCCTATCAATCGAAAAGATGGAAGTCAGAAAGGCGTATGGGGTTAGACTTGAGGGATTCTCAGAGGGAACAGGTACCTGAACTGAGCCCGGAGGTGGACTTAACGGGATGGCTGGTAAGACGGGTCTTGCAGCCTCCTTCGCCTCGGGTTTCTGAGCGGTGTCCTGTCCATTGAGACTCATCTTGGCCGAGATTGATGAATGCGCTCAATTGATTTCAAGTGAAAGTTCAGCGCAGTGTGAGACGACTTCACTGCCGGGGAAGTCTGCGGCTGAGAAGATTGCGCTCCGTCACGACACTGAGGAGGTTGAACGGACAATGAGGGCGGGCTGAGTAAGGGATGAAAGCTGATAGAGATTTGGAGAGGAGCAATGTTTGTGACGTCCATAAGAGAAAGTGAAGCGTTTCCACAAGCTGTCGTTCTACTGTTCCATTGTGGAATTGAGGGTCCAGGCTCGATAATGCGTCTGAAGGAACCTCACAGTGAAAGGAGGAAAGAAAGACCAGGACGCGGATTCGAAGGGTGACTTGACAGTCAAGTGAGGGATAAGAGACGTGACAATCCCAGGATGTTTGTATCAGACAATTGATCTTTGTGCAGAATGGACTTCTATGGGCGGCCTTGAAGAGAGAACAATAGTCACGAAGTGAGCGACTTGGGCCAAGTGGAGGCGATGACTACTACGGAGAAGCGCCATAGGAGAGCATCATCCCGACTACCGATGCTCACGGTACCTCCCGAGGCAGAACGGGTACTGTAATTAATAGTATGAGCGCTTAGACGCCTAGTCATTTACAGTGACGTTCCATAAGTTTTTAACCCCCTGCTGACCCACTTTTCTTACCGCCTACTAGGTTAGCCTACCGCCTACCCTATACGCGCTACTAGAGAACACGCTAAAACCAGCGCGTCGCGAGACAGCTACTATTTTACGCAAAATTTCCCACGTAGATAGATTTATACTAATCCTATACACATCTATATATATTCTACACGCTCTACTATCTACTGTATTAATATGGCTCGATCGAAGGAGCTTACACCTACGCTACGCGCGCGTATATGCGAACTACATACAATTAACTAGGGCTATAAGCGTATTCATAAGCGTTACCCCTGGATTCCTCTCTTAATAATTCGATATACGATCATTAAAGAGCGAGAAAGACAAGATAGTATCTCGAAGCCACGCAAAGGCCGGCCAAAGAAGCTTACTAAGGCCGACAAAGACCGAATTATCTAGGTTATTCATAAGAACCCTCGCGTTATACAGGAAGATCTACTTACTAAGGTCGACCATAAAGTGAAATATACCTTAATTCGATAACTACTTAACGCTAAGAATATACGCAAATAGCGCTATAGCTAGCGATCTTACCTTGAAGAAATTCACGCGGTAAAACGACTTTAATAGGCTCTTAAATATCGCTTATTTATACCTAATGATTAGGCCCGTGTTTATTAGTCTGATAAATATACTATTAAGCGAGGAATTAGTATACGTCGTGAATAGACTTTTATACGCCCTCGGGACTAAGTACGCGAGGGTTAATACTAGGGTTTACTATAGCGTGGAAAGCAGGTTAAGCAGATATTCTGGGCTGCTTTCTCGGCCTCGCGTCGTACGGGCTTAATACCTCTATTTAGCGATCCTGAGTTAGAGCGTAGCGGTATTAATCGTTTCGTTATCGAGGAATTATATCGCCGGGTTCTACCTACGTTACTACCTACTAAAGATAGGATTTTTATACACGATAACGCACCTACGTATACTGCGTACGTTATACGCGATACTTTAGCAGATATAGAGATCGAGGTGATAGTTTAGCCGCCTTATTCGCCTAACCTTAACCCAATTAAGAACCTATAGGCCCTATTGAAGGCAGAAATCTATAAGATTCGGCCTGATCTTCTGCATATAAAGAATAACGATAAGACTAAGCGAATCTTGGTCGAAACTACGCAAATTACATAGCAAAACATTAATATACGGCACCTAGAACACCTTTCAGAGACTATACCTAACAGGGTTAAAGCAATCATTGAATCGCAGGGGTGGTATACGCCATATTAGGGCATATAGGGGTGCGTTAGCTAGTTATTTAGTAGAATTATCAATATTATAGAGTTTTGGTGGAGGTTTTGCGACCGGCAGTATATTATGTAATTAAGGGTGTGTGGGGCAGGGGGTTAAAAACTTATGGAACATGACTGTAGCACGCGTTAACCAAAATACAGCTGTACTGTATTGTATCAATCATCTCCTAAAGTGTAAACCAGCAAGAACTGAGTTGGCCTTGCCCTGCAGAGCAGCCAATTTACATCGCTAACTGCTGACTAGTATGCTAAAGTTGGGTTTATAGTAAGTAGTAAATATTAGTTCAGTAAGAATCTGTACCTTAATAAGTAGTTACTAAGTACTGGTGGTAGGCTGATAACTAAGGACTATCTTTATACTATTTTACGTAGCAAGTCTTTAGTAGTAAAACACTACTAGATCATTGATATTTATAGTAGATATCTAGAGACAGTACTCGATTAGTACCTTCATATATATATGGCTTTAAGCCGCGACCTTCGGCGCTGCAAAACCTTGTAAGAAAGATGTGTACAAAGTCTACAAACTACAAACTTTATACACTGTACACGTGTACAGTGTGTTAAAGTGTTTACATTGATAGAATTTCACAAATTCGATCTGAAAGGCTTCCCAGCCTTACCAGCTGAAGAATGCAAACGTACTCTGAAGTTGTAGTCTATACTCTGTACTCTATACTCTACAGTGTACGACACCGTCCTTGGCAGGTTTCATACATAAGCCATTACTTTTACCGAATTGAATCATTGACTTACATACCGGGTGCCTGTGTAACGTGACTGTCCCCGGTGGAACTCCTGTTTCGTCATTGGCACAGATGGTTTCTGCAGCTCACCGTACAGGCGACCGCTTTCTGACTTTCTTTAATGATGAAGGGAGCCGAGCCGCGCCGAATTCACAATTATCTTCTTTCAACTCGAATCCTTGCTTCAGTCAACTTTTACCATTCCCTGTCACCGTTGGGGATAAAACCTCCAAAATGTCTCGATCAGGCACCACTCTGTATGTCACTGGCTTCGGCCATGGCACCCGCGCCCGCGATCTTGCCTACGAATTCGAACGGTACGTGATATGACGCCTTCCATTAAGAGCAACGCAGCTCCAAATTCGTCGATGCTCCTCCTGCTCCTCCTGCTCCTCCTGCTCCTTGTACCTCGCCGCATCGGTATCTATCACGATCTACAAATCGTCATCTGCGACCTTCGCCATTGCAAAGATGTCCGCAGCCATATTCTATCCCACATTGCCTACTCAAACCACAGTCGCCATCATCATTTAAAAACCGTCGCCATCTGTCCTAAAACCCTTGCCCAAGTAGCGTGAACATCTAGTCTAACAGCTGACACAGTTACGGTCGCCTTGTGCGCTGCGATATCCCTGCGCCCCGTACACCTTCAAGCCGACTGTATGTATTCCGAATAAGTCAAAAACACCTTTTCGCAATGAATTCTTGACAAATGGAGCTGACTCGTGAGGTAGCTTCGCATTCGTGGAATATGAAAGCCGTCGTGATGCTGACGATGCCTATCACGAGATGCATAACAAGCGGATTGGGCGTGATGACCTTTTAAAGATCGAAGTATGTCATATCCCTCACGATCTTATTCGCACCCACTTGCCGGAGACCGCGGTATAACTGACCCCTTTCCAGTGGGCGCGAACTCCTCCTTCAGCTTCGTGGCGATTCGATTCTGGCCGGGACCGTCGTCGTGACCGCACTCCTCCCCGCCGTGGGCGTTCTCCTTCCCCTCGCCGCAGCCGCGCCGAATACTCTCCCCGACGTGATGACCGTTACGAACGGGATCATGATCGCGCCGACCGTGACCATGACCGTCGGGACCGGGATCGCGACAACGAGCGTCGGGATCGCGATGACCGCCGTGATCGCGAGCGTGAGCGCTCTCGTGATCGCTCCCGCAGCCCTGAAGACCGGGACCGCGATGTCAAGGAGGATCGTGAGCGACGCGAAGATGACCGTGAGCGTCGGGAGGAGGAACACGACGCTATTCCCAATGGCGATGACAGGAAAGGTTTGTTGTCGCTCTCCATCATTGCTTTCTCCACGAAGCTAACAAGCGTCAGTACCCCTGGACCCCGTTCCTTCTGCTCATGATGAGCTCGACACTGCTGAGTAGATTCGCTCTGTGCGACACTCACTTTGAGAATCACGAGTGTTTCAGATGAGCTTCTAGCAATTCGAATATCGCACTCGTAAAAGTCGTCGCCCTTCGTCTGCTACCAGCCACCCGTGCCACTCGGAACGATCGAAGATCAAGTCGTCCAGCACTTAAAGCGCGGTCCCAGCATTCTACGTGCATCTTCACTCGACCCGACACTTCCTCCCGGGACCCTTGTTCCTTGTTCGTTGCGACGTCTCCATTTCTGGGCTCTCGTACTTCTATCTTCAGCAACATCTTTTCACTACCTGCTCCGCATCCTTTTCGCTTTCTGGATTTGGCACTAAAAGGGTTCTCTTCTTTGGTCCATCAGGCGAAGTGGTGTCCGTGCATCGGGCGCTCTTCAGTACTGCCTCTTGCTTACACTATTTTTGTTTCTTCTGGAATTGGATATTTATCATGGTCAACAGCTCGGACTCCATCGAATCTCGACGTCGAGCGATCGTGTCTCCAATCATCTCCCGCCTGCGTTCCTCAGTCCCGTCCCTGCGTTTTCTACCATGAAAGCCGCTCGCCGTCCGTCCGTATCCGCAAGACTAATGACAACTCGATTCTTTTTTGCCTTCTCCCCGTCCTGTACGACCGGCCGGATCCTTTCGGAATCGTTCGAACCTCCGAATCGAACTTTGTAATCATGTACATGCGTTGCTACTCGTAATGATGCCCGCCAGCACGCGCTAGCGCCCTCACGAAGTCAAAGCAGACGCGAGGGTCTGTATTGACAGCGCTTCGGCCACAGGTCTTGAAAGCAGTGTTCAAATGACAATGCTGAAGTGGTAGGTTCTCCCCAAATAACGCAGGTAATATGGCGCTTCGGCTCCCTTAGTAAATCGCCCTCAACGGCTTGCCGCATTACATTCCCGGTGATTTCCAAGCCGCACGTTCATCCCGCAGATCTCATTGAAATTGTTCTCTTACTTGCTCAATTCAGCAATATATCAGTAGCTCTACTATACTCCTCAGTTTGTCGCTTCCCTTTTCGGTGCATGCGTTCGTATCGTGGACGGCCTCGGAATGACGTATGAAATGCATCGTGCGGGGAAGTAGGGCCAATTTGCAGTGACCTGTGGCCTATCAGGCTATCATTTGACCATCTCAGATAAGCAAGCATCAGCACTACATCAAAAGATAGATCGAGTCTCACAACTTCATCGTACTCTCATCTCTTAGCATCTTCCAACCTGGCCTGTGTTGTGTATTCCCAGGACGTTTACAGCATGGAGACAGTTAGTGGACAAGGAATCAGCATCGCTATCGATGTATGCAGATCAAACTCGTCCCCGTTGGGTCTAATGGACATTCCTAAAGCTAACCTTGTATCAAGAGAGGGGGCACATTCACAGATTGTGTGGGCAACCCAGGAACAGGGAGATTGGAGGATGACATCGTGATAAAATTGCTGTCAGAAGATCCAAATAACTACGATGACGCACCTCTCGAAGGGATTAGGCGCCTCCTCTCCAAGTTCACTGGCCGCGAGATTCCTCGTGGGGAGCCCATTGACACATCACTCATCCGAAGCATTCGAATGGGAACCACAGTGGCAACGAACGCCTTGCTTGAGCGCAAAGGTGAAAAAATCGCTCTTGTGGTCAGCAAGGGCTTCCGAGACTGTTTACAGATCGGAAACCAATCGCGGCCTCGCATATTCGACTTGGCTATCAAGCGGCCTGATGTGCTTTACGAGGAAGTTGTAGAGATTGATGAGCGAGTGACACTTGAAGACTATGCAGAGGATCCAGAGCGAAGGATAACGGAAACTTCTATGCGCGAATCTGCCAAAGCAGACGCCGAAGTTGTGCGTGGTCTCTCGTCTGAAGCTGTTCGCATCCTCAAAAGACCAGACCAGCAGGTAGTGAGGTCACAGCTCCAGCAGGTCTTCGACCGCGGGATCCGGAGTATTGCTGTATGTCTTATGCATGGCTACACGTTCCCTGACCATGAGGCGTTGATTGGGCGACTGGCCAAGGAGATTGGGTTTCGTCATGTGAGCCTCAGCCATGAGCTCATGCCCATGATCAAGCTGATCCCGAGAGCAACATCTGCTTGTGCAGACGCGTATTTGACACCAACTATCAAGAGATACATTTCTGGCTTCCAAGCCGGCTTTAACAGTGGTCTGGGAAGCGAGAGTGTCAAGAACGAAGCTGGTTCTCGTGGAGCACGGTGCGAGTTTATGCAGTCAGATGGTGGTCTAGTGGACGTTGATCAGTTTTCTGGCCTCCGGGCAATTCTGTCAGGCCCGGCTGGAGGAGTCGTAGGATACGCCTTGACTTCCTACGATCCTGTTTCGAAGATTCCCGTGATTGGGTTCGATATGGGTGGAACGAGCACCGATGTCAGCCGATATGGCTCAGGCCGCTACGAACACGTCTTCGAGACCACAACGGCCGGAGTCACGATTCAATCTCCTCAGCTGGATATCAACACAGTTGCCGCAGGTGGTGGCTCAAGACTATTCTTCCGCAACGGGTTATTTGTCGTGGGTCCAGAGTCAGCTGGCGCTCACCCGGGGCCCGCCTGCTATCGCAAGGATGGGCCTTTGACTGTCACAGATGCGAATCTTTTTCTCGGCAGGATCGTTCCCGATTTCTTCCCCAAGATTTTCGGGCCTCATGAAGACCAGGGTCTCGATGATCAAGCGAGCAAACAACTTTTCGAGCAACTAACGGAGGAGATCAATCAAGAGTTAGCTAAGGGCGACCAGAGCAAGACCATGACTCCCGATGAGGTTGCATTCGGCTTTATAAAAGTCGCTAATGAGGCTATGACACGGCCCATTCGATCATTGACTGAGGCTAAAGGCCACGACACCTCCAAGCATCGACTGGCTACCTTCGGAGGTGCTGGTGGTCAGCATGCAGTGGCTATCGCCGAAAGTCTCGGTATTCGGCAAATTCTTATTCATCGGTATTCGTCTGTGCTGTCTGCATACGGGATGGCACTGGCCGATGTTGTCGATGAAACACAAGAGCCCGAATCAAAGACCTGGAGCGACGACTCGAGCATCCGGGATCAGCTTGCGCAGAGATTGGGCGAATTGAAAAAGCGATCCACCAAGAGATTGAAGGATCAAGGCTTTGACGATAAATCCATTGTTTTCGAGGAATATTTGAACATGCGGTACCGTGGTACAGAGTCGTCCCTCATGATTCTCAAGCCCAGCAACGAAGACGCAAACGAAGAATTTGAGGGCGACCAGTGGGCTTTTGGCAAAGCATTCATCAAGCAGCACGAGCAGGAATTTGGGTTCACTCTACCGGATCGGGATATCATCGTGGATGACGTTCGGATACGAGGCATTGGAAAGAGCTTCGAGCAATCCGAGAAGACAGTTGATCAACAGCTGCAGGAAATAGCACCCAAAGATGTGTCTGGAAAGGAGTTCCGCACGACGCGGGTCTATTTCGAAGGTGGCCGACATGAGACTCCAATCTACCGGCTCGACGATTTGGAAATCAACGACCGAATTAAAGGACCAGCTATTCTTGCCGATGACACCCAGACAATTGTGGTACCTCCCGGAGCTTCTGCTCTCGTTCTCAAAACTCATGTAGTCATCAACGTTGGAGAACCAGATGCGACGGGCCCGCAGATCAAGACTGACACTGTTGACCCTATACTGCTCAGTGTCTTCTCGCATCGCTTCATGGCTATTGCCGAACAAATGGGCCGTGCACTTCAAAAGACAAGCGTCAGCACCAATGTCAAAGAGCGGCTCGACTACTCGTGTGCATTGTTCGACCCAGAGGGCGGATTGGTCGCGAATGCACCTCACCTACCAGTCCATCTTGGCAGTATGTCTACTTGTGTGCGTATGCAAGCAGAGATTTGGCGTGGTAAACTCAAGCCTGGTGACGTGATTGTATCTAATCACCCAGAATTCGGGGGGACTCATCTGCCTGATATTACGGTGATACAGCCAGCGTTCAATCAGGGCAAGATTATTTTCTATGTTGCTTCAAGAGCGCATCATGGTATGAAATCCCTAGTCTCTTCCCGTTGTCGTCGCATGCTAACTGTTCAACTTACAAGCCGACATTGGCGGTATTCTGCCGGGGTCTATGCCGCCGCATTCGAAAGAACTGTATCAAGAAGGTGCTGCTATAAAGAGTGAAAAGTTGGTTTCAGAAGGCAAATTCAACGAGCAGCGCATCACGGAACTATTGTACAAAGAGCCCGCGCAGTATCCTAACTGCAGCGGTACCCGCTGTCTGGCGGACAACCTAAATGACCTTAAGGCCCAGATAGCCGCCAACAAGAAGGGAATCAACTTGATCAACACGCTGATTGAGGAATATGGAGAGGAAGTAGTGCTGTTTTACATGCGTCAAATTCAGGACAATGCTGAGCTCAGCGTGCGCAATTTATTGAAAGAAGTCAGCGAGAGGTTTTCAGGCCAAAATTTGAGCGCCGTGGATTACATGGACGATGGAACCCCGATCCAGTTGAAGATTTCCATCGATGCCGATAAGGGGGAGGCCGTGTTTGATTTCCAGGGCACTGGACCTGAGGTCTATGGTAAGAGCGTTTCGGAAATGACAGCCGATCATCGCAGCACCATGCTTACTCTTCATGTTCAAGGAAACACCAATGCCCCTGAGGCAGTCACGTATTCTGCGATTATATACTGCTTGCGATGTCTCATATCCGCCGAAATCCCTCTGAATCAGGGTTGTCTCAAGCCAATCACTGTCCGTATACCACCAAAGAGTCTACTATCCCCTTCCGAAACGGCAGCGGTCGTAGGAGGCAACGTTTTGACTGTAAGTCAGGTTTTCTGTTTCGGAACACTTTTCTCGTGCATTTTTGTCTCGCGGCTTACGTGTCGCTAACATGGGAACAGAGTCAACGAGTCACCGATGTAATTTTAAAGTGCTTCGAGGCATGTGCTGCCTCTCAGGGCGACACCAACAACCTCACCTTTGGGTTCGGAGGCAATGTTCAAGGAGAGACCGAGACCAAAGGATTCGGATACTACGAGACAATAGCTGGTGGCAGCGGAGCAGGCAAGGACTGGGAAGGGACCTCTGGAGTGCACACACATATGACCAATACCCGAATCACCGACGCCGAGGTGTTTGAGCGAAGGTATCCCGTCCTCCTCCGCGAGTTCAGCCTCCGACCAGGCTCTGGAGGCGCGGGCCAGCACCGCGGCGGTGACGGGGTCGTCCGGGACATTGAATTCCGCGTCCCAGTTCATGTCTCGATTCTGTCTGAGCGCCGTGTTTATCATCCGTACGGACTTGCGGGTGGCGAGGACGGCCAATGTGGTCAGAACCTCTGGGTACGGCGAGTCAAGAAGTCAGATGGAGACATGGAAGAAAGGACGATCAGTCTTGGAGGGAAGAATTCTGTCCAGATGCAGCCAGGCGAGCGCATCATTATCCGAACCCCAGGTGGAGGTGGCTGGGGTCGAGCAGGAGATGAACACCAGCTTGCTCACGAGGTTGATGCTCGTCATGCCTGGCGAGGAGGCTCCCTTGCTACCCACTTAGCGACGCAAGAAGCGAGCATGTGAGTATATAGTTGCGGAAATCTTTCACGCTCACCTTCAATATCCCAAGGCAGAGAGGGTAGTACAACGAGGACTCAAGCACAAGACGAGCGACAGTAAGACGTGAGAAGAAGGATTTCGAGACATGCCAAATCTATAAACGCACAGCTATTGGAAGAGCCAACATAGGAGTAGAAAGAAAAAGCCAAGGGCAAGGTCAAAGAAAAGTCTCATTTGTAGCGCTTGACAACTCCCTTACAACGGAAACACACGATCAAGATAGAGACGAAGTCTTCACTTAGGATTCACTTTCCTCGTCACTAGTAGCCTCAATATTCTGCTTGGCGGGGCTTCCAGTCCTCCCAGAGTCGTCTTGGTCGTCATTATTGCTGTCGGAAGCACCGCCCGAGTAGACAGGTCGAGGCAATGACGATCCCTGCTTCTGTACCACTTGTTCAATCTCGGGCAGCAGTTTGATAAGAGCAGAGAACTGCTCCAGTGGCATGGAGATTCCCTATTTCATCGTTAGTGGTCAATATATAATGTTCCACACCTCTTTCACTCTACTCTCGCCTCACACTGCCTATCACATCTGACCATATTCAATCGCAAGAATCAACAATCACCAGTCGGAGAGGTGTGTCGAGGCCAATATAGCTCCACAAGCGACTCAATTCTGCGCTTGGCCGTGGAATGTCTCCCCGGAGACAACCCCCTAAAACCCCCCCAAAAGAATCCCAGCGACGAGCAAACGAGAAATCAAGTAAAGAAAATCCGAAGGAAAAGAGAGAAAATAATTACCTTTTTCCCCGGTAACTCCTGCCCATCCTTCTCATAATACTCCCTCACACTGACCATCGTCTTGCCCCGAAACTCAGAGACAGTCACCCGGCGCATTTTGGAGATCTCCCAGTACTGATCTCCATTTGAATCGGTCTTTGCGCTGGGCTTCCCGACCGCAGGACCATTGGTGGTGTTGACTTTGGATTTCTTGATCTTGGAATCCGGGGCCTCGGTGGATCCGGCGGCGTCTGAGCTGCGTTTGCGGGAAGTCATGATGTGAGAGGGGGAATATGAGGAGATGGTGCACTTGGATGGAGGGTGATTGCTTGATTGAACTCAAATCGGGTCCTGTCTGGCTTCCAATATGGAGACAGTGAAAAAAAGAAGAAGGTGAATGAAAGGTAAAAGTAAGAGTATTAAAGCATTGGACAAAGCACGCTGGTTCTTGAGACACGCGCTGAGACGCGTTACTGATATGCACGTGCCGATAAGGAAGTGAAGTGGTTTGATAAAGGTTACAATAGGTGTGGAAGTTGAGATTCTACGTACGTCACTTTCGTTACTTGACACGCTTGCAAAATGATGCTTCGAACAAAAAAAGAAAGCTGGAAAGATTCAAAATTTGCGATAGCTGCAATATCTTTTCATTTAGAAAGCTATGACTCTCCATGCAACTATAAATGATAAGAAACAAGGTAGGGAGGGGGAAAATGTATTCGCTTATCATAAACGTTGTATGGGCTTCTATAAACATACAAAGAATCGTCTGTCTACAAAGTCAACACCCGCAAGGCCTGCAGCATCAACGAGAAAACAAACCCTCGCGCCACACTCTCCACCTGCAGACTATCGAAAATTTTCTCCAACGCCTCTCGACTAGCCGCAGCACCCATAACACTCGTCAAAGCTTGAGGAATCCCTCTCTGCACAAACAATCGGCGGGCGGTTTCCCTCAATCGCGCCTTCTCCTCTTCACTAGGCGGCGCAGGCCAGGCTTTCAGCTCGGCTTCTGTTGGCAGAGCATTCTCTCTGATCTTGGCAATATATTGTGCAAGGGCTTCATCTGATGAATTAGCGTCGATCATGGATTCCTGAAGCAGGTCACGAATTGTCTCCAGTGTGGGACTCCCGGGGCGTAGAATATAGGTTTTTGCTGCGTTAAGCAGGGTTCGACGGATGTTCCATGCTGATGATAGGGTATATAGCTCATTTATGACGGCAAATATGAGCTCAACGGCAATTTGTGTCTCGTCGGCTGTGATAGGTGCGCGTGGTCGTTGCAGGGTCTGTGAAGCTGTGTGTGGCTCGCTAGTCGTTGTGCTTTCAATCTGGGAGTCAAGAGAAGCTATCTTCTTGGGGCTGTTGTGGGTCTCGACGGTGTCAAGCGGATCGGCACGAAGGTTCTCATCAACCAAAAGAGCAAGTTTAGACTCCAGCTGTGATGTTGTGTTTGACGCATCTAGCGGGCCGGATGGGAGCGTCGTGTCATTGCTCATATCTTTATGAGGTGGGATATGCACGAAGTCTTTGGACAATCCGAGGCCAAGCGCGGAAGTAGGTGGAGAGGAAGAGACTATGGGAGAAAGTGGCTGTTCGCCACTGAATCGCGGGGACGCCAAGGGATCAATCGAAGCAGAACCGATACTCGGAGAGGCCACTCGATTCAGCGCATTGGCCAGACCGGGATTGATCGCAAGGTCCATACTCGCTCTGGAGGAACTCCTTCGATTAATTGGCAATGCATCTGGCGCATTGGACACTTTCCGATTGTGGTTGGCACCGCCAAAGACCCCAGTGACACCATCGAGAACCGCACGACCACCCCCAGCCATACCCTTGGGGGCGTTGCTCAAAGCTCCCAACAGATCTTTACCAATATTCTCAAAGGTATTCGGCCCAGGGAACAAGAACCCTGGTTTCGATGGACTCGTTTCCGTCGGTCCAGCTTGTTTCTCCATGAATCGTCGCATACGTTCTGTCTCGGCCAGTGATTCATGTTTCAGAGCTTCTTGCAGGTACCGCTCAAGGTCTCGAGCCAGGTTTTGCCGAGTTTGGCCCTTCCATAAGGGCAAAGTTGGGAACTGGTCAGAGAAACTCTGGATGTGATTGAGTCGAGACACCGTAGAAATCATCTCATGGAGAGACTGGAAATCTGCATATTTTCTGAACACCATCCAGCCGGTCGCACGGTGCGACGCCGGCTCAATTTGGATCAGGTAGTCCCACGTGGGTCGAGACTTGATGATACCTTCTTCACTGCTTGCGCCATCATCGTCTATCATGACCCGTGCATCTTGAAGCATGACAGCTTGATTTCCCGAGTCACGGCGAGCTGTCGGAGACGCCAACGTCGCTGTTTGCGTAGTTGGGGATAGAGGCTGGGAATCGGAGGTTTCTGAGACAGAAGCAGTCCTGAGAGAGACGCTGTAGCTATTCTCACTCGTAGGCCCCGTTTGGTAAGCCTCGTAGGTCTGCGGCTCTTGCCGAGGGATGGCTTCAGGCTTGGAGTTCTCCTTGAATGTTTGAGCATCCCGAGAAGCCATCAGTGCGCTCAGCCTCTTGGCCTCTTTCATCGCCTCTTCCTCGGCCCGATCTGCGTGAGTCGCAGGGAGCTCAGTGGACCGAGGCGTAACCGTCTTATTTGTCTCGGGCAGAGTCGCCTTGGAGATTGCGGATCCTGCTTGGACGGTGCTCCCTCCCACACTTTGCTTGCGGGCCCCTTCCACGCCGGCATCAATGGCATGCATGAGTTCTGATTCACCGTCCTGCAGAAGATAAATGATCCATTCATTGATGAACTCGGGGCGAGACAGACTGATGACTGTAGATTCCAGCACGAGGCGCGCAAAGATCTCACGCAGAAAGTCTCGCACCGGCGAGCAGCTATATGCCTTGGCATCAAGGAAGTGGGAGAGAACATCGTCTGCTACCATGTTAAACTTCTTCCTCTGCTGCTCTTCAGAGAGGACATTCGCCAAGCTGCTTTCGGGGCTCTTCTTGAGATACTGCTCCACGACTTCCGACGCATCCGCGGACGGTGAATCAACGGCTGTGAAAGCAGCGGCCAATTCATTGAGAAACACAATGATGATCGAGGACGAGTTCGTCAGGAATTGCAAGAATGTCTCTTCGGTCCGCTTGCGTGACACGTGGGACAAAATTGTTGTCACGAAATGGGTCAAGGTCCTTCGGCAGGAGCCTGGGAAGACGGTCTCAGCCGGAAGAATTGGCTCGTACCAGTTTCTGCAAATGAACACCCATCAGTCTCGAGCACCACACGGTATACTTGACTAATTGAGTCCTCTGGACTTACTTCACGTAATCAGTCACCACGGCATCAGTGAATGAGCGCAGCGCAGCTGCCGTCGCCGGCCGAAAAGTCGCATACTTCAAATCAGCAGCCGTCAGATCTTCTGGCGCCGCAATGACTCCCGCGTGCTTATTTTCCTTGGAAACGGTAGCCGTCAAATGCTCAGCAGAAGCTTGACGTGGCCAATCCAGCAATCTTTGAGAGACCTCCAGTGCCAACTCCTGTCTCTTTCTCCGCGCTGTCGAGACTCCAATGCTGCCGCCCGTTGACAATGAGCCTTCCCACGACGCATGCAAGAGAACCCCCGCTCCCATTCCGATGAGCAAGAGACCCAGCCTGCCAAATACCGCGTAGATCATGCACACCAGCGCAACAAGGACACCGACCAGGGTCTCATTGCTGGCTGAGGCTAAGAAATCCAGGGTCTGGTCGATGAGCTCCTGCGAGTCGAACGCATTTGGGATTGCTCCTTCGAGCTCATTCTGTGGTCTTAATTGTGTACTGTCTAACAATGTTGAAGTTTTGTCCGATGAGAGCGACCCGTTTGTAGAGGGCATGGCAGCTGTCGAGGGACTCGAAGCGAGTACATCATCGATGGACGGGTCCATTGTGGCTCTAGACCTGCGGTAGATCAATTCAATCCATTAATCAGCTTCCAATTGCTTTGCAGAAACGGAGTGGGCGGCGCAATTGCAATTGCACTTGAGAGCAAGAGGCATACCTCCATTTCCTCCGCAGACAGTCCCGGCGCCAGAAGGATATGAGCGAGAAAAGATAGGAGACAAAGACGAAAAATGTGCAATGGGACGACGGTCCCAGAAAATGGCGCCGATTGAAGAACGAGGATCGACAATTGCGGACGGTGGCTTGAGCTATTTCAATGGGCAGATCCGATCGGCGAACACAGTGTCGCAAGCAGACCGAGAGAACGCGCGGGTGTCCGGACTGGTCAGTGCGCCGCCTCCGCGGGCTTGCAGCTTTGCACTGTTGCAGTACTTAAAGAGTGTGCCAGTGTGGATATAGTGGAATGTGGATAGCCTGGATCGAAGGACACGTTTGTTACGATGGGTCGATCGATCTGCTACTGCATTCCCGTGAGTTTATGTCAGAGTAATGAGAAAATCGGACAAAGTTCGTCTAGTTCCATCTTGATCCGATCGATATTGAAGAGTCACTGGAACGAGAGTTTGGAACTCTGGATACATATATCGTCATTGTGGAGTCGATCTGGTTGAGATCAACCATGCGCCGGCCACTGCATGCTTGGCCGAAAGTCTTTTCATATCATCACATGCTAGAATAGGCAAATGAGCAGACGAACAGGTTTTGAACTTGATAGTCATAGTAGTGGGTAATAAGTATACTAGTTATTAGGTAAGAAGTATACTAGGTAATAGATATACAAGGTGTGGCTCGTAAGGAGATTGTTCAATTTTTTCAATATCATCAACTTGTATATGCAATTTGTGTATGTATCCATTCATCATTTCCTTGAAGTCACAAGAGACGACCAGGAATCTAAAGCTAAACAGAGTGGAAGATTACTCTCCGCTATCCGAGTGAACCCAGGCATTCAAAGAACAGTGTTAAAAATGCCGGATGATAAAAGATTGCGGGTCGAAGACGGTATCGCAGGACGCGAACGACCGTATACCAAGTCTATCAGGCGAAAGCAAGATCTACGAAGGGGGAAATAGATGGGGGTCATGATGCACGTGCAGAGTCAACAGCACAAGCCAGACTCTATCACCGGAGACCAGATGGATTCTCTCCAGACGTGGGACATCATCAAAAAGGCGAAAGGAGAATGAAGAACGGGATCAAAAAGCAACTCTTCGTGTCCCTTTGGTTGTTGCTTCCAGGGGAGAAAGCAAGAGAAGGATACTCGTACACCCGATCAGACTTCATCGTGCCCGAACATACTTGGTGTGAGATCCCTGGGCGACAATCGTCAACCCTGAGTCAGTCTTCTTCGAAATGGTCACAGTCGTAAAAGCCAACGATTTCCCGACCTTGTTGGCCCGACTCTCAATCTCCAGCCAGTCACCCGCCGTGGCCGTCGACAAATAGTTGACGTGGATATCCGTACTGACGCCCGTCGCCTCATGCCCACAGGATGCTATCGCCAGACCACCTGCCCAGTCGGTCACAGTGGCTGAAAAAGCACCGTGAAGGGTACCCTTGGAGTTGAGTTGACGGGGGGTGACCAACAAGCGCGCCCGCACCACTGCAGGCTCAGCCTCGTAGATGTCGACTTCGCTCAACAGGAATTCATAGATGGGGCTGTTGGCGCGAATGCGCTCCCACACCTTCTGAACCAGTTGCAGCTCGGAACTCATCGTGGGTTCCAATGACTCGGAAAAGGGACTGACTGTACAACAAAGAGATAAGAAAACGGGTGTGTGTCGGGGAAGAGAAAGTTTTTCTTTAAAAGTGGGAAAGGAGGGAGATGTTGCCGGAAGTGGAATTATTGTTATTGCGCGGGTGTTGTCCGCTGTGGGGCTCTTCGCTAAGCCGGCAAACGGTTGGACTCTAGCGAACTACACTGCTTCAGTACGGATTCCACTCAGTTCAGGAGAGCTGTTTGAGTCGATTGAAAGTTTCTCTCTCATCACGGAGACAATTTATTCATTGCAGTCCCTCTAATTGTTGGTACATGATGCTGAAATTTGAGAAAACACCAGCAAGGGTGGTTCTAGTCAATGAAAAATCTACTGACAGACTGCGCAGCTTGATGAATGATACCTGGAAGCGCAACTCGACGAGATGCACATGATGCTGCTCGAAAATGTGTCGAGTATCCAGAAAATGTCCCTTGTAGTATGATCATGTGGATCTATGTACTTTACGTCTCAATGTCCGTCTATGATTTTGTCTTGTCCGAAGCAGGGACTCCCTTCAGTCGATGCCGCGACTTGCGCGACAGCATCTGCGACAGCATGAAATGATTCACGTCTTCATCACCCCAATAAGTCAGATGGCTGGCGATGCTGGCAATGAGAGAAATATCGAAGGCGCCTCTAGAAGGTTTGCAAGTGTTAGTCCCAATAGACTCCGAAAAAGTACACCATGGGAAACAAGCAGGCAACTTACTCTTGAATACTGTAATCCACGCGACCATTGGAATTCAGCGCTCGCACTTTGGCATCTTCAAATTTCATCTTGCGTTCCTGATCCTCAGCATTGATATCATTTGCTTTCCCGCCTGCGGGACGAGCTGAATCTTTCTTCTGCTGCGTGCGGCTTTTTTGGAAACCATCGTAGAGCGTTTCAAGATTGTGTTCAATCAGAGTCTCGTTGTGATCATCACTGCCATGCGACGAAGTATGTTGACTGAGACTTGACTGACTCCGTGTAGGTCCAGTCACGCCGTCAGCGGCGGGTCGGCTGCTGGAGACACCACGAGGTGTCGATTCCTCGGCGCTCAGGCCCAGACTTCGATTAAGCAAGCTGCTTGCGACGCCAGAGGTAAAATTGCTCCAAAGAGACCCCACACTCTGACCCATGCGCGAGCCCAAAATAGAGAGACTTTGTCCGGATGTGGCCCAGATACTTTTCTTCACGGAGGGCAAGGGCTGGGGTTTGAGACTAGCCATGGCCGGTGTGATCAAGGGCTCAAGACGGTAACTCACAGGATCTGAGGGGTGGAAGATGTTGTAGAGATCTCGACAGCGCGGAGCCGAGATGATGGCGGAATTCTCAATCAAATTACGACTGCTCTTTGAATCCCGGGACGATGCTCCAAGATCACCCAGGCGATGTGATTCAAGATCACCAGCATCCATTCCACCATGGCGGCCTCGCACCTCGACACCAGAATGGCCCGCAATGGTCTTTCCCTTGAGCATTTGGAACAGGGCAATAGGAGATCCGAGGCAGAAGAACTCTTCACAATCAAAATTTAATCTCGTGTCAGTACCACCCCGCTGATCAGCAAGATCGGCAGATCCAATGGCCGCCGCTCTACCCCTTGTACCCATATTGCCGGCGTCTGAAGATTGATGACAAAGTATATCGAATAGAATCGCACTTCCTAAGGAGTGACCGCATAGACTCACTGAACCCTTAAAAGAGGGATTCCGTTGTTGATACAATTCGAGAATTCGGTTACACTCTTGTTTGACAATGTTGGCAATGTGATCGGCATAGGCACTTTGGTATAAGAGCACGTCCATGGCCAGGTCGGAGATAAGGTTTCGCACGGCGGGTACACTCTCCAGAGTGATGTCGGCCAAACTGGGGTATGCATCATCGTCCAGTGTGTCTGCGTCGGTCAGGTCAAGCTCCTTCCGATTCTGTCGCACGCCTCGATAGGGAAAATCAAGCAGATGTCGCCAGCAACTTTTGAGAACACGAAAATTAGCCCAGCTCAAGAAGCTCTGTTTGTGGAGGGGGGATTCGACTTACACTGGAATGACCTGCACACGGCAATTACTCATGTGATCGGGGAACGCCGAGTTCAAGGCCTGAAGATCAGGGGACGCCTTGTAGACAGCCTTGAAAGTCTTCCGCAGAACATTTACATCGTGAATGAAATTGATGCTTTCTAATCGCAGACCAAGTCGTTGGCCGATGCCGTGGGTGACCAGGACCAGGTGATCGATCTCTCGGCCTTGGTCTTCGCTTTCAATCTCTCGCGAGTCTTCCATCTCCTGCTCCTCTTGCCGTCGAGCTTGCTCTTCCAGCTCAGCTTGATTCTGAGGTTGGCCCGCCAATGAGGACATTTGCCTTTCAAGTGTAGAAATCGGGCGATGTAACTCGGCCTCTAGTTCACCGTCGCTTCCAGACGCCTCCATGGAAGTGGACGTGGGCTTAGGGATGGCATCGGATGATGTAGTAGTCACTTCGCCTTGAGGCGTACTGGATGCCTTTCCATCTTGCTTGCGTTGCGGGGCTTTCATGTCGGCTACTTCCCGCGATCGCCGAGTCTCCCCGAGCCCTCGTACATACTTCATGCCTCGTGCACCACCTAGTGTTTGAAAGACTGTCGTGCTGACACGAGACATGAAGTCGTCCGTGGTCAGCCAGGCTGTTGTGGCATCTTCATATGTGACAATGCGATTCATGTAGGCACCAAACAGACGATACTGTTTAATATCCGTGGGAGCTGTAGTAGCAGATCCACTTGCCCCCGTCTGAGGCTTATCGCGCGGCTTTGTTGGCCGCGATGGCTCTGAAGCGGGACTTTGGGTACCGGAACCCGTATTTGCCCTGCTGCGGACATCGGCAGAGCTACTACTGTCCGACTTGTCTGCTCCTCCATCTTCCGTCACGAGTCGCCATGGGCGGAGTTTCACATAGCCCTCTTCCAGCTGGGTGGCCAAATTCTCTTCGCACGGCTTGAAGCTCGAACCTTCCTGCAAGAACCACGTGCCTCGCCGCACTTCATAGACGGGGCCAATCCAGTATGCCGGACTCAGCTCGCGGGCTTCGACATCCACATCAAAGAGGTAATCCTCATTGACCGGAACCTTGGCGGAAACTTGTTGTAATGCAGCTGTACGAGCAGCTTCGCTAGTGTGAGAGTCCTCGATCTCTGACAGCTTTTGAAAAGTAGCCTCGATCGCCTGCGAATCGCTGCGAGAGAATTGGACAAACTTCTTCGGAGGGGGCGGTGGCTTTTGTTCCGACTTCTTCTGGTCCGGTATGGCAAGTTTTCGTTTCGGCGAGTCCACCGCGTAGTACCATCGTGCTTTCAGTGGTGGACAGTCGGAAGGGTAGTAGCGAGAGCTCACTTTGTGCCTGTGGGTCACTGTGTGATCCTCGCCCTGAGATCGCTGCAGCACATCAGGGTTGCTGCCCGCAGGCCGATCTGACGACAGCGGGGTGGCACTTCTCGGGGTGCTCCAAGGAGAGAGATTCCCCAGAAACGATTTTTGCTCCGGCCCCGCCATGACGACTGGAGGTATGCCACGCTGGAGACCCTGTCGAGCGCGGGTGTAGCGGGGAAGAGAGCAGCTTGAAAGCCGGCCAGCTGTCAGCCCAGGAATCGCAAGCGTTGGCGATCCAAAGTGAGCACAACGGGGGAGCATTCAACCCGTGGGTAGTGTGCCATACAACTAGAATCTATCCAACCGAGGCTCCAGGGACAAAGACCAGCTGGCGCAAGCTTGTTTCTGTGGTCCCCGATGGGTAACGGGGGGAAGGGAGATCGCCGTGCAGAAAGTGGGCCGGTACAGCTGCCCCCAGGAGCCGGCTGTCTCGAGTATGATGTAATCGCGTGGGGGAAACCTGCATCCGACCGCCCGTTGGAGCCGATGGATTGAGTCACCTGACTTACCCAGCATTCCTGTCGAATCTGGGTTGGATCTTCCAATAAACATGAACCACAGTGACCGGTCAGTTAACTAGTGTGAACCTGATGCTTGATTATTTCCTGCTAGTAGCACCATACGACCTGCTGTTTAGTCTGTACAACTTTGTATGTAAGCATCATTGCGGTCATCGGCCATTCTTCTACCTGACTTGATGTTGAGCATCCTCCAGCTCACGTCTCCAGTTGCTTTGCGTTGTGCTTATGTGGTTCAATCCTTTCCTTAGTGAACGACACGCTGGATCATACTTGTAGAATAGATCGAGAGAATGTACAAGATTCCTAGTCCCGGAACTTAGATCTCTAGGCAAACAAGAGACGCCGAAAAAGCAGCTAGCCAGGCTCTCCTGATTGCTGCTCGGAGGAATGATGGAGAAGGCCATCGCTCATCATAAGGTCTGTTGCTATGGTGGTCGCGATGATGGAAAACACCCTCCGATGTGCACGTATACCTAAGGGTATACTCACAATGCGAGCCACCATGACCCGGAGGGCGATCAAGCCCTAGAGGTTTGGTAATCGAGAGCGCGAGGGAAAGATCAGAGTTCCACGTCTCGACATTTTGGAAAATCAAAGTACAAGATCATAGCCATGGGATATTCACCTTTTTTTTTTTCTTTTTTTTCCTTTTTTCTTTTTCCCACGATAGTCAAGGCCAATGCCCGATGTCGATGAGCGTCTAGCCAGCTGGAGATTTACTTGGTCAGGAAATCAGGGACTAGGCATCTGATAGTATTGATTCAAGTAAGGTTGGAAGCATTGTAGGAGCAGTGTTACGCACCACTTTGATCTAGCAGCCGGATGCTCCGTGTTACATACTTGAGTACCTTAGCAAAAGAGCTGCTACTTTGCTAACATGGATCAGTTACCGGGTAAAGTTCCAAACCTGCAGTCAACCCCGATACGTCAAGATGGATGGGTATACTAGGCTGCCTTGCAGGGCGACAATGACTATATAGACTTATCCAGTATGGTCTCTCGCAAGTGTGGCGCTCGACCTGAAATCACCAATGTGTCTGCCTGCGAAATAGGCTAACGAATTTGTGTAGCAAAGATGGTGGATTTTGTATTGCTGAAATGTGTTGCTGGATCTTATCAGTTCCCACTCCCCATGCACGACCAAGAACTGCACAGTACAGCATGCTTTTATCTGCCCGTTCATGACGATAGGAATGCATTCTATAGTAACCTATGTCCTATTGTAGTCACTAGTCAGGATGACTTGGTGTCTGTTGTACCGTTGCATCATCTGTAAGGTGCCCTTCCATGTCGCCGCCCGTCTTGAAGTGATCTTTACCGAACTCGAACACTTGGGAAAGTGCCGCAATTCTCTTGATCCAGCGGAATCGTCTAGGTATTCTCGAGGACGAGGTCACCCCTCGATCTTTGACCCAACTGCGACCATCAACTTGATGCCTGATCCATTCTCGTATTCCGCGTGGTGGCTGGAGGCGCGTATTCACTTCACGGCAGCCTTTACGACGTCATCGGGCAAGGCAGCAAGGTCTGTTCCGGAAAGCTGTATGACACGAGGTGGCCCAGTACTTTACCACTACATTATCTTAGCCTGGGGTCTGGGCGTGGAAAAAGTACTCAAGTCGTACTGCATGGTAAATACCATCTGCCAAGAGATCAGATCATCGGACATTCACAGTTCACACGATACGATCGAACGGTACCGTACAAGCGGTTCGGTAAACTTTGTAAAGTCTTCCCCGCCAACGTATTGCCCCCCACTTGCACTTGGAAAAAGGGCTCCCAGAAAGGGGAGAAGAGCAGCAAAGACAAGTGAAGGAGACACCGAGAAGGAGGCTGAGTCGCGGATGAGTAAAGCCATCGTAGTCTTTTCCTCTGCACCGAACAGGATCGTAATTTCTTCTCCATTTCCAAGGACAACCCATCCCTTCCAAATCTCACCCATTGAGAGATTCTGTAGTGGGCTGCGCCGCATCGTCTCTTGAGTCTGTTGTCATCCGAGCTTCGCGATCGTTCCCCTCTTCTCTCCGTCAACCGCCCCCTCCTTCTTCTTCCTCGTCCCCGTCGAGTTCCGGCGTGTTTGTCTTTGCGCCTGGTCACTACCTCCCTCCCTGCAGACCTCGAGTGTTGGTCACCCACTCACAATGAACGTTCTTAAGCTTCAAAAGTGCGTTGAGACCCTCGCTACCATCAACTCTGCGAGCATGAAGGTCAATGCTGACTGTAGCGCTCCGGTCTTCTCACAGGCGATTCCCGCAACTGGACCAGGGAGAGATTTTCTCCCTCCAGGATGCGTTTCGTCGGTTAGATGTCGAAGATCGTGGCTACCTTGATGAAGCCTCCGTCATCAAGGCCGCTCAGCAATCCGAGCGACAGCCTTACGACGTCGTGCGCCAGACCTTGAAGGGCGTGGAGCTGGACAGCTCCCGCCGCGTTGAGCTTGAGGATTACGTGGATGTACGTGGTTGATCTAGACCGAGCTCCTTCAAACACAAGAAACCAAATCTGGCAATTCTTGTAACCTCATTTGCCATCTTTTCCCCCCCTCACTGACTATCTCCCTTGCAACACCAGCTCATCTCGCGACTCCGTTCAGGATCGACCCCGGCCGCCGCGAGCCCCGCGGCTGTCATCCAGGCAGCTGGAGCCGGTGCCGGCGCCGGTGCAGGCGGCGCTCGTCACGTCTCCAAGGGCAGTGTTGGAGGCGGCCGTATCCACGTGCAAGGTTCTTCTGCGAATGTGACCCACACGATCAACGAGGATGAGCGAACCGAGTTCACACGGCATATCAATGCGGTGCTGGCCGGTGACCCGGATATTGGCGACAAGCTGCCCTTCCCCACTGACACCTTTGAGATGTTTGACGAGTGCAAGGACGGTCTGGTGTTGGCCAAATTGATTAACGACAGTGTGCCCGATACAATTGATGAACGTGTACTAAACAAGCCCGGAAAGAAGATCAAGACACTGAATGCCTTCCACATGACGGAGAACAATAACATTGTGATCAACTCGGCTAAGGGTATCGGCTGCTCTGTCGTCAACATTGGCAGTGGTGATATTATTGAGGTGCGCGAGCACTTGATCCTGGGTCTGATCTGGCAGGTCATTCGTCGTGGTCTATTGGGCAAAATTGATATCAAGCTTCACCCCGAGCTATACCGCCTGTTGGAAGAGGATGAGACCCTGGAGCAGTTCCTGCGTCTGCCCCCAGAGCAGATTTTGCTGCGTTGGTTCAACTATCATCTGAAGAATGCCAAGTGGGACCGCCGGTAAGTCACAATGATTCCTCTTCCGTCCAATTTGGTCTTTTTTTTTCTTTTGTCTCCTTTTTTCTTGAGCGTGGATCATGGCAGAATTCTCAGGATCGACTAACAGTTTTCTCTTCGTGGTGTTGACAGAGTGAACAACTTCTCAACCGATGTCAAAGATGGTGAGAACTATACTGTTCTGCTAAACCAATTGGCCCCCGACCTTTGCTCCCGCAGTCCTCTCCAGACCAATGACCTCCTGCAGCGCGCCGAGCAGGTACTCACCAACGCGGAGAAGCTGGACTGCCGCAAGTTCTTGACTCCCACTTCCCTTGTTGCCGGAAACCCTAAGCTGAACCTTGCCTTTGTTGCCAACCTCTTCAACACCCACCCTGGCTTGGACCCGATTACCGAGGAGGAGAAGCTCGAGGTGGAAGACTTTGATGCGGAGGGTGAGCGCGAGGCCCGTGTCTTTACCCTGTGGCTGAACTCACTGGACGTGCAACCGGCGGTGAATTCGCTCTTTGACGATCTGCGCGATGGTACCATTCTGCTGCAGGCTTACGATAAGGTGATCCCGGGCAGTGTCAACTGGAGACACGTCAACAAGCGGCCTGCCTCTGGTGGTGAAATGATGCGCTTCAAGGCTGTGGAAAATACCAATTACTCCATTGAGCTCGGCAAGCACCATGGATTCTCCTTGGTGGGAGTACAGGGGGCCGATATCACTGACGGCCAGCGCACACTCACGTTGGGTCTGGTCTGGCAACTGATGCGTCGGGATATCACGCGTACCCTGTCTGCGCTCGCCGAGCGTCTGGGCAAGCGCGAGATTACCGATGCGGAGATGATTCGCTGGGCCAACGACATGTCCAAGAGTGGTGGTCAAAACAGCGCGATCCGCAGCTTCAAGGATCCCTCGATCGGCACCGGTCGTTTCCTGCTGGATGTGTTGAACGGTATGAAGAGCAGCTACGTCGACTACGACCTGGTGACCCCCGGTCGCACCGACGAGGAGGCCTACGCCAATGCCAAGTTGAGTATCAGTATTGCGCGCAAGATGGGTGCTACCATCTGGTTGGTTCCCGAGGATATCTGCCAAGTGCGTTCTCGCCTGGTGACGACGTTCATTGGTAAGTGCATGGAACAATCCATCTGGTTTTTGTCCCCCCCCCCCCCCCTCCCCCCCCCGAAGTCGTCTGACGAACAACTTGATTAGGCTCCCTTATGGCCACGCACGAGAAGATGTGAGTCTGAGGACGAAACGATTCTATTGGGGTGGTACTCTGCAAGGTCTGCGAGGCTCTGCCTCGTGGCTTCTGGATGGATGCGATTCTTCCCCCTTCACGACTTTGCTTCTCGTTTCCGTTTTGTTTCCTTCTCATCCTTGCTTCCGCTTCTACTCGTTTTAACGTTTTCAAGAGTCTCCTGTCATCTTACGATGTATGTAGTATGTACATCTTTTTTTTGTTTTTCTCCGTACGGCTTGACATGATGAATGAAAAGCGTGCTCAATCGTGGAGAGCCACGGATTCGCGTAGTAAATGTACGCCTGTGCGGTCGAGGAACTGCGTAGTTATGTGTGGACGATCCAGTATTCCTGCACCAATACAGTAGGTCCTGGTCGTGGTCCTGGTCCTAGGTAGCAGATACTAAATACTGTAGGCAAGTTGGTAGGTAGTTGATCTCCTCGCAAGAGCAAACATATTCGAAATAGAGTACAACCAGCAACTACCAAGCCCAAGTATAGGTATTCGAGTAGTATTGACTATTGAGCGCAGTAGTACCTTTTGTCTCATCGCACCGATCGCAGTACCCGCCCTTCTGATTTACAGGTATAACTGGAGGTTGTATAACGATTCCTTGGTTCCCGGATTCATTGGGTGATGTCCGGACAGACTCCATTAACCACTTATCAGGTTTCCCGGGGCCTGACAGGGCCATGGGTGGTACTTTTTGTTTTGGGTACATACTACATAGTAGACCAGTTAGACGGGGTCCCAAGAGTCAATCAAGTTTATGGTGTATTCGAATCTCTCACGAGTCATCAGTCACTTTACCTGCCTACTATAGTACCTAGTGCCTAGTACCTACCCCGGACAGTCTCTCAAGTGTCCACCTCCAAGATTCATCCACATAGCTCCTCACACATACTGATTGAACCAAGCCACCATCTGCGTAAAAGCCGCCTCCTTGGCGAATCGCACGACAGGCTTGGTGATATCCGCACGCACGGCGAATCCGTGCTCGACGCCGCTGAACAGGTTGATCTGGTATGCTTGGCCGGTTTTGGCGAGGATTTGTTCGGATTCGTGCCGCTTTTCGGCGGGGAAGATGGAGTCGGTTTCTGGGGGGGGGAGGTAGATATTAGTTGGTGGTTGGGGTTGTGGGGGGCGATCTGGATGGGGATTCTGGATGGAGGAGAAGAAGGAAAGGGAAGGAAAAGAAGGGGGCTGTTTTCTTCTTTGCTTTCTTTTGGACATGGGTCATTGAAGAAGAAGAACGAGTAAGCTCACCTGCTGCCGCAATTGACAGGGGACGCTGAATCGCGGCCAATTCCTCCGCATCCACGAAACTGGGATGCGCAACGTAGGCAGCATCGACTTGGGCGTCTTTGAGCAGACGGACTGCGTACTTAGCCTGTACCATATACCCATAGAGCATTAGTTTTGCACCACCCGAAAGAAACACAAACGACTCCATCAGCGACTCAGCAGAAAAGTAGCTCGCAAGGTACAAAACCCCCGCTCGCTCGAGTAACCGCCCGACAAAGCCCGAATTCGACCACGGACTTACCCCGAAACAATAACCCACGACCCCGATCTTCTCACACCCCAACTTCGCCTTCATTTCGCCCAGCACGGCGTGCACGACGGGCTCCACGCGCGGCGGCAAATGGCCTGGTGGACCCTTCAACCAGGCCATGAGATCGAAGTCGGCCGGACGGTTCAAGGGGATGGGATCACCGTGGAACAGATCGGGCATGACGACGAAGTAGCCATTGGCGGCGAGTTGGTCTGCGATGAGTTGGGCGTTGATGAAGCGGTGGCCGATGACGTCGGTGAGGAGGAGGACGGCGCGAGAGGCGGCTTTGTTGGATGGATAGGTGAGGTATGTTTCGACTGGAGTTGGATCGAGTGAGAATCGCGGTTCTGAAGAGAGGTCGGGATGGGAAAGGATGGCGTGGGAGAGGGAGAAGTAGATGGGCAGAGGACGCCCGGGGGATTTGGGGGGAATATAAGGGAAATTGAAACGTATAGAGAAGGTTGATTCGAGGGATGTGGTGATGATGAATCCCAATATCGCGCCAGTGTATAGGATGAGATGGAGAGGAGGTTATTGTTTACATACCACCGCCAAATTGTTCTAGGGAACCCTTGGCTTCACCTTCGTGCTTGACGCCAATGGTGCAGCAAGCCGCAGGGGGATTGGAGGCCATGTTGTGAGAGTTGTGAATGAGATAGAATGAATGAAGAAAGTCCAATTGGAGAATGACGTTTCCCAATTTCACACTGACTTCAACAGTGAAATGGAGGTTCCCGTGACCTCAAACTGTGATATGAGCAACGTGAAGTATAGAAGAAAAGAAAGTCCAAACACAGGCGGAATGAAGGGGCGTTGAAGACAGCTCCTCGACTTTAATAGTTTGCTCGAGAACATGACTTAGCGTGACTCGGTACGAGCTCGTGACCAGCGAGGGCTCAACATCTCGCATGCAACCCGATGTACACCCTCTGAACTGTCAACGTTGGAACGATGAGATCACGTCCCGCGGGGCACCACAACCAGTGCAGATGGACGTCTCCGGAAAAGAGTTCCAGACTTCTCGCGGAACCGTCTGATTGGCAGTCAAGTCCACTTCCGCCATATAGTTGGATTGCAGATGCCGTGTAACCGTCGGAGTTTACGGAGATGAAAGACATCCAGTACAAGACCATTTGCAGATCGTGTAGGCGGATGAAAACGCAAGGGTGCCGAGGGGAGTAGAGTCGACAAGCTCACGTCGCTAGAGCGGGACTAGTACCCTTAGAAGATGACGACTGGCCGAACAAGCCCAATTCTAGAGAATCGATGCGCGCTCATCCGGCACTGAAGCATCCGGAGAGAAGGAATGCTTGACGGACATAAAAGGATCTCCTGCAGAGTTATCTCCAGCCCCGCATGTGACGAAGCGCAGGTACTGCCTTCCACCGTGCCGGAGCCGAGGCCTCGGTTTTTACGAGCGATGAACTCCTGCACAGTGTCTCACATCTACATGTCGATTGATGCGTAGGTACAGATGGGAAGCTTTCTTAACCCGGCGTACCAGTTAAATAATCAAATATAAACTACACAACAAACTTGGCCCCGTAAAGATCCCCAACCAGAAAAACACATTGCCCACCAAAGGTCTCCCCCGCAACAACCTCGTTCGACTCAACCACACCAACGGCAACTGCATCATCTGCAGAATCAACAGATACCCGCGCAGGCGCCGAAAGATGCACAGCATGACCAATTCATGCACACAGGCCGACAGGAAGAACGTCACCAGACTGGCCGAGACCCGCGACAGATGAAAGGAACTGATCGAGCTGTGGTAGACATGGCGCAGAAGGAAGTTGTGCACAGGACGGTTCCAGTCGCGAGCGAATTGATCCCAGGAGACCGAGTTCCACCAGTCGGCGTAGAAGCCTCGATCGGCGAAGCAGGTGATTTCGGCCAGAGTGTTGAGCTGGAAGGGTGGATAAGTAAGTCAAGAAGAACGGGGAAAAAATTGTAATCAGGTGAGAAGGGGTAGAGAAGGGGTAGAGAATGGAAGGATGGAGATGACACCAGGAAATGAACCAGAAATGAACCAGAAATGAATCAGAAATGAAGAGAAAAAAAAGAAAAGAAAAAACTTACCACACACTCCCAAATCACAAAAAAGGCCAAAAGATACTCCATCAAAAACGGAAACATCAAATCACTCAAGACCCAGGGAAATTCATGTAGTCGTTGTTGCACCGTCCACCCTTGCTCCTTCATCTCCACCGTACGCATCACAACCGGGTAGATCCAGTATTGCGACACCACAATCATCACCATGATCGTGGCAAACGTGGCGACCACCTTCTCAGCCAGGTATCCCCAATCAATGGACTTGGTCCGCGGGTACTCCAATTCGTACACGAGGGTGGGGAGCACGACAAACTCGCAGAAATTGCCGGCAGTCAAGTTCTGCGGATACTGACTCGTGGGAGAGTACTGTCCCTGCAGACCTTCGGTGAGAATGTCAATCTCACGAGTCAATAGACCCTGCAGGGTGTCCAACTGCTCAGGACTCAGAGTCGTTTGATGTTCGAGTGTGGCGGACAGGGACAACAAGTGGTCTGCGGCGCGGGTGGCATAAATTCCCTTGCGATCTGCAGACTTGCGTGGTCGATCTTGGGGTTTCATCGAGGTAAATCGGGAAACGAGTTCTTTGGACGATGGAGTAGTACTTTCTCCCGGGAGAGATGGAGAGTGCTCGCCCTGAACAATATCTTCCAGGCGTTTCAGACGGCCTTGAAGAAGATGTCGCTTCTTGTAGAGTTCCGACACTGTAGACCACAGTCAGCCGGTTGCTTTTTCCTCCTCTCCACGTGGCCCGACAAGATCTACCGCATTGTCAATCATATGGATCAACTTACAATACCCATTAAAAGAAGCATAACTATGCTGCTTCATCAACATGGTCAGGCAGTGCAGAACCATAAAGACCGTATGTGTCCACGGCCAATCTCGATGATACGTCCACCAAATGAAGCCAGCAAGGTAGGACGTTTGCCAGATCTGGTGAAATCACCCAGTCGTTATGTTAGCATCGTTTCATGGAAGGGCACTCGGCACTTCTTTCTCCATCAGGGTCGAATAAATTCACACCTACATGTTGCACAATCCAGCCCCCTCGACTCCACTGCACCCAACCCGGCAGAATCATCCGCTGTAGCGCCCAACAGAAGATCGTCGACCAGCACATCACAAAGTCCGTAATCCCGAGCACCAGCAGATCTCGACTCAGCATCATTTCCAGGATCTCGGTTCGACCAAACGGCGTTCCGAATGTGCGATAATTGTTCGCCGCCACTTTCACCACCATCATGGCCACTCCGAGCCAGAAGAGGGTGAAAAAGCCATGAAAGGGTGACGAGGCTGACGAGACATTCTGTCGATCGAATGTACTTCGCTGCTCGATGAACTGATAATCCCGGAAGGGGAAGCGATGCTTCCGCGTAGGTTTGTGGTCATCCTTTCCACTGGTGCTGGAAGAGGAAGAGGCGGGGGAAGCAGGAGACGAGGAAGCAGTCTCGATGAACGCAGTCTCCTTGAGGATTTCCTGGAGGAGCTTGGCGTCTGCAGCGGTGAGAATGAATTGACTCCCATGATCGGTCTCTTGAAGCTGGAGAGAGACACTGGCTCGTCTTTGAGAAAGTCCAGATTCCTGGGCGGTCTTCTTCTTCTTCTTGGTTTTGTCTTCACCCCACCCCCCACTGCTTTGCTCACTGGCATCCTCCTCCGAGGATTGAGAATCGGGCGGAGACGGGGGAAGAGACTCGGTCAGCTGGTTCACTTGAAGTGCTACTTCGTCATCTTGCTTGGCCTTTCCACTCATGGCGACCGAGTTCAAGGGAGTTTCCCAATGCGAACTGTTTGAGTCTCTTCCAATCCGATCGTATCTCCTTCTCTTTCTAGGTCTTCCTGTGCCCTGTCGTTATCTCCTAATCAAGCTGGACCTTCGTCATGCTTCTTATATTATACCGACCTCCCCGAACCCACCGTGGAGCCCATCCGTAGGGCTGGATGGCCTCGTGGGGATCCGGCAGGTTCGGATGCCTCGTGGCGAGGCCGAGCCGAGCCCACGGATGACATCAAACGGGGCCCCCTCCCAAAGTGAGGAAGCACGGATGCACATCGAGTTGTGCACTCAGCACTGTACTGAAGTAAGCTAGTGACTGTACTCATTCTACGCGAGAATCGCCGCGGATCGCCGTGACTGAAAATGAAGTCGTCACCTCCCATCGGCGCGGGGATGTGTAGACTGCAGAGGGTCCGGATGTACGAGCGGAATGGAAGCCAGCTGGAGGATCTCCACACGTCATGTGCGTGGTTCGGTCGAACAAGTGCCCGGACACGAACCGGAGTCGCAGTCGGAAAGGAAAAACAGAGAGATCAAGATGTTCAATGAGGAACCACGCACTGTCAATCGGACGACTGCGGGCTGATCTGACAGATGACATGGAAGCCCGAAACGCCGACTGCCGAAAGTCAAAACGGGCGATGGGGCGTCAGGAGGTGAGGCTGAAAAGGGAAAGGAAGCATGAGGATCGACTCCTGTTGCGGACGAGAGAGGACAAGAGAGAACCATCCCTTACTCATCCTGTCGGAGATGACTTTCACACACCTTATTTGAAATTATATCATGAAATGCATCGATCCCCATCACATCATCAACCGCAGTGGACCTCGAGAGTCTCGACCATACCATAGTAGTCGTAGTAGTAGTCGTAGTAATAGTAGTAATAGTAGTAATAGTAGTAGTAGTAGTAGTAGTGGACCACACAGCGAGTACCACGATGTCCAGGTAGGCAATGCAAGCTTATGCCAATGATGTCATAAGCCTGACATGGTCTAACCTTTTATGACCCTGACGATAGGAGAGAGCTACAGCCTTGGGAATAGAGTTGATTCCTTCTACCGTCGACTTGTTGATCACTAGCTACTCCATCTGTCAGAGTGTTCATTCAGGAACGGATCATTCAAACCCTAAAGAGTGTCGCCAATGCAGTAGCACTAGCCAGGGGCCGCCATCTCACGCCGAATTCAACGGCCACTTGGTCAATCCCTGAACCTGGAGATGAACATGGAAATTGAGGTAGCTCCTACGAGGTAAATAGCAAAAGATATGCACAGTCATTGCATGGTGCATACTATAGCAGGACCACAAAGTTCAACGACGTGCAGGTTGCATATTCAATACCTCTGAAGGGTTGATTACCGACGTTAGTAAACTTAGTACCTTCCTACCTACTAGACTAGGCGACTAGTATACCTACTTACCTGGCTTGTCAGGATAGCCAACCTCCACAGTACCTACCTAGGTCAGGAAGAGCACGAGTCCGGACGGGAGATGATCATTCTCCGGTCAAGGTCAAGGACATGGTCCATCGGCTGACGAGGCCGAGGTTGGAGTTAGTTTTGGAATGGTCCACCGCTGACACGTAAGTACCGAAATGAGTTCGATCTCCGTAGACATGGATGAAGGAAGAACAGACTGTCATCCATAAACCCATCTTAGTACCCATCACTTTCGGAGAATGGCATGTACCCTGCGCCGTAGAGTTAACTTCACTAGCAGACGGCTAGACGCTACTTAGTAAGTCAGTAGTACTTTGACGGTCTCCAATTGAGCTCCCGCAGTGGAGCGTCCCCTCCGTCTCCTCCCCACCCGCTCGATTTTCCAACTTCCCTTCTCCTCAGCTGTGATCTGTCACTTTCACTCACCCACCTATTTTCCTCCATTGACAACGCTCGCCTACCTCGTATTACTCCTCTCACCTGAGACGACCCACCATGCAATGGAGGACAACCCTAAAGTCGAGGTCGCCGGCACAGAAACGCCCAATGCCCAAATCACCACCACTACCACTACTTCCAACGAGGTAGAAATGACCGGCACCCAGGAGACCTCCGTTCCCCAAACACAGACTCAACCCGAGGCCGATGCGGGCGAGAGAGCTGTCCAAACCGAGTCAACGGCACTCGCGACAGAAGATACAGTAATTGAGGATGCGCCAAATGAGTCGGCGCCGCCAGCTCCTGCGCCAAAGAAGAGCGCAGGCTTCAAGTTCCTTGAGTAAGATTCTCTCCCTCTCACTTGCTCCTTCGGATGATTCATCCAAGCATTTTCACCTTTCCATTCCTCTTCTCTCTCTCCCATACAGGGCGTACTGAATCCCCGGGATCTGCCGACGTTTTGACGCGATCGAGCTCGGCGCATCCCGTTCTCCATCCTCCATTCCATTTTCGATCCTTCCCGCGTGAACCACGATGGCGCAAAACCTAATCGCCGGGTGTCTCTCTAGCTTCCTCACTTCGCCAATCGTCGAGATCCATGTGGGCGAGGGCACCGGGGCGCAAGTGCTTACTGCGCATCAAGCGCTCCTGCTGGACTCGCCATTCCTCGCCAAATTGGTCGAAAAATTCGATGGGTCATCAAGCGTACGTATTTTTCCCATGCTCTGTTGCGCAGCGCAAATCCACGATCCTAGCGTGCGCCATTCCACTCTCAAGCAAATGCCACCCTCGTCCTCCTTCCTCGCCCGCGTCGAACAAGATCTATTCTAATCCGTTTCCCCCTCTCCAGCGTCGCATCAACCTCCCAACCGAAAACGTCGAAGCCTTCAGTTGCTTCCTTCAATTCGAATACACTCGCGACTACTCCGTCCCCCAACAAGAAACCCCCACCGGCTCCGTCGAACCCGAAGGCGCCGCCCCCGTCGACCGCACCGGCGAGGAACTCCTACAACACGCACGCGTCTACACCCTAGCCGAGAAACTGGGCCTCCCCGCGCTCAAGAGTCTCGCCCACACCAAGATTCACCGCGTCAACGGCACCCCGCGCGGCGAATTGGCCTACGCCCGCTACGTCTACTCGCATACCTCGGCGGACGATCAAACGATCCGTCGCCCGGTGGCCTCGTACTGGGCTTCGCGCGGCCACGTGCTGCGCCATGAAGTCGGCGGGGACTGGGATAGCATGTGTGTGGAAGTTCCCGAGTTCACGACCGACGTGTTGAAATTCTTGATGGATCGGAAGGAAAAGTCTGGACCGGCGGAGACGAGCGAGTCGACCCCTCGGGGTCGGAAGCGCCTGCGGGCGGGCGAGAAATGAGTCTAGAACGCAACAAAACAAGAGAAGACTCAATATATCAATACACCAATACATAATGATCTATGCAATGAGCTTTCTCTCTTTTGAAATGGATCTCACGTGTAAAATAATCCAACGCACAGATTTGGCCTGGCTATTTGGGCCTGTCCTTTGGTACTTGGCGCTTACACCGCGTTCGAATCTCTTGTTACATGCTGAGCTCTATATAACCACAAACCGCACTCATTGCGCCAGACTTTCAACCTCTGCAAGCACCTTGGGCGTCGAGGTCAAATTATCGGGACCGTCCTTGGTGACGTGCACGTTGTCTTCGATGCGAACGCCGCCCACGCGCCAGTAGCGTTCCAGGACCGAGGTGTTGATGTATTTGCCGGTGTCGGCGGATGCGAGGACCGGGTCGATGATGAAGTGGCAGAAGTAGATCTGGACAGGCCACGTTATCAGTTCAATATCGAAGCGTACCAGGGAGGAAAAGAAACAAAAGGAAATGGAAAAGAAGGTAGGTGGTTGTCTTACCCCAGGCTCGACGGTAATCACCGATCCGGCAGGGAGCTTGCCGCGGGTTCGAAGGTAGCGGAACATCTTGTCGTTGTCGTTGTAGTTGGGGTTACCGCCAGTGTCGTGGGTATCCATACCCAGATAATGGCCCAGACCGTGAGGGAAGAAGGCCACGCTGACCCGCTTCTGGAAGATCTCCTCCTCGTCACCCTGGAGAATGCCCAGCTTCAACAATCCCTTGATTGCGACCCGGTGAGCCAGAGCATGCACGTCATCCCAGAGCACGCCTTCCTTCAACATGGCAATGCACTGCGTTTGCATATCCAGGACAATCTCGTAGATCTGGCGCGCCTCCTCGGGGAACCGCCCCGCCAGAGGCACCACACGAGTGATGTCCGCGCAATAGGTCTGGTACTCACCACCGGCATCGATCAACAGACTGCCCTTGCGCTGTTGATCAGGATAGTGGAAGCTGTCGTCATTCTTGACATAGTGCAGCGTAGCGCCATTCTCACCAGCCGCAAAGATGGGATGATACGACATCTCCCTGGCTCCGTGGGCAATGCACGTCTTGATAAATTCCGCCTCGACCTCACGCTCATTGCCGGCCTTGCGAGCGGCCTTCATACAAGCGATGTGACCTAGAGTCGAGATATCGTTCGCCTTTCGCAGCAGCGCAATCTCATACGCGTCCTTGACGACACGCGCATCGCCAATGACATCCTTCAGAACGGAGAGGTTGGTCTGCGCGAAGCCCTTGAAGTCGGTACCCTCGGAGACTTGCTGGTCGATCGCAAAGGCGACGGTCTTGCCTTCTTGGGCAGACGCGATAGAAGCCAGGGTCGAATTCACCTCGTTGGTGTAGTGCACTGCGTCAACATCGTACTGCTTCTTGGCCTGCTCGGGAGATAAGGGCAGTCCCATCCAGATGACGGAGTCCGGGTCAATGGGAGAGATGAAGAGGGTGAGCTGATCCTTTTTGGCGTCGTAGACAACCGAGGCATCGGGTTCGTTGCAGCCGGTGAGGTAAAAGAATGGGCGACGTTGACTGGAGGGAGAATCGAGGAAACGTAAGTATGGCCGTGATTTCCTCTTGCAATACTAGTAGGATTGAGCATGGGGAAAACAAAAAGGAAAAAGTATGGTGGATCCAGGGAACAATCAAGCATATTCGAAGATCTTCGCTCACACGGTAAAGAAGATACTGTACGTACCGGAAGTGCATAGCTTCGTCGCTGTCCTCAATCATCCGAGTCTTTTGAGCCTCCAGGTAAATGATGCCCACATCGCCATTCTTTTCCTTGAGCATCTGGGCAACACGGCGCGCATGCGCCTTGCCGGGATACTTGCCAGCGAGGATCTCGTCGACTGAAGCCATTGTGAATATATCCAGCGCCAGATCACGCTCGGATGCCGAGGTAAATATAAGAAATGCAAAGAACGAAAGACAGACACCCGGTAGATGCCAGACGAACTTGTCAAGACTGCCTGTCGCGGGGTTCCGTTTTTCTGCGGGGCTCTCGGCTCCATCTCATACAGGCGCCTTTTGTCAAGTGGACGGATTGGGACGACCCGGCTATTGACGGTCCACGGTTTAGTTTGACATCTGAGTCTATTTGGTCTAACGGGTAATGTTTCCGATACTGTAATTGTGTACATTGCCGTATGCAGCCAGCTTCAAATTCAACAGTCCAATGCATGTGCATTATTCAATATGTCTTGAGAATTGAGCGATGCATTCGAATGTTGTGAAGACAACACATGGTGAAGACAACACATGGTGAAGACAACACATGGTGAAGACAACACATGGTGAAGACAACACATGGTCAATTACGCAACATCTATGTTGGGAGTAATGGTCATGCTTTTTTTTCCGGCTCATCACATCAAATAAATCATTTCAAGCTGATAGATATATGTAAATCATTAATTGGTGCAGGTCATGTCGTCGCCTGGTCAATCTGATCATCAAAGATGCGCCTCGTAAGACCGACAGAGAAGAAGCTCAAGCTTAAGCCTCTGACCCAGAGACATCCTCAAATTCCATCTCCCATTGATCCACCTCTTTGAATTTTTCCACTGCGGCGCGCAGTTCTGCGCTGACAATGCGACGCGGCGGCTTTCCAACCCCATCGCCACCTTCAAAGTCTGACCCCTCTGAATCGGGCGGAGAGGACAAGGGTGACGAGGACGGAGACGACGCTTGCATGACATTCTCCTTATCCGTCCCAACGCTTTTCCTTGATCGCGAACGTCGTGAGGAACCTTGTACGTCCACAGACTTCCCTCTTGGCGCTGATTTAGATCGATTCCTCGTCTTTGTTGGGCTATTGAGTCTAGGTTTATCGTGCACATTACCAAATGGCTTGGGTTTGACCGAGCTGCCACTCCGCCTTTTTCGTCTCGTTGGTTGGTGATTGAGCTCATCTTCATCGCCCGATGTCGCATGATGCATGCCATCGTCGCTCCTTTCTTCGTCTTCGTCATCCTCGTCACTGGGCACTTCAAATTCGCCCAGGGTTCGACCTCGACGACGAGGTTTGCGTCGCCGCGGAAGCGCCTTTTCTTGTAATATTGCAGTAGACAGATGTGCAAGGTTTCGAGGTTTCCTCCCTCGTCGACCTTTTAGAGCAACCGTAGCCCCGGGTGAGCCTGGCCCGGTGGCGATTGAACTCATCGGACTGCTAGCTGGGGGTAGCATAGTTTGGCTGAGTATATCGGCAAAGCGCAGTGGCTGAGGAGTACTTTCGTACAGATTAGACGTTTGACTCTGTGGAATGGTCTGGCTTGGCAAAATATCCTGGCTTTGCGGGACGGGTGTCGGATTCGGTATGTCTTCCACCCTGTCGACAACTGAATGATTGATCACCACTGAAGGCGATTGGGGTACTTGAATCTCTATGTTGTGTTGCTGCGGTGGCGGCTGTTGCTGTTGATCGGACCGTCTGCGCTTTCTTGAACCCGGAGATGAGGGAGTAGATTTGGATGTTGAAGGCAATGGGCTGTCTTGTGCGATCAAGAGCGATTTTCCTCGCGTCAGATGTAACGGAGTGGTTGACTCGTCCTCGGGGCTGAGTCCACCCAACAAATCCTCATCATCAAGCTCCAACGTATCGTCCTCATCTTGCATCATGTGGAGAATACTCTGCTGTCGCGGTCGTCGCCGGAAAGTTCCCAGCACAGAATGTTCAAATCCTGGCGTCCCAGGGACACGTGAGCCGGCGTCGCCTTTGCGCCCAGCGAGGGAAAGTGTCGACGAATAGCCTCGGGATCGCGTCGGGGGCCGACTGCCCGTACCGGGTCGACTACCAGTTCCCGGCTTGTCGCCTGCCGGTGATGAAGCGAGCGAATCTTCATTTCTTTGCGCCAGGGGTGTCTGGCTTCGCAGGGTGCGTCTTGAATGTTTGATCGCGTTGTCCACAGAGGGGGACTCGGGTGCGGGGGCTTTGGTGATTTCGGCCGACTCTGATTCTGGCGCAGACTTGGAGTTGCTGGCCCTAGATGCCTTCAAAGAGCGATTTCGCTTGGCCGCTGGACGAGGCATGATGTTCGATAGCTTTGGAGAGAGCTGGTGGGGGAGGAGATATCTCGACAGCTCTTTTGACGTCGTACCGCGATAGACGAGATGGAGGCGCGTTTGTTGAGCAAAACGCGTGTCCACGTGAGATAAGAGGAAGTCTATATCTTATCGGCTTATCGATCGCTCCTATGCCGGCGCTTCCTAAAGTATGGGAGGTGGTACCACTATTTGCTAGTACTACAGTCATAATGGGGATCGCCGCACTATTTCTCGAGGTAGATTCCGTTTTTGCGAACCTCTTCCTGCGTTCGGTCCAGGGTTGTTAAAGGAATTCGCAAAAAATGATATTACCCTGAAGAGAAAAAGCAATCAGCGACTACCGTGAACTTTACAGTCTATATGGAGATGCCTTTCTTACGAAGCTCGGACTGATGGCCTGACCTAATCGGACTGCCTAATCAACCACGGACCAGCTCCCCCGTGTGTCGCAAATGGCATTCTTTGCGATGATTTGCTGCGCGGCGTACTTGACCAGCGCTTGCAGATCCACAAGCGCTCCGCCGACGGGGGAACTAAACCGAGACGGGAATCATGTCGAGCTGCGATGGAGCTCAACGGTGGCAGACAACGCCTCAGACAGCCGAGAATCAACTCAAAAATACCTTCCCCGCTGTGCATTAGTTGGGGTTGCGTTCTTTCAAGATGTTGATTCGTTCGTGGAATATTAATTCAGCCTTTCCCCGCGGCCAAATGGCTCTCCCTCGGCCGCCTTTCTTTCCCAGACGAGCCAACGTCGAATGCGATCCAAAATTATTCGCTCGCGCGCTCGCCAGGAGCGTCACTGTTGCTGGTTCTTTCAGGCCAGGCTAGCATGAAAGAGCAGACGATTATCTTCCCCAGTGAGATCGTACTTGCTGGCATTGCATTCTCTCACGGGCAATTTCCTTCGACCGGACCGTCTTTCCTCGGGTTCATGGTGTCCTAGAATGACCATGACGCCAACACCAGAGAGGGACGCTGATGGTATGACCGGCATTGAGCTTGAATTCTCCCTTAACAAGAAGCGAACGGGTGAAGATATTGCCGAGTATCCGCGAAGAAGGGCGACAATTGCTGTGAGCCTGGCTCTTCTGTCATTGTGCACGATTCAGTTGAACGAACCTGATGGTGAAGACTGACGCCCACTCACACAGTGTCAAATATGCCGCTTACGCAAGACAAGATGCAATGGGGCACGTCCTAAATGTCAACTTTGCTCCGATCTCGATGCCGAATGTATTTATCGTGAGCCCGGGGTCAAGCTTGACGCGGGCGACAAGCTCATCCTTGAGCAATTGACTCGAATCGAAGGGTTACTTCAGTCAAGTCTATCAGTACAGACCCATCCACATCAATTGACACTCTCGTCCGCCTCACCCGCGACCAGCAATGATACCGGAATGGGCATCGAGGATCCTTTCAGCCGCATCAGTGGATTCATGTCTACGACGAGTAAGATGGCTGCCGTAGGACTGGGGTCTTGGGCCAACCCACCACCTAGCATCAGCATTTCGACCATGCCCAAAGTTCACAGTACCCCGGCTTTGCATCTTTTGCAGTGGCCGCTGATTCGAGATTTAGTCTCGAGGCCGTACGATCCTCAAAACCTCCTCCAACTAGAGATGGCGCGTGAACCGTTACGTCTCAATCCAAATTCCGGATTCGATTTGGGCAATGCGCCTGTTTACGTTCGGGCGTTCTTTGGACATGCGAATATTTGGTACGCATGTGTGAACCCCTACAATTGGGACCGTTACTACCGGACTGCCCTGGCTCAAAGATTCAGAGATGGACCGGTCAGTTGTCTGGTTTTGTTGGTATTAGCTCTGGGAGCAGCCAGTCGGCATGGGAGCATTGCATCTCTTCCTCGAGACCGAGAACCCCCGGGGTTGCCCTACTTCGCCGCAGCCTGGGCAATCCTTCCCTCGATCATGATGCGTAACTCGGTGATTGCAGCCCAATGTATGATTCTTGCGTCTGCCTACTTATTCTATCTTGTACGACCGCTTGAAGCGTGGACGATCTTGTCCAGTGTGAGCTTGAAGCTTCAGCTACTTCTGGGTAATCCTGATCGAGTCCCCGCGCAATGGAAAGAGCTCAGCATTCGAGTCTACTGGAATGCACTGCTCTTTGAGAGCGATCTCCTCGCGGAGCTTGACTTGCCACACTCGGGTATTGTCAACTTTGAAGAGCTCGTGGATCTGCCAGGAGGATTTGACGAGTATGAGGATGAGGAGGAAAGTTTTCCTGAGTATCAAAGGCACGCTTTCGAGGATTCTCAACCGCGTGATCATATCCAGCGCTCAAGATCTACGGGACTCGACAGCAAGAAGAACAAACAAGATAGTCACAACAACAGCATCCCACCTGAACAATCTCAACCCGACCGAGAGTCAGGAAAGGGTCTAGGGACACACCAGGACGAAATATGGTACTTTCTCGCCGAAATTGCCCTCCGTCGGCTTCTCAACCGAGTCAGTCATCTTATCTATCAAAAGGACAGCACTCACACTCTCGCCTCTCTGGGACCCATCGTTTCTGAACTCGACTTTCAACTTGCCCAATGGTACGAAAGTCTTCCTCAACCTATTCAATTCCCACTCAACCCTACTACTACTACTACTACTACTACTCCTACTACTACCACCACCACCACGACTACCACTATAATCACTACTCCTTCCCGACAACCTCCATCACTATCATCCTCCACCTCACCTTCCACCGCCTCTTCTTCCCAAACACAATCAAACGCACCACCTCAACCACCAATAAACCCCATCCAAACCGTCCTCCGCCTCCGCTACAACGCCTGCCGCACCATCATCTACCGCCCCTACGTCCTCGCCGTCCTCGAGCACGAATCCGCCGGTTCCGACCCAGGTGTCCTAGAATGCTGCCGCCGCTGTCTCGACGCCACCCTCCGCCAACTCGAAAACATCACCTCTCATCGCGAGGGCCACCTCCCTTATCTCTGGCAGGGCGCTCTATCCATGGTTTCCCAGGCTCTGATCATTATGGGCGCAACCATGTCTCCCACTCTATCGACCTTACTTCCTGCCAAGGGGAGGATCGATGCGATTATTGCCGGGGTCGTCGATGAAGTCCAGAGGTATGCGCATCTAGCTCCGAGTTTAAAGTTGGCGGAGGAAATCATTCGAGACGCGGAGAGGAGAAGAAGGATTCTTCTTCGTTCCTGAGAGGAAAGAAAAGACACGGAAGCAAAGAGAGAGAGAGAGAGAGAGAGAGAGAGAGAGAGAAATATCAATAGGCTTGATTATCTTGGGGATGTGTTCGTTCCCAGCCAGGTTCATGCAGAGACAGCGAAAGCACGAAAAAGTCATACCAAGACCTTCAAACAGCCCATTCAATTCCCAGAAACCTTTTCTAACCCAACATCCATTAGTAAACCCAACCCTCTATTAGCGCAATCGAAACAAGACATGAACGAAAAATCGACCCTGAAAAGACCTTAACCCCTTCCAACCCTAACTCTACCTAGTCAGTAGAACCAGACACTGATCTGGCAACTTTGATGATCCAAAAAAAAAATAATAAACTAAAAAGAAGATCACGAAAATAAAAAGCGGAAATAAACCCAAACAAACCCTAACCCCCATCAAACAACCACAAAATCCCAGAACCCCATCCCCCGACGCCCCAGAAACTAAACCTTTCCCGCCTATCTAAGTCCTGACCAAGCGAGGCTCCCGTCGCAACGATCATCCTTGAAAAATGTACCTGCGAACGCCTATTATGCAGGTTTCACACGCGAGATCCCCAAGTCGATCTACTAGGTTGAGCGAATATTCCCAGAATCAGGTTGACTGCTGTTTGAGCCCCGGTTTTTTTAAGGTGGATTCTCCAGGGTTTACGGGATCTATTTTCAGATGTGCTGTGTCGATAGAGGTAGGCCTGTCAAAGGTGTTTCGTATGAACAGGTGATGAGGTGATCAGGAAGGTGCGACTACGTTAATGTCTTCTAGATTGAATTACTGTGAAATAGTTTTACCTGGTGGCCGCGATCTAGTCGAGTGCATTGAGTTTTAGCGGGCATTCCTACATTCATATGTAGTGGAACGCAACAGGTGGGTTATATCAGAGTCACACAGCTAAGCTACAAATGCAGAGCTCTCTACCATCACAGTAAAAGTATGAATAATATTTTTATTTGATCTTCAAATTTCGCAGATCCCCTCTTGAACTCTCTTAAAGTCAGTCGATTCTCTTCTGCAGTGTAGAATGCAAATCACATCGGAGTAAGTAATCGAGGAAGGGATAAGAGAAATAGGCGAGGCGAGGTGGGAACAAAGTCATGGTATCTTGAGCAGACATGGAGCATGGAGGAACATGGAACATCAATGGGTGGGCAAATCGGGTTTCAGCATAATATAGGACAGAGAACATGAGGCGTCAGTCACGGGAGAGCAAAATGACTCCTGAGATTGCGGTGGATGGTACAGTCAAAATCAATATCAGTGTAGTGAGAGAGAGGGCCTAGCGATCATGTTGGATTAGAATAAGGCGGGGGAGGATCACCCAAGAAGCAGGTGGTGATGATGATGATGATGATGATGCTGATGCAGGTGTTGAGGACAGTTTAGCCACAAATGGCTGAATACAGCGAGGAAAACAATCACACTAGTATCAAAGACGTGAGTCTGATCCTCTCTATGTAATGCAGTTGGGGCAAGGGAACGAACATGCGGAGTAGGGGGGCAAAGGTTGAGACTCGGAGATTGCAATGCAGGGGAGAGGGGGCAAAGACAGACAGGTGGTCGAGATCTGAGATATGAAGCAATGGGTCAAAGGCAAAGAGACACCCAATTCCAATCATTATATGTTAGATCATAACCCATTCGCTGCCTCGCTTGATGAATTTATCCAGCATCAGGCCGACATCGGCTAAAGCAAAGCGACAAATGTAGAAACCAAAGAACTCTGCAGCATGACGTGTACAAAGCTCAAGACCAACATGTGTTGGCGAGGAATGCTTGAGACCTGGATCTTCGACTTGTTGGGCGATTTGGTCTGTACAAAGAAGTCAGCATAAAAGCCAATATTGAATATGTTTTAAGAAAGAGAGAGAAAAGAAAGGGCTAGGGTTGAGCATACCCAAGATCTGAGCGGCGTCGAATAGCCGCGCCAGAGCACCCATGTAATGGGAATTCGGACCAGAAAAGTCCAATGAAGTGACAGTCCGTCGGCTTTGATCCACTGGGGCGGCAGTCATTGGAACAGAAGTCATGGTCAAATGTTCTTTGCTGGTATCCCGGGCAGTCGAGAATGAGCTCACCGTGGGAATGCCCGAGGTTTTGGAACGCAGTCGCTTCCACGTCGGCCGGTAAGACTTGCTGGACGTGCTTGACGATTTGACTGAAGGGACCTCGAATGGAGCCGCATCGTCGAATGAGGCGTGTTGCTTGAGCTGCGGGATCGCAGCATGAACACCAACTTCGTTGCCCAGCTTCTTCGACAGCACAATCTGGGCTTGGTCAAGAATGTTCTCGAAAGATTGCATCTCTTCCAAGACGGCATCCGCATCGTACATGTCCACCTGAGCCAATTTCAAGAGGGCTGCAGTCAACAAGTCGCAATTCGAGATCTTATCTTCCACGGACTTGATTTTGACATTTTTGACGCGCCAGACGTCGCGTGGGATGAAGAGCTTCGTAGAGAGATAGCCACCAAGGGGGGTGTGAGAGGGTCTGATACAGACAGCGCATGAGCCAGAATGGGCGCAGGAGGAATGATTCAGGACAAGGCTCCAAGGGGAGCGGCGCATTGTGCACGAGCAGATTCGGGCGACCCAGCGAGGTAGGGGAATGGATCTCACAGTTGAAAAGATCGAGACCACCTGTGGGCAGGCCATTCTGAGTAAAGAGAGGCACTGTGGGAGTCGGGAGAACCGGCACGCTGGGGATGCCGCTGGCTTTCTGAGTTTCCTGTGACGAAAAGGAGCCGCTCCAAGGAGTTGTGGGGGAGACGGGCGCAGTGTCGGGGATTGGTACAGAGACATTGCGATTTCGGAACGACTTGGTAGTAGCACCAACTTTATCCAGACCATCAGGAGCAGAGGGCACTTTACCCATCGGACGTGCCGTGGCCGGCAGAACAGACAAACCACCTTCGTCGTCGTCTTGCGTGCGAGTCTTGACCAGGTTGATGTGGTCCACAAAGGATCCAATCGAAGGATTGCGTCGGGATGTGGAATGAACATTTCCGGCTCGCAAATTAGGTGTTGTCGACCGTGAGGGCTCTTGTGAGGCTTCGTCTCTGACGTTGGTGTGTGCAGGTTTTGTTGGGGGAATCGTGAAAGGGTCAACGTTCGATACCGAGGAGGCACTGCGGGTATGCGAGCCAGTCTCGATTTTGAGTTCAGTAGAGGCCTGGCCTGATAGTCTTCGAGCACGAACTCCGGGCACGGGGGGCGGTCCCATCGGGGGCGGAGGGGGTGGTGATGGTGATGAAACGGATGCGCGGTGTGGTGGCAGGTCGGGAAAATCAGACGAGACAGGAATCGGGGGCAGAGCTGCCGTGGGTGGAGGGGCAGTGGGAAGGACGTTCTTATCAAGGTATTGCGGGGGCAAAACATCCTCGTCGTCGTCTTCGTCTTCCGTGAGTGTAGACAATGCCAGACCACCAGGCCCCGTGATATTCGACCCATTTGAGCTCTCCCAAGTGCGTGCGGAGGTGTTGCTCGAGTCGGATTCACGAGGCAAGGCTGATTTGGACTGGAGGCCAAATTCAAATTCATCCATGACATAGCCCTTGGTCATCTCCTCCAGCAGTCGCTCTTCCTCTTCGGCTTCTTCATCCAGATACTCCAGAGTGGCCCCTCCTGTTTCATCCAAGAGATACTGCTCGTGAAGGTGACGAGTGTCTTGACCGCGGCTCATGGCGGCTTCGGCTTCTAATTCTGCCTCCCGAACCCGTTGCTTCGCAAGCTCAATATTTCGGCGCGCGTTGGCAACCACGCTATCGCCTTCTTCGTCTTGATACTCCGTCACAGGCTCCAACCCATCATCATAGGCTGCCTCGACAGCAGCGTCCAACGCCGCGTCGAATTCGGCCTCGGTGTCGGTACTGAGGCGGCGGCTGGTTCGTCGGCGCAAATACACCGAAGAGGCTTTGGAATCGGTGGAAGACGGGGACGAAGCACCAGACTCGTCAATCGTGTCGAGCCACGAGGTCGTCTCATTCGTCTCAAACGGCGCTGCGGGCTCCAGAAAAGCCGGATTGCTGTAGGCCGCCAAGTTGTTACCCAAGCCCGCCGGGGTCGTTCTGCCCGAGTGCGCCGCAGGTCGTAAGGATTGACGTCGAGGGGGGATTGCGTCGAAAGGCAAAGGCCGAGGTTCTTCAAAGGCCGCCTGCAGGCGCAAGCTAGAATGAGAAGAGCTGTTTGGGCTATCTGCATACGAATCATCCTGTACAGTCGCAACGGCGTGAAGAAGTTCCCCGAAGGACTCTTGACTGAGTGGACGCTCGGGGAGCGCCTTGCCGTCGGATTCCAATATTGAAAAGTCCATGCGCCGAAGTTCGGTGATTCGGGTCATGTAAGTGTCACGCTGTATTTTTCATCCCAGAAATCAGTATCTCCTTGTCTTTCGATCAAATCAAAATCCTCGCGGCATCACCAGATGCCAGCAAAGTGTTGCGGAAATTTCATCGCTCACGTACGATTTCTTGAAGTTTGAGCCTCTCCTCATCGCCTCCATTACTTCGCAGCATCACCAACTGCAAGAGTTGGCAAGCATCCGTGTATGCGTCCATGGCGCCCTCAAAGTTGGCGGCATTGTCCAGCAAAACGGCCGTGTTAGCCTTTTGGAGTGCCTTTGAGAGCATCGCCTTCTGTGTCGCTCCATGCTGTCGAGATTCTGCGTCTCCGTCTCCGTCTCCGTCTGCCAGAATACCGCCGTCACTGGGGTGCACGATCGGAGAGTCATAATGCGACGGCACATGGCCTAGGATCATGGAATCGTGGTAGTTGTCGTGGTCATGGTCGTGGTCGGTGGATGCAAACGACAAATCGACCCGAGGAGTGGCCTGATCGGACCCAAACATTTGTGATGCACGCAGCTCAGGTACCGTCACTTCGGGCAATTCGACCCGGGTTGCGAATCGGTAGGGGCTATGGGCGGAATTGGCGAGGGAGAATTTGGAGCTGTCGCGACGGTGACCCACGTATTCCGAGGGACTTTGGCTGGAGGAGGTCGATTGTGACCAACGATTGAGGCTTCCCAGCCCTTCTTTGATCGGACTCGAGGGTGTCCAGGCGATTGCTCGCTCGGGGCTTGCGGAGGCGATCTTGCCAGCACCTCCTCCACCGACACCTCCTCCGCCTCCTCCTATTCCCGATGGATGTGGTGATCGAGCGAGGCGCGATGCTGGTCGATGCGGCAGCGGTCCGGAGGACGCTTCGGTCATGGGGACCGAGGGACGGCGGGGATGGAATGATTGTGTATCATCCTCCAGGGCGGAGCGGTAGAGCATTGTTCCCGATGCAGCGACAGAGAGTGGCAGACAATAATTGTCGGGTCTGGTCATTGACCGACGTCGGACATTGGAAGGAAGAGCAACTGAGGCGCAGGCGCACCGGTCACGAACGGGGACGCTGATGGTCACCCTGGAATCCCTGAATGACCCTCTTCAGATGACAGCCAGCGGAGGGGTTGAGTCAATAGATCTTAGTGTCTTGGAAATTCAAAGATGCATGATTCCCAACCACTTTGCGAGGGTTGAGGGGGTTGGGATTGAATCGACGGATGTTTTCTTTGCGGGTTCAGGAGTATTGTTTGCACTTTCAGGTACCCCGACCTGATGTGAAAAGTGGACACTACTAATTGGACTGTACTGATTGCCGTATACTCAATTAGGCTTATCGGCGCGCCGGTCTCGATGAGATCTGTGACAATTCCACGCGAGCGATTCTAACACAAGGATCGCACAGACCAGGACGACATATTGCAGGATGGAGACGTGGGAGAGAAGGCAGTCGTGTAGGGACAACGCCGGCGGATCACTTTTAGGGGGGGGGGGGGGGGGAGAGAGAGAGGGAGAAGGGGAGAAACAGAGCGACCGAAGTATTGGGATGTGGGGGGTGGGAAGAAGAGGAGAAAGTACGCCGACGATCCAAGACGGGACGACGATGGATTGTGCACCAGGGGAACCCACAAATCCCCGAGGGTACGAGCAATGTGATCTGTGATCTGTGATCTGTGGGTAGTAGGTCTATTCTGTTGTCTCGTTCCTCTATGCCGATCTCGTTGGATAGGTGCAAAACCACCACCGGCTCTGGTAAGAGCGAGTCAGCGTCCACGCCAGTCCGGTCGGGTCAGAGCAACTCAGCTCAGCTCCGGTCAGTCAGGGGGTGAGAGGCGCTTGTCCGGCTGTGAGAATCCTTCCAGTGTCCACCGATCGAGAGACCAGAGTCAAGACTCAAGAGGCAGAAGGGGGTGGGCCATGAAGAGCCATGAAAGGGCACGTTGATAGACTGCGAGTGGTTCGCTCGCCTTTTGCTTTCTGTTTTCTGGCGTCTTGTCTTTCGTTTGGATTTTTTTTTCTTTTCTTTTTCTGTTTTTGTTCTCGTTTTGGGGAGGCTCCAGCACGCGTGGAGAGACGAGCGGTTCGTGGTTGGACCCATTCGGGGAGAGGATCCCCGGTTTGACTTTGGTGGAGTGGCAGGCTTCGATGTGGTTCAGATTCAGGGGGAAAGAAATGAGGAGAAGAAAGAGGAATGGAATCGAGAGAGAGCAACTCAACCCTGAACTCCAGACGAAATCGACTCAGGTCCAGTGACCGTCACGGGAACAATTTAAGCGTTTAGACGCTCCAGTACACGGCTGGGGCAATTCCAACAGATTGGTGAAGATGCTTAAAAGTGGTCAGTGGTGATATAGCCAAGTACACTCGATCGGAGGGGTCTCGAGAATGTGCGATGACCTCGTGGAGCACTCGGTGAACTACAGTAGATTCACTCGAATGACATATGCAAGAATGATATACTCTGTGGATCAATTGCTTCAGAGGGGTGACTCTGAAGGGTGTATGACTATGTAGTGTGTAGTACATACTACATACTATGTACTATTGTATAGTGTATATCTGTATACCTGAGTAGAGCATGCTACACTCAGCTACACGGCTACAGTAATACTCCTACGACTAGTAGTCCACTATTAATCTACCACTGCTCAGGGCTCACCTAGACGGTACTTGACATTGTTACCATGCCAACTAAGGGGAAGGACAAAAAAGAGTCCGTGACGTGAGAATGACATTGCATGCAAACAGTGGCTGCAGAGAATCACGATTCCGACCAGAACAACCTCAAGCCGACGGGCGTCAAACCTACCTCGAGTGCCGGAGGATAAGGTTTGGTACCAGTTGAAAACACTAACAGACCTGTCACTGCCGAACGGAGGCCTTCACACGAAGGTACTCATGGAAGTACCAAAAGATCGGGTCAGGCAGATAGTCCGCAAATATGAACCGGCCAGGCGTAAAAAGGGTTCGTAGGTCGAGAGAAATGTCCACATAACAGTCACTGCACGATGACTTGGAACTCTTGGGTCCGGGAACGGACCTCTCATGTGCCGGCTGTACGGAGTCCAAATCAACAAGACCTGGAGACCGGAACTTACATTCCAGTCTCTCGTGTAATGGTTATCGATACTTCCAGTCTTCCTCGGAAAATATTGCTCAATCGGCCAAGCCTACCTGGACGACACAGTGATAGCGAACTGAATCATGGAGTATATTGCCTAATCAAGATCATAAACTAGTGCAAACGGCAATCCACTACCTTTTTAGAACTCAGATGGCCTGCTCCTTGAAGAGGTCACGGGATCTACGCAGGCAAGCTACGGATAGGATAGTCCTCGAGGGTTATTAAACAAACATATCCTCGATTCAGATGAGCACGAGCTTCGTGAGCCAATGACTCGATCTGCCTCGAGTGTAGAGAGAGGTCGGTCTTGTGTAAGACCAGACCAAAGCTTCGTGGCTGACAGCCAATTCAAAGATTCACTGGCGACAATTCCCCGCCCTCCAGTTCTCTTCCCCAAGTCTAGATTGAAAAATCAAATAAGCTTATTGCGAGTCCGGTGGAAATCCAACTCGATCGAGCCAAGACCTGGCGCCGGAGTTTAAAATGCGGCGTAGATCCGACGCGCGACTGGACTTCCAGGTCTCTGATTTGACTCAGCTACCCGAATGACGTGCCTGAGGACGTACCGTATTCATTGAGGGGCTACGTCTCACGACATGTTGATCATGATACAATTGTCTCGTGCTCATCGTGCATTACTATGAATTACTTGATGACGATGTGAGTGACAGCCAAGGTGAGAATATGAAACAGCACCTCCTTACAGTATGTAGACTATGTACTATATGTAAATCAGTATGGAGTAATGTAGTATGTACTATTCTCACTCAACTACCTCACTCGTGGCCGTGACCACGACCGGGCCATTTGAAACTCATACCTCGTACATAACAGTTATCCAACTTTGCGGTATATCTCTTGGCTTATCTCTGACCCCGCCATCATTGGATTCATGATTCATGATTCATGATTCAGCACCAAATTGGTCGCAATCAAACGGGCGTGAGATCCCCACCTGAACACCCGCTTAGCACCGGAAGCGCGAGGGGAAATCTGAGGAACGCCGAGGAAGACACCCAAAGAGGAAAAGAACAAGAAGAAACACGGAAGAAGAGAGGGGAAAAAAAATTACCACACAAATTTGTAATTCATCAGACACAGGATCAAAGACCACGAGTGGCCTCCGTCGGCAATCATCATCTCTACATCTCGCTCACCAGAGAGCTCTCCCTCGGTATATGAACCGTTCCATCCTCTCACGCCCACTTGGCCGTCTCTCCTCCTCGACCACGCATCATCTCGGGTCCTTTCTCTTTCGCCCACGCGTCTTATCCAGCATGGCCGTGGCCTCCTCCACCCCGCGTGATCCCAACACGCTGAGCAACTACCACCACTGGCGCTCCACCCATATCACCGCTAACTTTGACATCCTCTTCGACCAGAAGAAGCTCGTCGGCAATGTGATCCACAAGTTCCGCTCCACCACCGATGCGCAATCCCAGGAGATCATCCTCGACACGAGCTTCCTCGACATTGGCGAGGTCAAGGTTGACGGTCAGGAGTCGCAATGGGAGTTGATGCCTGCCGTCGCGCCCTACGGAACCCCCTTGAAGATTGTCCTGGAGAAGCCCGTGGAGCTCGATGGGACTGTGGAAGTTGATGTACGTTGTCCCCATGACTGGTGGTGGTAGTCGTCACGTCAAGGCACTGCACCACCGTACACCGAGGGGAAAAGCAGTGGATGGATGACGCACGGCACGCGCACGAACCACAAGGATAGCTATTAATCCATGCGATAGATTGCGGTCAAGACCACCGAACAGTGCACCGCGCTGCAGTGGTTGACCCCGGCGCAAACGTCCAACAAAAAACACCCGTACATGTGTAGGTGACCAGGTGACGATCATCCCTTCGTCAGACGCCTCCCTCGCATTGCTTTGGGCATGAGAGTTATGCAATCTGCTCAGGTCAAAAGCTCAACCGCTAACCAGACGAACGATCTCTCAATAGTCTCGCAATGTCAGGCCATCCATGCGCGCTCCATCTTCCCGTGCCAGGATACCCCCGATGTCAAGAGCACCTTTGACTTTCGGATCTCTTCTCCTCTGCCCGTCATGACCAGCGGTCTGCCGATTCGGGACTCTGCCAACACCTCGGCATCGGAGAACAAGGTGTACCGCTTCCACCAATCCGTGCCAATTCCCAGCTATCTCTTTGCCATTGCGTCCGGGTATGAAGACACATTTCATTTATTGGCAGTCGCCCGCAACGGGACCTCTCCCGGATGAACATGAAAAGCTCAACTAATCTCTCTGGATAGTGACGTCGCCGAGGCTTCGATTGGCCCTCGCAGTGTAGTTGCCACAAGCCCCGACAAGTTGGATGAATGCAAGTGGGAACTCGAGGCCGACACTGAAAACTTTATCAACACCATCGAGGTAATCAGGCGCGATCTGCAATGACTGCTGCGACACGTGAGCTAACGTCAAATGAAGAAAATTGTCTACCCCTATGTCTGGGGCGAGTACAACGTTCTGATCCTGCCGCCTAGTTTCCCCTACGGCGGTATGGAGAACCCCATTTTCACCTTTGCTACTCCTAGCATCATCTCCAAGGTGTGTTTATGACTGTGTCAAATTTTTCCTCGCTGTTTGTCACACCGCTGACCGAGCGAACTCTCTAGGACCGTGAGAATATCGATGTGATTGCCCACGAGCTGGCTCACAGCTGGAGCGGCAACCTCGTCACAAATTGCTCTTGGGAGCACTTTTGGCTGAACGAGGGCTGGACGGTTTATCTTGAGCGCCGAGTAAGTCGTCAAAGTCGTGCTGGAGTAAATTTACATAACCTCGTACTGACTGTACTCTGGTTGAATAGATTTTGGCGGCTGTGTATGTTACCTCTGTTCACACATCCAACTTTGTTTTCACGACTTGACTCAGCTAATACTGTTCTTTTTCTGTCCAGTCACGGTGAACCTTACCGCCACTTCTCCTCCATCATCGGCTGGAAGGCCCTCAAGGATTCAGTGGACCACTTTGGAAAGGATCACGAGTTCACCAAGCTGATCACCGACCTGAAGGACAAAGACCCGGATGATGCGTTCTCAAGCATCCCTTATGAGAAGGGCTTCAACTTCCTCTTCCACATTGAGAACCTGGTGGGCAAAGCCAAGTTTGACAAGTTCATCCCCCACGTATGTGTGACTCAATTCCGGACCTAGATACGCGAGGAATGAAATGTGAAGAAAAGCAAAGGGCGAACGCAAACGATGTTCTTACCGCTGACTCTCCATGCAGTACTTCACGACGTTCAAGTGCAAGTCCCTCGACTCGTTCGAGTTCAAGGCCACTCTCCTCGACTTTTTCAAGTCCGACGCCGAAGCCACCAAGCTCCTCAACGACCTTGACTGGGACACCTGGTTCTATGCACCCGGGCTTCCCCCCAAGCCCCAATTCGACACCTCTATGGTCGACGTCGTATACTCTCTCGCCGAAAAGTGGGAGTCCCTCCCCGGCTCCACCTTCAAGCCCCAAGCCAGCGATCTCGAAGATCTCGCCGCCAACCAGATCCTCGTCTTCCTGGAGCAAATTCTGAACTGGGAGAAACCGCTGACCCCGGAGCTCTCCAAGCTGATGGGCGAAGTGTACGGCTTGACCAAGAGCACCAACATCGAGGTGGCCAATCTGTATCTGCAGGTTGGCATGAAGGCCGGCGACAAGAGTGTCATTGAGCCTACCACGGAGCTGTTGGGCCGTATTGGCCGGATGAAGTTTGTGCGTCCCTTGTTCCGTAACTTGGCCAAGATTGACCGCGAGGTGGCGGTGGAGACTTTTGAGAAGTACAAGGACTTTTATCATCCTATTTGCCGGGGGATGGTTGAGAAGGATTTGTTCGGAAAGAAGTAATCTTTCGACCTTTTTTTTTTAAAAAAAAAGGGATATATATACGTACTCAATCTTCAAAGACCTCGAAGTCTTTTTCTCGACTCAAGCGTGCCAGTGGTCGGGAAGTTCGAATAGAGTCGTAGCGCTTCATATTTCTATCAATGATGTATGTCCATAGTTGAGCACGGGCTATCTTCGCTCTTCCATAGTTTGCTATCAAGCCGTCATCGTAAATGATGTCAGCCACTTCCCTACTGGACATGATAGAACGGCTCCATACGAGTCATGCGCTATGGTCACGTCGAACTCATGTACTTTCCTACAACATAGATCTTGTTCAGGGACCAAGGAAAGGAGAGACACACACACACACAGAAAGAGAGAGAGAGAGAGAGAGAGAGAGAGAAGAACAATTGACTGGACCTTGTCACAAACACAAAAACGCCCTTCCGGAGACCATAGAATCAGTAGTACAATACATACTTTACACGTCATGAGATGAGCCATCCTCAATCCCAACGACCACCCCTTTCCACCCTTTCCTTTAGTCTCTACCACTCCTCAGCTCCCACGACCAAACTCTCACTTCATCCCCTCCACCATCTTGCGATCTAACGGCGAGAATCCAAAAATCCTCGACTCCTGGCCCGTCGCCCCACTCAGCTCCATCACAATATCCGCCTCCTCCATGCGTCCCAACTGCGCCGTCACCCTCCGCATATAAGCCACCACCAACGCGATCCGACTCCAATCCAGCTCCTTCCCATCCGGCCCGACCGCCTCCGCCTTCCACAAGTTCCTCCACACCGCGGCGCCGAGCACGGCGTCGCCCTTGATCAGGCCCTCGTCGTACGCCGCGATGATGCCGCGCCATTGCACGAACAGGTCCTTGAGGTACTTGTTGCGGATGGAGCGGGAGCCGATGTCATGCAGGTCGTCCATGCGGTGCTCGGCGTTGTGGGAAAAGTGGTCGATCAGGTGGCGGGAGTAGGTTTGGAAACTCTCGCGGTTGGGCAGGGCGCGGAGTCGGACGGTGAGGAGGTACATGTGCAGGAAGGTGATTTGGGACCAGGTGGAGAATGTTGGGACGAGGCCGAGTTCTGGCGGAGGGAAGACACACATCGAGTTAGTAAATGATTCAAGTTCTGCGTCGAGTACAGGAGGATCGTGAATTATAGCGGGGAAGAGAGCCGTGACTTTTCGATAGACGAGTCGAAGGAGAGCTTCCAAAGGAAACCACTGATACATTTCTGTATCTTGTTGTGTTCTGCTCCGTCCTGCAACGACTCTGTCCCCGAATTCAAGGATCCCAAAAAAATTTCAATTTCTCACCTTTATACCACCAACTATCCGAAACGCCCAAATGCTCGCCCGCCTCGGTAGTCGGTACAGGCACACCCTTCTGAGTCGCCTGCGGCACCTGGTAATCCGCCTGACTCGAGCAAGCCTGGAAGAGCTTCTGCGTCATGCCGTACGCGACATACGTCTCGCCCGAGCTACCGGGGGACAGGGCGCTCTTGGCCAAGCGAGAGATGGCGGAGCCCGATCCGCCCTGGGCATAAGAGCGCGAAGTCGAAGAGATGCGTCGCGCCGAGGGTGCCGTAGATGACCTTGACGCGGGGGATTTTGAGGGAATAGTCGTGGTGGTGGCACTTTGCATCAGAGCTGGAGACGTAGATGTGGAACGAGGCGTAAATGTAGAGAGATTTGCGCGCGATGTCATGGATCGCTGGGAACATGCATGTTAGCTTTTGATTCTTGGTAGAAGATGTTGAATTGTACTGCATTGCTCTCAATAGAGGGACCCCCTCCCCCCTTCTGGTCGGAGGCTGGTCATTCCTCGCGCTGTGCCGATATATCAAGTAAGAAGAGAGGACAAAAAGTTTACCTGGAGACGCTGATTCTGCGAGCTACGAAACTCTCGCGCACATAACGTTGACATCCGAGTCGTTGACATTGTAACGACTGATCAGAGCTTGCGACTCTAGATGCAGGTGGTCTTGGACACACAATTCTCAGGAAAACCAAGTCAATTTGGACAGGCCAAGAATACTGTACTCTGTAGTAGTGAGAATGACGACAGTAGTAAGGGTATGACTATGCCACAGCTCTCTTCCGTTTGGGGAGACTCGATCGGGTTCTTTTTCGGGGAGAACGGATCGGAGGGTCTGTTTGCACTGTTTGGTTGGATCGGGCCGATTGAGCCTCGATAGAGTCGATACGCCAATGGTCGGCAAGGGATTTGAGGTCATACAAAGATGATGGGGTAGAGTCTCGAGTACCGGAATACTAAGATGTGTTGTTCCGTGGAGCAGAACTGTAGAGGATGGAGAGGGTTATTGCAATGAATATGTGATCATTCGCTAGGTAAATATAGATTGGAAATTCCGTGGTTTATAATGATTAGATGGAATCTATCCTATTTCTGACATTCGGAAAACAGGTCTAGGTAAGATCGGGTATATTATGATAGCTTTCTTTTCTCGAAAGAAATCTCAAGAGAAGTAACGATGCTTGAGAGCGCGAATTAAATAATGGAATACGAATGCTGACTCAATTTCTCCAATCTGTCAGTCAAATGCTTATTCGCTAATTCTTTTCACTCGCAACGGGAGAGGTCGGTGGGCGTATACTCTAAGGTCAATTCTGCTGGGAAAACACGTAGATGGTCTTCTAGATAGTCTTATCAAAGCATGGTCCTGGGGTTAGCTGGTTTATTGTCGTCCTAAGGATCGTTCTCATGATCTTGCCGATCTTTCTATACGTCAGCATTTTTCAAAGTTGGCCTGTTATATCCTCGTGTGACTAAGTTAGTTCCTAAGTGATTTGCGGCGCCGTCGCGTGCGGCTGAGCTGCAGGTGCAGATCACATCCCCTTGAAAGGTCCAGTTCGACTTGCATTAGAGTGAGTAGCAGCATGGCGACCCGGGGTCTCTCCTTGGGGCGCGCTCATGCAGGTTGCAGTAATGAAAAGCTTCTTCGATCTCGAAGAAGCAATCACTCACGAACTTACAGAGCAAGTCCGTAGCTTTCCTATGATTGATTGCAATGATACTCACAAGACCACGCCAGTCTATCTTCGTAGTGAGGCAAGTCATTGTAAGTTACTACACGAGGCCGTTCATATAAAACCCACTTGGTCGTTACTTTTCAAACACTTTGGGGAATCATGCTGCAGTTGGTGAACCGAGCTTCAATGAGCTGTACACGGACACATCGGCAGACTCGGCACTTGCTCGCCTGATGCAGATCAAATTGGCATCAGCTGGTCCAAGCTGCATATTGTCGTGTTCAATAACCCTCTCCCTTGCAACAGACGTGTCTCTAACCCACCAATCTTCTGCATGAAGCCATCAACACTTGTGTAACATGAGTCTCGAGATTCTGGTTTTCTCACATTTCCGTCCTGGAAGATCTGCGAGATCATCACCTGTCGGAAGTATTGCAGCACCGAACGGAGGAAATTATTTCGTAACGTGAACTCGTAGCTGGCTGGGACTCGATCGTCTCTGGTGCTAGAGAAATGAACTCAACCATGCAGGTCTTCCAGCTCGATGCGTGATGCATACCGAGCTTTCATGATGACCGGAGACATTTCAATCCTTGCTTTATTATATCGCGGGGTTGTAGGTAAGTAGGTAGGTAGGTTTGAAGGATAAATAAAGATGGCCAGAAACTCAGGATACAGTTCGGCATCAATTCCACTCGTCTCGCAATCGGCCGTCTCGAGACTCCCGTCAGATTGTCATTTTCATGCTCTATACTAGGTAGGTAGCCAAGACGCAGCCCACAACATGAACAGCCACCATGTCGCCATGACCTCTTTCAAAGCGCCTCAACCGAGCGCCGAAATGCACAGCAAGAAGACAGTCTCAATCGACAAAACAATCTCAGCAGCCCACCTAAACGTCCCGTCCACCGAGGACGTTGTTCTTAATGCTATGCGACGAAGACTCTCGCAAGCCGGCCGGTCCGAGTCGGAGCCATTCTGCGTGATGGACCTCGGAAAAGTGCAGAGTCAATATAAGCGGTGGCAGTCATCGTTGCGCTTCGTGCAGCCCTATTTCGGTTTGTTTTCTCGCTTCACTTGATCGATTTTACGGGGGATTCTAAGTTTCTCCAGCGGTGAAATGCAATCCTGACAGCAAGCTCATTGCCCTGCTCGACTCCTTGGGATCCAATTTTGATTGCGCTTCTCAAGCAGAAATCGAGCTTGTGATGCAACAAGGCATACCCCCTGGAGAATCATATTCGCGAATCCGTGCAAAAAGCCCTCAGATATCGCATTCGCGCGAGATTCCATGGTCCTCCGAATGACCTTCGACAATGAAGCCGAGCTACGCAAGATTAAACGGATCTGTCCAAGCGCTGAGCTGATTCTGAGATGTTACGCCTCCGACCCGTCCGCGACATACACCCTATCCTCGAAATTCGGGGCTCACCCAGAGGAAGCGGTCAAACTTCTGAAGCTCGCCAAGTCTCTGGGGCTGGAGGTCTGCGGCGTGAGCTTCCACGTCGGATCTGGCTCGAAGGACCCACTGGCCTTTGAAAGAGCTATTCAGGATAGCCGTCGGATCGTCGATGCTGGCATTCATCTCGGCCATAACATGTACATTGTGGACATTGGGGGTGGGTTCACCAGTGACACTTTCGACACCGCTGCGGTCACGATCAAAGCATCTCTGAGCACGCATTTCTCCGCTATGAATATCAGATTCTGGGCAGAACCGGGGCGATTCTTCGTCGCCGATGCGGTGACCGTCGCTTGTGGGGTCATTGGCCGTCGGGAATCGCATGAGAATCCCACGACACTTGACGGGCCAGTGAATGATATGCTGTATCTGAACGACGGGATGTATGGCACTTTTCTGACCTATTTCTTTGAACCATGCCCACAGCCCAAAGCTCTGCGGGTATCAGGTGCCTTTTACCCCCAAAGCACTGCAGCCGAATCTTCAAAATACATACTTTGGGGACCAACATGTGATGGACTGGATTGCATTCTGAAAGATGCCGAGCTGCCAAAGAATTTGAGTTGCGACGATTGGATTTACTTTTCAGATATGGGAGGTAAGGTTGTGATAGAACTAGACATGACTATTGTCGGGAACTTTTTGCTGATTCATCTTCGACTTTCAGCCTACACGACGTGTTTGACTACCAATTTTAATGGTTTCACGAGTCAGAGAGAAATCATCTACGTCTCTAGTAAGACGTCCGAGGCGACTCCAAGAAAATGTGCAGAATTCGAGGATGTTTGGCGCATATGAGGTGTCTGACTGTCCAATTTCAAGAAACATGTCAGAAAATGAAAGATATGTGATTGTGACGAGATGGAAAGAGAGAAGCCAGATGGTGACATGATGAATCAAACGCGGCTAAGTTCCGGCAGCACGAAAACGACCTCCAACAATTGGATATCGAGGTGATGAGTCTATGTGAAGCGCAATGGTATATCGGATCTAAAGGACAATATCCAGCCGGTGTTACCAAGAAAGTCATGCATTAGCGCAAAGCAACACCCTGCCTAAGCTGTGTTTCTCTCGCTCGGGCAGACGGATGACACGGGTGAAGTTGTGATTCCGAGTATGGCTTATGGTGCCTTCATCTCAGAAGATCCTGGCTTTAACTTGCTCCTTTTCTCTGACTTACATATAGCTGGCTGGGTGGATATTATCAGCGTAACTCATGGGAAAATCAATACCTAGCGACCCTGTTAGCCCTAGGTCTTTCCTGCCTGAGAGGGTGTCTTTTGATAAGAATCCATGAAATTAAGTAGGTATTTTCACTGCCTTGATGGCAGTCCACCCTATAAGAAAAAAATTGGATGCAGGGCGAGTAATCAAAATGTTCTCCACATGTTAAATCAGAACTCCAGCCACAGCGCCAATTAAAGTGATTTATCAAAGACCCAGTGAGTCTCAACCCCTGAATCTCCCTCCGTTTTTGTTACTTTCACAATCATACCACTGAGCCAGCAGAGGCTCATTTCTACGGTTTACTTGGACAATTTCTCCTTCTCATACTCCTTTTTCGAGGACCAAAGTGTCTGTATGACCGTGGCTGCGGGCGAAACCCCAAGAGACAAGGTCATCTTTCCCCTACCCGCGACGAACGATTTACCCTCCGGTCGTCGGGCCAAACGGCCATCCCAATTAAGAAACCCACGGTTCTACAGACACGGCAAAATAGCAAAATAGCAAAAGCAAAAGAAAAAGCGTCAAAGAGCTGGGCCGAGGAAGACGGGCAAACCTGCCAGTGCAAGGGATAACCATCCAGCACTCTGACTGATTCCGTACCAAGGTAAAAACATCCGGGACGGAGGAGTCTCCAGCAGTATAGTAAAGCGGTACGTTCTTGCAGACTAAAGGTCCACGCCGTGGCTTTTCTTTCGCGAAGAATCTCGCGGGCGATGACCTCTAGATTCGCTGGGACCTCAGATCCTCCTGTGTATGTAGGCGAGTCAGTCCGATGTCGAAAAACGAGGAGGGGAGTTTGCATTTCACGACTCACGACGGTCAGGTGGAACCGCGTGATGTAAGCATGGTTGGGTGATGGCTTTTTTTGCTTATGTTTTCTATTATTTTTAATTTCTTATTTTGGGGGTTTCTTTCCACCTTCCAGGCTTTGATAGACAGCATATGGCGTAGCTGGTTTAAATTCAATCTCGCTTTAGCAGATACACTCACACACACGCCATCCGTCATCACCCAGCGAACTTCTAGTCGAATAGCCTCTCGTTTCTCTGAGATCGTGGGTGTATGGCAGCTGGCATGTAATCTGCAGCCAGTCAGCCAACCTTGGCTCGAACCATTGTCTCATCTCCATCAATCTCACCACTCCTGTTGCCTCGCCGTTCCGATTACGCCTCCTTCTGGTTATAGCCGGTCCCCGAGACTTGGCATCTGCGTCGACCACCAGGACTTCAACCTGAATTGGCTAAATGAAATACAAGAAATGCAAGGCCGATACGGACGGCGGAACAGCGAGAGTGTATGAACTGTGAACTTTGAAGAGACCCTGGAAGCGGCCCACCCCGCTCTCAATGTCCCGCGATTCCGACTTTAGGAAGTCCCACCCGTGTAGATCCAATGCCAAAAGCCTCCTCTGCCTCGCCAAGAAGCCCTTTACGAGATACGAATTAGGCCCCCTTTCACCGTTGTGGGTTATATCTTTCCTCAGAACAACGATTCTCTCTATTGGAGAGTTCTCGTGCTAGGATTGTACTATATCAAGCATCAATCCGCATTGTCGGGATAGACGCGTTCCCTAGAGAGTAGACTGGAATGTCGATACATATAGCCGCGGAAGTCCCCGACGAGGCTTAACGAGTGCTGCCAGATCAAGCAACCCCGAGCGCGGAACTCGGTGGGCGATTACAGCATAACCGTCAGGTGTCCAGGCGTTCAGGATAAGAGGTAAGAATGTCATTCTCATGCAGTCCATAAGCTGCCTGCCTTGGAAAGTGAATCAATCACGCTCGAGGTTTCTCCCAAACAACGGGGAGTCTAAGTGGTTGACTATTGGCAGTTGTGGAGAGCTTGAGAGAACCACCTACTGTACTTCCATCTATGAACATGAGCGTGCTTGTTGAGCATACTCACCTGCACGGGAGGTTACATCGAGACGGCGACTATATGGAAAGGACCGTAGGAGCTAATTTACACCAAAGAGCTGGGAGGCATCGGAATATATGCCCTATCCTGGAAAGAAAAAAACTTGATGATAGAGCGATCAACCATCTCTATTCATACCAGTGTATGAAGATGGGCTAGGGTCCTTCAAGAGTCGCCATGATGCTGCAGTGTGGCCTCTAGCTGAACCTGGCTACGTGAGAAGTGATGGGCTATTTCGTGATGAGGGCAATTGAAATTTGGGACACTAAGGTACCTGTATTTAAGGAACACTGCAATCACTAGTACCTTCATCGTATGCACGGACATGTGTATGCATTCAACTCGAATGCAACGTCAGCATTTCTTGTGATATACCGCCAGATCTACCAGAAAGTGTTTGTTCATTGTTTTGCATGGCTTTGACAGTCGCTTTGATGATCTACAGCTACAGAGGTAGGTGCAGCTGTAGAATATGCGAGAGAGATGAATGTGAGATGGACTAGCGAGGAGAGATTCTATCTAGACCATGGACTGCGGTGGGACGGCAGTATTGCATGCCATATAAACAGTATCTGTGTCAGTTCTACGAATTGAGCCGCATCACAGGATACAAAGTGGTATATTGTAAGGGGCGTTGAACGTGCCTCAAGAGCGCATCTATACACCTCGATGACTTGGATTGAAAACTCCAGCCAGATTGAGGACGCCACTGCGGGTTAAAAACCCAGATGGTTCAACCCTCGCCTCGAACAAAGGGACTCGCTTGGACCATTATATTTATGACCTCATGAGGTGGACCGTAGTTTATAAACAACGACAATCGCAGTGGCCTCATGGACATTTGCTTTTTCTTGTGTTTTGTAGGTAATAGTACACTTTATTCTGGAGTGGCGGTGCCCAGGTACAGCTACAATTCTCCAAGCACCGACGGTCGTCCGTCACACACTCGTACCAGCTAGCGCGATAAAAGTAATGACAATGCCTTCTCAGTAAAAAAAATTCCAAAAACATACAACAGCCAGGATTCGCATGTGGTCACCCACCATACTACTAACTGACCGGCGTGTGGCTTGAGTACGGCTGAGCGGACGGGAAGCCCTATTTTCCACACCCTATGGTCGTATGTGATCGACTTATCTTGCAAATGTTTTATTACTCGCACTAGCCTTAATTGAAGATTTTTGATAGTAGGCAAGGACATGTCGCCATAAAGCGACACCTGAGTCTAGGAAGATAAAGTTCTCCATGAGCCTCTCGCACTGATCACGAGTTAATAGCCAGAGTATATTTTGTGTCTTCAGATAGCGGTATATAGTACACAACCTGCTGACCAGGTTGACTATCATGAGAAAGAAGGAATTTTCTTGAGATGAAACTGTGAAGACGAAATCTGCGTGAACTTCGTCTCAGAAAGCCGGGGGGATGCTGTTAAAAATGATAGCAGAATCTGCCTGGCAAAAGAAACTCCAAAAACATACAACAGTCAGGATTCGCATGTGGTCACCCACCATACTACTAACTGACCGGCGTGTGGCTTGAGTACGGCTGAGCGGACGGGAAGCCCTGTTCTCCACACCCTATGGTCGTATGTACCCGGAAAAAGGTTTATTTATTGTATAACATTACCTTTACAAATGCAGAAACCCACCCAACCATGTCACGGTATCTTTAGGTAGAATCTCTCCCCCATAGCAATCTAACTCCTCATCCATCTCACACATCGATACTGCTGCTCCTACAGTAGCCGTATCCCATCATTATCTCGCCGGTTCGTGTACTAGCCATGCTTTTTCTTTCTGGCAAGCCTACACAGACGCACGGATGGTCCCAAGAATGACTTTCTTGTAGCTTCATGAGAGAATATATTCGAAATCGATCGGAAGATCAACGCTACCGTCGAAAGACACCTCAAAGTCCTAGGCTATATAACGCAAGAAAACAGCACGTAATGTCCAGAACACAGGAGAATTTTATCTGCATGTCGAAGGGCTATCGATATGAAAGCGCTAGATGAACACGAGATCGGTAAAAAGTTGATCCTGTAGCTTGTTCATCGGTCTGGGCATGCCAAAGCCGATTTCAAATGTCTCATGTTACGACGCTTATGTCTTGTGTATGTCCTAGAGCTCTCTAAACCCCATCTCATCAATATTTTCCTGAACCAGAAGAGTGTTGCGTTGATTGATGAATATGCTGGGGTATGAAGCTGTCACACGCAGTGAGATGATGCAATCATCAATTAGACGGCAAGGTGACGTTTATCTGCGAAAGAAGGGACACTCACGAGTGAAGGAGCAGGACTTCCAACGCCTGGTATTCAGGGGTGATAACTCATTGCTACAATAGTAGATGTACTCACAGAAGGAGAGAATGGATTGAGGTGAGATTGTAAAGGAGGGAAATTTCTCCATTCTCGTTAGGCTACGGACTACGGTGGAAACGGCAGAATCGTAAGCCATACAATCCCAATGTTTAACCGGCCCTTGCACGGTCAGCTCTCTCTATCACCTATATCACCCACGCCGTCTTCTCATTTGCTCGAATATCATTCATGGCACCCCGGGGGTTGAACGTGGCCATGTATTGCGGCTCAAATACGGCTGAGTGGAATCAGCGCCTGGTAATTCAGATTATCCATCCTCAATGGTCATGTGTATTTGTCAAATAGCCTGTGCTGGATATAAAAGTTGAAAGCATTCATCCTAGCAGAAGACCTTCAGATATGGTGTCAAGCACTACTGATCAAGGGTCACGGGACCTATGATCTTGTGACCAGTAAATTTTTTATTGCCTCATCAGCAGGCATCAAGCTCTGTGTACTCTCCTCCTAAAACCATGAATCCTGATCGATTGACTCACTGATTCCCTGATTATCTCTTACCATAGGCCTCATTTCTTAGACCTGTGGAATACCCGCTCTGTCGGTGTTGCCCGTCAATATGCAAATCAAGACATAGCTAGAGTCATGATAAGTCCCATCTACAGGAAATTTTGATCGATTCCAACTAATGCAACAGTACGGCACTTATACTTGCATAGAGCTCGACCATTACTACCTAGTCTCGACCGTGGCACTGTGTGGTGTATACCAATCGCCCCACATCTCGCATGAAGCAGAGTTTTTGCAAGGAGTAGTGAAATCTGGCTACTAAACCAATTTAGTTCCTACGATTCTCAACTTCAACTGCTTTTTGTATCAGAAGTTAGGTAGTGTTAGGTACAAGAGTCACTTACTACTGTACCGCCACTTCCTGCCTGGTTGGAAGACATTATCATTTGATTCATGGGGCCGGAGGTCACTCACTGTTTCACCCCATTTTTATGGTGAGAACCTCACTCTCAAGTATGTAGCTTATGTGGACAGCGTTTACTTTCATGCGAATTTCAAAGAACTCAAACCTTCAGTACGCCGATTTTTGTTCCCATCTCAGCAAATAGGACGCATCATTCTCATCGTCCAATTGGGACGAGCATATGCTCTTTTCTATTCTACACTCGTAATTCCTCATTTCCACGATGACGGTACAGCCCGCTTTCTATACTGACCTTAGACCTGAGCCTGGGGGAGGGGGGGGTGATTGATAAGGTTTGGCCAAAGCCTTGATGGCAGGTCTTGGCGGGTTTAGTTGCCAAAAAGGGAATAGAGTCTTCAGCCTCTCAACAGGTGGCACGACTAATCGTCTCAGTGGTGAAGCCACTTCTTGAACATAATCGCCTCACTGAGGAGACCTTCACAAGTATTTTTGTCATCATTCATCAATTGGCCCTGTCAAGATGGAAAGGGTTTCAAATCAGCCCCGCAAAAGCCACAAGCTGACACCAAGCGCCTCTGACCAGATAAAAGGGTCCGTGAATCTTGTCGATTGACTCTTCTTGTTGATTCCTTCACCAACTCTGCGTTTCCCCCATTCTTAACTCTTTCCTCAACTGGGTCTTTCACCATGTCTTCCACTTTCAAGAGTTCCTTCAGTGTCACACACATCGGTACTGCCACTGCCATATTTGAAATCGATGGAATAAACTTCCTGACCGACCCGTTTTTCTCCGCTGCCGGTACGACGTGGGATATGGGCGGTGGAGTTGTGCTCAAGAACACTGAGACGCCATCTCTTGCTCTCGAGAACCTGCCCGCGATCGACGCCATACTTCTGAGCCACGAAGACCATCCCGACAACCTAGATGACCTAGGCCGCCGCCTCTTAGACGGCCGCCACGTGTTCACCACGATGGACGGCGCACACAAGCTCGCCCCTCGCCCAGCCGTCCGAGGCATGAAGCCCTGGCAGACCGAGTCCATCGCACTCGGTGGCAGACCGTTTGAAATCACCGCAACTCCATGTCAGCATCTGCCCGGCGGCGAATGTACCGGGTTCATCATCACCTCGGAAGAGTTCGGCACTGCAGCGAATGGCAAGCCGAATGCTATCTACTTCACTGGTGACACCGTATACATCGATGAGCTTGCCAAGATCCCGGAAAAGTTCCACGTTGTCTGTGCGGTGATGAATCTTGGCTCAGTGATCGCTAGTGGCCCAGAAGGCCCCTTGCAGATCACTATGGATGGCAAGCAGGCTGCTCATCTTTTCCGCACGATTGGAGCTGAATGCCTTGTGCCAATGCATTATGAGTCCTGGGGACATTTCACCCAGAATGGGAGAGATTTGGCCGAGGCTTTTGAAGAGGAGGGCATCGCGGATAAAGTCTGCTGGCTGAGCCCTGGAAAGTCTGTCAAGGTGTTGTAGTTATGATCTCATCTAATTCGTGGTATGAGCTACGAGACACGAGATGAGAGGTGTGCCTGAACGCTTGAGGAAGGATATCGTGGCCTTCACATGTGTAGGTTCGGTTTTGAAAAGCCTCTCATCACATGTATCGACTTGCATCCAGTTTAGTGATCTTGAATGTATCATTTCAGATGCTCATAACGAATTATTCCATTCAGTAGTATGACAGGGTGAAAATTAGAGCGAAGAGTCCCTTCGAATGTATTCTCCAGTCTGCGAAAGGCCCAATTACAGAAAGCCGAGAATTTCCGATTGCTCTCCTATGTAATCGGTACATGTAGGATTCACCTTGAGAAAAAAGTCATTGCACTGAGCTGTGGTTCCACACAGGCCAAGTCGGAATCCAAATTGGGACCGCCACCCGCTGTCCTTCTTCTCAACTGGTGGGTGTTCTGTTCAAAACTTTACATCTCAATATAGCATCCCACCGGTGCACGAAAAGGTTATTCTCAAGAATATGTGATGAGAAATATCGAAGACCTTTCTGGAATAGTCGTTTAATAATTTCCCGAATGACTGACAATTCAATGTGATGGCCATGAGGATCCAATGTCTCCACGGCGTATGCCACCTGAAGTGGTAAGATTGCAGAAGCGGGACCATAAAGCTTCATTTTGTCCTGAAGAAGATAGTTCATGCTTTGGCATATTTTTCTTATCAGCTTTGGAGCTTCGTCAAGGTTGCTTTCGCTATTGAGATCGTCGAATGGCTTGACGTGAGGGGTATTTGAGAGAGAAAAAGTGTAGACTAGGCGCTCTATTTCAAGGAGACAGATAAGTCGAGGTGACCAGACATGGGTAAGTGCATTAGCCAGGGTGATCGAAGTGAACCAGCGTCGATGAAAGTGTGCTGCTGGGGTCTCGCCACGTCGCATCTCCAATTTTCGAGGCCTGTAGTTAGGCCGCTTTTCATGGGACTGTGCCAATATCTGCCATTCATCCAAGCTATTCAAGAGATTGTTAGAATCGCCGAGTATCTGCGACGCAACAGAGATGCTTTCATCATTGATGTCTTGGCTGGTGATCTCATCCATTTGCCGCAAAAGTCTCGGGACCATAGCACTTTGACTGAGCAGGCTCTGCACCTGGGACGGTCTAGATGTTGCAAACGGAATTGTAATCCAGTTCTCTGTATGGCTAAATGACGGCATTCAATCCTGGATAGCTTTAATCATCTACATGGTATGAGAACTGTTATTATGATCATTCCAAAAACGCAGCGGTGCTTGCTCACAAGTAAAAGGCGAAACTCAACGAACAGTTTGTGCAGAACGCCTTCTTGATAGCGACCCGGGCCATGCGCTTCAAGAATTCGTGCGATGGCATTTATATGCACTGTCAACCCTTCGGAAGGCCCAGGGAACATAAGCTGGGAAACTTGGTAAGATAAGAGTCCCATTGAAAGCGCATGCCTGCGGTACTTACCTCCACTAAACCGAGGCTCATGATTGCCACCAGAAGCTCTTGATCCGTGAAGATGTTTGATGAAGTCAGTGCTTCCTGCATTTCCCGAACAGCTGTCAGGTAGTTCTGTATGCTGCTCACGCTAGGAGCTTGTCCGTGGTTACTTTGCCACGCAATTGAATGACCCAGAGCAGTCAAGGCGGTCGATACGGCATGGCTGCTCGTCAATCCATTCACATTGGGAGGCACTTCGACCCATGATCCACATATACGAGGTGCGGGCTCAGCAGATACAATGCGGTGAAAATGTCGCTGGTCGTCAGGGACATAGGTTGTTATTATGACACTAACGAGGTCGTCAGGTAGTTCATCTGGAGGATCTATTGCTTTGTCCTGACATGATTTCATAAATGGCGTAGCTTGCGAGCTCGAAGTCCGTGACGGGTTTCGTGCACCTTCTCGATAATTGATTGCTTGATCTTGCTCCACTGATTGCTATTTTTTTTTTGGAAGTGTCGCTTGACTCTGCTCAACAAACGACCAGTCAACCGGATATCCCGGACACTGTCGCCCTGTCAAAAGACACTGGCTACATCCAGGGTGTTTGCCATCGCACTGTCCGTAGGGGTGAAGGGTCGATTTTCAGTCAACTCGACCAGTCTTCTAAATGAGCCACCTACCCCAATCTTCCTTGATCGGCAATTTTGAAGAACCGAGTGTTTCGTGACCTTCATGATCGTCCAGACTTCGGGAGGGCTCTTGAAGGGAAAGATCATAGGGCTGCAGGTTGACCAGGTGATCAGAATCCAGCTTACATGATTCGACAATTTATCGAGGTGAGATTCTGCATCGGTAAACAAGCATATTTTGTGAGTGTGTTTTGTCTTTCAGCGGAGAGTAAGAAAGTGTATGAGTCAATCTGAATGGTTGACGTGAAGTTCTGGCTACTAAGACTCCAAATCATGTGACTGACCTCATGTTCCATCTGTGCCTTTGAGCGGGTGGCAAGCTCACAGGTCGAACGGATAATGAATTTGAATTGACTGCGGCACATTGATGATGTTGGACGATATTGTTTTGCATACAGTCGGATCGTGGAAATTATTTTGAGCATTATATTTGGCAACTTGTTTGACTCAAGCACATACGACCATAGGGTGTGGAGAACAGGGCTTCCCGTCCGCTCAGCCGTACTTAAGCCACACGCCGGCCAGTTAGTAGTATGGTGGGTGACCACATGCGAATCCTGGCTGTTGTATGTGTTACCCTTCTTTTTTAGCCCCTCAGATATCAACCCTTTGTTTGATCCACTGGAGATGGGAACAGATTCAGATCTTTGCTTTAGTTATCATTACATGTTTTGCTATCCTAAAAATGATTTAGAGTTATATAACGGATGAATTTACTGTCTAGAGCGACCGGTAATTCTATTTTCGGGCCTTTCGGCTTGCAATCTTTTTTGAGAGTGATATAACTGATTCACGACAATGTTATCACATACGACCATAGGGTGTGGAAAATAGGGCTTCCCGTCCGCTCAGCCGTACTCAAGCCACACGCCGGTTAGTTAGTAGTATGGTGGGTGACCACATGCGAATCCTAGCTGTTGTACGTTTTTGTTTAATCTTTTGCTCGATGATTATCTCGATACGGCTGCTATAGCCAAATGCGCATGAGTGAACTGAGTTCATGTCCACTCGGCCGTCTTTCCTGTGAATACACTACACACCACACAGAATATGTCGGCCTGAAAGGAAGAGACCCGGTCCACGTTCCAGCTATGGGGTGACGAACGAGCCCGTAGTGAAATCAAGCATCTCAGACTCGCGGCGACCGGCATATCTCAAAATTGAACCGTATCAATCAACTCGCAGGATCCATATGCTAGAGTGAGCCCTAAGTCGATCAATCACCGAGCTTTGCCACGAGATGAGAACTTTAATTGTATGTTTGGTAGATTGACTCAAAGGAGAACTATGAGATGCGAGGCGTTCAAAGTAGTAGCCACTGATAATGTGAGATTGGTGGAAATGTTTAGCACTTGAATTCGAAGAGTTGGGTCTCGGTCGCTGCCACAGTCTCGTCATCACTGTCTTCATTAATATTATTGTTGTCATGCAATGACCATATAGATGGACAGAAACAGGGTCGGGTGCTCATGAGACTAGAGGCGCTAGAGCTAGCCTCGCGACACAAAAAGTCAAGAGACGAAAGCTCGATGCTTACTTGTGAGAGGATTAGTCGGGAAGCAGAATCGTGGAAGATGGTTTCAGATTTGAACTCGAGCCTCAGAAACGATGGGGGCGAATTAAGGCAGCGGAGACCGGTGCAGGGCGAGAAAACTTCTCACGGGTAAGCGGATAGGAGAATGATACTTATAGCATATTAATACCTACGATACGATACTCTCGGCAACCTATTGTCTTGTAGGCCGGAGTGAAACATCCATTGAAAAAGAATATCCAGTGCAGTTTGCCTGGTCTGTAACTGATCGGGGTACTTCAAATAAAAGTCGTGTTTACAAGAAGATACTGTATCGCTTGGAGATTCCCAAATTTGATTCGTAGGTGATCCACAAAAGAAAGAGAGAAAGGTGAAAGCCACAACTGTTCGGGGAAAGAGGAAGACAGAGGTAAGGCTGGGTGACAAGTTTGCAGATTCCCACGTGGTGAGGTGACAGAATCATCCAAACAAATCGCAGCATATAGGTCGCTTGAATGTATTGAAGGGATCGGTCTGATTGTCTCGGCGGGCAGCTTAGAACCTGCTACTCTGTTCCTGGAGCTCCTCGGCCTGCTTACTATCGAGAACACGGTTGGCACATCTGGTCAGTTGGTCCGATCCAGAAAGTGGGATATATACGAGTCTTCCTAGGATGAAACTTCCTCCCCTTCGGAAGGAACTGTGGAGTGAAGCAGTGGAGTGAAGCTACTACCATATTTAATCCGAAGTGAGAAAAATTTAAACGAGGGCTTCAATTCTGCTACCCAGCACTGAATCTGTTGGCTCCGCTGGTTTGCACTGCGAGCATGGGTAGCCACGCCTAAGTGCAGCGCTGTGACAGAGACACGCCTAGCCAGTCCATAAGGGCCGGTTAATCCCAAAAGAAGGAGGTAACGTGATCAGGTGACTGAATGGATGCTGCAGTGCTTTTGTTTGTAAGGAACAAACGCCCACAAAAGTCCCAAAAGCGGCTTAGGGTACAGCCCATTCTGTTGGAACCTTCCCTCCAGGAGCTTTCTTTCCTAGAAGCTTTCTTTCCTAGCTTCATATAGCACCCATGGTTTTCCACTTTCATTAGAAAATCAAGACTCTTTCTTGATTCAGCTTCTCTTCCTGGATTGCCAACACATTTGCTTCTATTTCAACTGCCATTTTATCGCCCCAGACCTTTCGTGTATTGCACGCTTTGTATCTCCGTCCATCTAACGCCAGCTATTATCCAGCTACGAACAATGAAGCAACGGGGAAGAGATTCTCATTTTGACCATGGGAAAAGTTCGAATAGAAGGAGAACTCACAGGGATGTTCAACAGCATACCACACGTGCAACTTCACCTCCACCGCTAGGTAATATCCTTGCAACAATTCACCGTGAGGATCTTGATGATGCAGCGAGCCAAGGCAATGGTCGCGCGCAGATAAGCGATACCCAGTATCTGACATCTTATAATTGGATGACCGGAGACAATCCTCATATACTCGTTCCAGGTGGAAACCCCCCGATTAGCAGAAAGAATTTCTCCATCACTAATCGGTACGCTTCGACTAGGTGAGCCGCGGGCTTGGACACCTCTTCCTAAGCCTACTCGGTTGCGAGAGGACTCCGGCCAATATTACCGGGACCCTAACGCTGCGCGATATCGCACCTACCCCCTCGAACCGATGATCCACGCAATACTGACGGATAGTCCGGAGTTCCCTCTACGCAATGTTGATATAATTGGCTGTGGGAGTACATTGGGCAATCTGTTACGCTTTGCACGTGGCAGTCCTCCGTCTTTCCGGATGCTTGTGGAAGTAGTCGGCAGCACAGTCTTCCTCATCAGAAGGGAAAAGTCGCCTACCGAAACCATTCCAGATATCCGGGGTTACGGACATACATTTCCCGAGTCTTACACTAGCTGGGATCCCAGCGTCAAAGGGTCCGAGTCTCATCAGCGGTTGGTCAACTACAACTTCGCTGGCATGAAATGTGTAGTGCGTTTTGAGGTGGACGGTTTCCTACCCGACTTAGTCACCGAAGACTTAAAGGTCCAGAAAAATCATGCTTCTGAGACTGCCGATGTTGATACGAATGATCTTGTGTCATCTATTCAAGGGTTGATGATTTCAAGCGTCAGCGTGGGTTCAGCCTCTGAAGATGCCACAGTAAAGGCGCTCAAAGTTTCAAAAAAAGGCCACTATATCCCTCAACGGGCGGTATTCGACCTCAAAACGCGATCTATCATGAGAGTCCACGTCCGTACGCTCGAAGAAGAGCTACCTCGGCTTTGGATCCGGCAAATCCCCAATTTTATTCTCGCATATCACACGCTCGGCAGGTTCAACGACATTCGGGTTCAGGACATACGTGAAGAATTAAAGCATTGGGAAGCATCTCAACAACCGGCTTTGATCAAATTCGCCACCTTACTACACAATATAGTATCCTTTGCTCGTGGTTTGAATGACTGCAAGTTTGAAATTGAGTACGAGGAGGGCGAGAAGATACTCAGTTTCCGAGAGCCTGGAGGAGTTGTCAACAGTGTCTTGCCAACGAGTCTAGCAAGAATTTAGGATTCTGAGGATACCCTGGAGGTAAACCCCTGACCGGATGCATGACGTGCACGTTTATGTCATGGGACAGGTGACCTTGTTCATTTAATCATCCGGGATCTCGAATTGCGGAGTCAAACCCAAGAGAGATGTCTATGAGTCCAGTAGGTGTAGATCTCTCAATGATAAGCTTGTCTTTGAAGACAATGATTGTTGGGATATGAAATATTGTATCCCTTGCGTTGAGACGTATAAATGCTAGGTGGCTATAGGGTACCTAGCTCCGATCGCTCTTCGTTCCTATATTACGTGCCTCTGGGGTGCAGAGGCGATCGGACCGAAGAAATCACGTATATAGTATTAAGATTCGTATAGTAGGCCGGAGGGCAGACACTAGCCCACCTTAGTGTCACGAAAATAGAGACCCCCAAGACCACAAGGAGAAACGCACTTGCATACCAACAGGCCCTAAACGTGTCCATGAGAGCCCTATCGCGCGAATTCGTAGCGCCCGTCGTCCTTTAGCGTAGCTAAAGGAGTACTTAATTAAGGGGGAAGTAAACTCTCGTCGATTTCTACTTCCGAGAGACATCCAGCCCAGAGTCCAGCATTCAAGACATACAAAATCATAGCAAATTATGCTTTTCGTAGAAGATGGTTCAGTAAGAAAATGGAGACAACTAGGTTTATGTGAGTTGCCAATGGCTTCCCCGTCGACGTAAATTTACTGCGGATCAGCACTTTTGCGACAGCATTACCGAAGATAAGCGTCTTTAAGACATCCATGGCATCACGCTATAATTCTACCATTCCCAGTAATACCTCGGCAATAGGATCCCTAAATGTCATAGGTAGTCTGGCTTACTTTGACAGAACTCCCTCACCACCTTTCCTTAGATCAAATAACCCAGATCAGACAGGTAGTCATCAACGCGAATCTGCTTATGTTCACCCAACATGAATTTCGGCCGGCTGGAGCTAACTTCGACCATCGGTAGTCTACCAGGCGCCGGTGGCAATTTGAGTGTCCCACGCGAAGAGAGGACACGTCTGGCACCTCCTTCATCTCAGTAGGCTAGCGATGATCCTCCCGGACACGAGGAAAGACTCACTAACACGACAAACCAAGTCATGAATGAGGAGCTGTCCCCAGATACTAATACTATATAAGGTAGCGTCAAAATCCTTTCATTTGTCTAGTTGAGGGTTTCCGACGGTATGAAGAGATTGGTTTTGAGCACCACAGAAAGTTTTAGTGGGCTTAGCACAATCAAAGGAGCTTTCAATGCGAGTTTTGCAACGAGATATTACCAGAGTACCTTTTTATGCGCAGAATCTCCAGATGAGAGTTTGTCATCGTTGCCAGAGACACAGAATGAGGTCGACAAACAACGCCTACCGTAACATTGCTAATAGATCATGTTCTCGTTTGCGTTCACGCGGGATATCATATAGTATAGCGCTAATGCAAAGGAAGACATCGCTTCTTAAACAAAGACACATTAAGAGGGATCCGGCTTGTAGATATTAGTATATATCGATGTTTCCATTTAAATACAGGCACTATGGAGTAGCCTATATACCGGGCCCAGGCGAGGCCCCTCGGACTGATGTACAGATTGTAATACCATTCAAAATCTATACCGCTCTCAGAAAGCGCCGTTCTTTATACTTTCATAAGTGTGCATAACAAGACGAGGGTATGGTGTCGGTAGCCGTAGGACTGTATTCAAGCTCTATTCAAGGCGCCATACAGTGCTACGCATTACACAGCGCACAGTCACACTATATGATCGTACTGCTCGAAATTTGGTCATGAGTCGTGCGGCTGCTGCGGCATGGAATTCACATGACTGGGTACTAAATTTATAAGTTGGAATCACCTCGCTCTGTGCCTGATTATGACAGTAGAATACTCTAGAGCCCAGATAAAAAGATTAAGAGGTTACTGACATACAACAGTCAGGATTCGCATGTGGTCACCCACCATACTACTAACTAACCGGCGTGTGGCTTGAGTACGGCTGAGCGGACGGGAAGCCCTATTTTCCACACCCTATGGTCGTATGTGCCGGCAAACCTTTTTAAGAAAATTATATACGTCGCAAATTCCCCCGATTGCGTACGTATCAGGCCAGCTTAATATCTGCCAGTTGATAGAATGAAGAGTCAGATTATCAGACTGTAACTGATGTTCAAGTGTATATACCTACTGTCACTTTATGTAGATGAAGAACGTTAATTCCATAGGCCGGAATTAGCCCTGACATGAACAAAATATACTACAAAGAAGTCGCGCTTCAGAAAAGGAACCATCGAATTAGACGACATGACTGTTCTTAACTGGTGTGCGTCAAACTCGAAAGACCCTGCCCCAAGAAGGGTGCAAGGACAAAAACATACAACAGCCAGGATTCGCATGTGGTCACCCACCATACTACTAACTGGCCGGCGTGTGGCTTAAGTGCGGCTGAGCGGACGGGAAGCCCTGTTTTCCAAACCCTATGGTCGTATGTGCTCAGAGAATCATTTTGAAATCTCATTACCTCATGTAAAATTCTGTAAACATCAAACACTGACTCTCTACCGTTGGAATCCTGCATCTGCGTAAATCCAGGACACCGAGGAGGCGAGGACAGCAAGCTCTCGAGAGCCTGCCTTGGATTATCATGCAAGTCCTAGCTCACTACCGGGCACATGGATCTGTTTAGACCAGAGCCAACCGCAGTGATGGCCAAACGGACAACCTAAGCAGTAGTCCCATGACCTACTCGGAATCAGCAATTTCCTAATTGACGCTGGACTAGGTGGGTCATCGAGCGAGAGGATCGACCGTACTTGAAGCGTCTTTAGAACGCAGATCAGGCGATCCATTTAGTTGGGGCCCTCATCTTCTTTGTCTCGGGAGTCAGCCTTCCGAGAACTGTTATGTCAAAGCTCGACAGGGATTGTTTATGCCCGTCAACCGGTGACTTTCAAGCACAGATGTCACCGGCTCACCATGATCCGAATTCTTACAAAGAGCTAGTGATCTCGGGATTATGGCCTCGATGTTTCTTCGTTACTCGACACGACCTGTCAATCTTGTGTGACGGTAGATCCTCCAAGCTCAAACTGCAGGTATGACTTCCGCTCCCTCCCACGAGAACGAGAAGCTCGACGACTCTGAGAAGGCCATCAATTCCGCAGACCAAGCCCGAACGCAAAATGCAGCCGACGTCAAGACGAGCCCCGGAACTACAGGGAGTGACGCACATGCTATGCATGGCTTCAAGCTCTTTGCCATCTTCGTGGGCATCTGTTTCGGGGCCTTTTTGATGTCACTAGACATATTCGTCATTGCAACGGTGAGTTCTTCACTCAAGCCCCCCAGCTCAAACACAGTGCGTCGACAGCTAATTCTTGACGGTAGGCTATCCCATCAATTACCTCAGATTTCCAGGACACTTCTCAACTGGCATGGTACCCGGCTGCGTATTCACTCACAACATGCGCATTGACTCCGCTGGCGGGAAAACTGAGCTCAATGTTCCCCCTTCGCTGGATTTAAATCCCGTTCTTTTCCATCTTCTTGGTTGGAAGCCTGGTCTGTGGCTTTGCGCCCAACAGCAACACTTTTATTCCAGGTCGCGCAATTGCGGGTATTGGGGCGTCGGGCGTCGCAAGCGGAGGCTTCGTGATCGTTCTCACCGTCTCTCCTGAGAAATCGAAACCGCTGCTACTGGGAATATGCAGCAGCTGCTTCGTCCTGGGTCTTATCTTGGCTCCCGTCATTGGCGGCGCATTTACGGAAAAGGCGACTTGGAGGTGGTGCTTTTGGCTGAATCTTCCTCCCGGTGCTCTGACATTACTCTCAATGCTGCTTTTCTTCCGGCCTCCCTCAATCCAACGCGAGCGAACGGTCGTGCAGCGGATCAAGAATTTAGATGTCCTTGGTTGTGCGATCTTTGTACCTGCCATCTTCGTGCTGCTTCTCGCAATGATGTGGGGGGGTACACAGATGGATTGGAATTCGGCGACAGTCATTGGGCTATTTGTGGGCTCGGGTGTGATGTTGATTCTCATCGTGTGCTGGGAAGGGTATAAGGGCGAAAGTGCGATGATACCAGGGAATGTAATCACCAGACGAACGGTGAATTTTAGTGTCTTGTTCTCCTTTTGCCATTTTGGCTCTCTGGGAATCCTGAATTACTATCTCCCGGAATAATTTCAGGCCGTGCAAGGCGCAACTCCATTGCAGAGTGGAACCAGAGTGTTGGCTTTTGTGCTTTCTCAAATCGTGGGCACTTTATCTGCTGGTATTCTAGGTACGTCTGATTCCACCATCTATCGAATCCGATAGAATGATTCATCACGCACAGATCCGACCGTCGACTCACTCCCAACTACAGCACGAAGATCCCACTACTATAACCCGTGGCTCTTTATAGGTCCCCTCTTCATGTGCACGGCTGCCGCTCTATACACGCAATTCTCAACAATCCAACACTCCATCAAGCCACTGGATCGGCTTCCAAGTGATTCAAGGCCTCGGTGTCGGAATGGCCCAACAGATGCCCTCGCTCATCGTCCAGCACACTGTTCGCGACAGACCTGAACTCATGCCGGTTGCAATATCACTCAATCTTTTCTTCCAGTATCTGGGCGCCGCAGTCACGCAGGTTCTCGGCGGGATTGTATTCCGCTCGGTCCTTAATCCAGAACTAGCGGACCGCGCTGGTCTGAATGCTCGGCAGATTGCAATGCTGTCTGCCGCCAGGACAGCGAATATGCGTTGTGTCGCAGAACGGGTGTTTTCCGAGTCCCTAGATTCAATCCTGGGGGCCTACAATGAGGATCAGTGACAGCCCTTCGACTAGTCAAGAAGACGCTGCAGTTGAGCAGGCATGAACGTGGCCGCCCGAGCGCATTTTACCCGTCTCAATTCTGTCGGCGCGACTTGGAGAGCCCTCAACCATACACAATTGCTGCGTTCATACAAGACAGGGCCAAGTACTGCCCTGACTAGTGTAATGTTTGTTTGGAGCGTTAGTGAAAGGACAACCCAGCCCGAGAATTTGTCGTGATCGTGCGCTTCAAGCTACCTATAGAAGGACTCCTTCAATATCGAACTTGTTGAGATATATGACCACCAAAGTGCAGAGTCTTGCTGTATGGCAAGGTACCGAAAGCTATTCTACAGGCGCACCTGGACAGAGCTTACACCGTTGAAAACGCCCGAGACGCTCAGAATGTCATCCTTGGATTTATCTCCGCTTTTTGACATCCAAATGATAATTAATCATTGATGATTGTATGTGCAAATGCATCGTATAAACACAGAGACTTCATAGATTAACACCCCTATCAATGATGGATACCTTGAAGACGCTTCAGCATAGGAAGTCAACTGAAGGTGAAAGATTTGCTTGAGACACCTTTCTCACGGAAGGACTGCTGACTCCAAAAAACTTGAAGGGTTACAAGCATACTCAGGAGGATGGCTGAGAGTCACAACGAGTGAGCGTGGATTGGAGAAAGGACAAGATGACTCCCGGGCTTACTATTCCAACCCGTTTTCTGTCCGCTGTGATTGTGTTCACGCGGATTTCATAACATCACTTCTGATCTTGCATAACCGGAGGTGTGTTTCAAGCGTTTCTTTGGCGTTATGAATCTCTTCGGTGGTAAATCAACATCCGTACTATCGCATCCCATGATTCGAGGTACGCGGCCCAGGCAGAAACAATCCTTTCACTCCCACGCCAACCAAGGACACGGCCTTGAGCTTCCCCGGCTCGGTCGAACACAGGCTTCGCACTTCCTCCGTCATGTATTGTGCAAGCAACGCCTTCTGCTGCTCATCTAGGTCCTGTCTTGCCGTCATCATTTGAGTCACTTTTGTCATCATCGTGTCCACAAAGGACTCGTGCCAGCGAAACGGTATGTCCACATCTACCTCGTGCACCGTGACGTCCCGGTATCCGGCCATCTCGAGTTCAGAGGCCAGACTCTCTGCTTTCGCCCATCGTGCTGGGATCGATGGCGGAATGCATGCCGGGTCCACTTTGGTGATGGTCCGCAGCATTCGGAGCCAGTCTGTTTCCGCCCAGGAGGAGGCTACTAAGACGCCGCCAGGTTGAAGGACCCGCCAGGACTCGGAAAGCGCCTTCCTTGGGTCACTGGCGTTGAAGAAAGACTGTGAAGGAAAGCGATCAGTTGAGCCGACCGTTGAAATATTGCAAGTCGGGCCTGTCAGCCCCAAAGAGCCGCATAGGGAAGGACAAGGGAGAGACAACTTCATAGATGGTCGTAGAATGCTACTAATACATACCCAACCAGCCGCCACGTGGCTCATCTCTCCGTCCCCAACAGAAGTCAAATTCATACAATCCAGCGGTTTGAAGTCGTGAAATGTAATTTGGGGGCCATGCACGAGCAGAGCCAAGCAAAGTGAGAAGAAAGAAGAGAAGATGATGGATTGTATGGGTACGCCTGGAACTGGGCCTGGTCGCCTCGAGAGCTTGGGTCCGCGAACGATTGCATTCATTTCAGCTTGACCATTTCATCACCTACAGAAGGTCAACCCCTGGCACGAAAACGTTTCTTTGTGATACAATGTGGCGCTGTCATCGCCAAATTGTTTGACCAGACGAGACCAGCCCAAGTCATCTATAATCAAGCGTGGTCGCTCCAGACGAATCAGAGAAAGACCTGGCTCATCAATCCAATTACTCGGAGAAATCGATCCGAACTTGTCGTGCCAAGGTGATATCTATTGAGGCGCTTGAAGATTGCGTGAAGTATAAGGGCCGTCGACAATAAGCAGTGTTTGAGGAAAACTGATATGCACAGCGACTAAACATCCCCAGCTCCAGAGGATGAGACCCCATGCCCGGAGATGTAGAGGTGATAGCCCAATGGAGCAATTGGCCGAGATCGTTCCAAGAAGACCAGGATCTCAGCCTTCATGAGGTGCGTAGCCATGCAAAAGATCCTCAAGATATACGTACTGGGCGAAACGGACTGTTCGGACAGGGACTCTCCGCTCAAGGTCAGATGCAGCGTTCTTCCGGAGCGGAATGTCAATGAAGGGCTCGGAAATTCATCCGGCGAGGAGGAAATATGCAATTTGTTTCGATTTAGGCCCCCAGAGAGATAGACTGGTACCCAATGGACGCAGGCGTGCAGTGACAGCTCTCCACTTCTTTTCCCTTGTCAACTCGCAGGTCCTGCGCCTACAGCGGGCTGGGCGGCGGGCTGGGCAGTGTTGAGTCTAGTACTTCACCTGGCTCGGATCTCAGCCGCACTGGCCACGACGCTCTTATTGATGGCATGATGGAAAAAGTGGAAAGAAAGGCCATCTGTCAGGTCCGCGTCTCAATGACTATCGGGTGTCCATTGGTGATTGCCCTCAGCCGACTTCTTCATTTCGAAAAGACTCTGCGGAGATCCGAGAGGACTCCCTCCGGAAACGAGTGTCGGTGCGGCCCGAGCCTTTGGTACCAACCCCCACTCGCCCAAGCCTCACACCCCGTTCACCAACCACAACCACGCCTCTTGGTGGGCACGAACAAGCAGAGCAGAGACAATGAACGGCGAACGGAGGCTCCATGCGGCATGTGACCGTTGCCACGAACTCAAGAATCGATGTACGCGCACCGGGGGACCAGAAAGTCGGTGTGATCGATGTGAGCGACTCGATATAGACTGCGTGTACAACACCAGTGCCCGCATGGGCCGACCGCGATTATCCCGACACACAGATCGATCCGTCTTCGGACCGGCCAAAGCATGTGCGACATGCTAAACGACGGGCTGTCCACTCGCGCGATGGTCCTGGCGAGAATCCTGTTCCACTTGCGACTGAACACAGGGACCGTCCTGTCGTGACCACGGATACATATGCGCCAGGTCCGTTGGGTGGTTCATGTGCTGAAAGTGGCCGGCCCGAGAGCGTGTCTGGCCCAGGCAGCCCGGACGACCTTGGACCAATCTTGGGAATCCTGGATTCAAGCTTTGTTCCCGGAGATAAAGACATTGCTCCCTCAAGAAATCGTGCGCAGTAATGGTGAGGCTGATGGTGAGGCCAGGGGTCTACTGCGCTGACGCAGATTGGAATCTGAGGCTAGAGTCTGCGGATTTTGCAAGTCTGATGCATAACGATCCACTGGGTGTACACGAATATCAACGCGATCGAGGGCGTGACTACGAACCGAATCACCCTGGTGATTTCGGTACGAAGATCTCACCTCATCAGCCAAAAGGGCACGATGACCTACCAAAGTCAGCCGAGGACAAAGCTCGAAAAGGCGAGGATACTACGACCGTGATTCCCGGCTCAGATGAGCTTCTCCGGCTTTAAAATTCGCTTGAACAATCTATTGAAAGGCGCAGGGAACTTCCCAAAGGAAAGCCAGCCGCCGCTTGACGAGATCATGATGATATGTAAAGAGCTGCTGGAGCTTCTCCCCACTCAAGGGTATCGTGCTGGATCCGAGTACAACATCAATGTCAGGGACAGAACCATGACCGGAAACTTCCACATTTCGACAAATGGCAATGATAGTGTACTGGTTGGAGGATGAGTACGTGCCCGTTTCTGTTCAGCAGATTTCGCAGCGTGACGACCTATTCCGTCCCGACCGCACATACTGGCTGGCTGGTCTCGCTGGTGACACTGGACGGTCTTTAGCCGACTTTATGATTGCTCATCAAGCCTTGAACATAGTGTTGAGTAGTCGTCGGCCTGTTGTCGACGAAGCTTGGGTGCTGTCACAAAAGGCAAAGGGTGCCACAGTGAGATATTTTGAAGGGTACGTAAACAGGTTGACGCATTTTGATATCTTGGAGTCAATACCCATTGGAATTGTATCTAACCTTTGCTATCTGCAGGGACGTCACCTGCTTCAGCTCCATGAAAAAGATTCATGACACTATCAAGGAATCTATGCCGCCTATCGGTGGCGTTGCCAACGGCGCCATGGTTCTACGAGACAGCTCCTTCATGAATATGAGCTTTGAAGATTTCCAGACGGTTCTGAGGCCCAAAGTACAATGCACAATCAATCTTGACAGGCTCTTCTCCGACCGCAGTCAGCCTCTGGATTGGTTCATTGGATTTAGTTCGATCGCTGCAACTGTTGGTAATCCTGGATAATCGGCTTACACCGCTGGTCACTGTTTTATCAAAGGACTCATTGACCGCCGCCGTCAGCAAGGCTTGGCTGGATCAGTCATTGACATCACTCGATTAGTTGGATTAGGTTTCATTGAGCGCGAAAGTCGGGGGTGGGGCCTGACAAAAGAGCATCAGGAGCGTCTCACGACACGATCAGGCACAATCGCGATGAGCGAGAATGACCTGCACCAGCTGTTCGCGGAAGCTATCCTGTCAGGACGTCCTGCTCTCGGTCTAAATCCCGAAATTATCACGGGATTAGCTCCAATTACAGTCGAGCAGTCTAAGGATGCCTACTGGAAAACCAACATGAGGCTATCACTACTGATCAAGGACGCTGGACAAGGTAACGCACAGGGCTCAGAGAGGAGTGAGGTGATTCCTTCGCGAAAGCTATTGGAAGGAGCCAAATCTTTGCAGGACGCAGTCAAAGTGCTTTGGAGTATGTGGAGGCCCCTGGTCCCTTGATCGTCGCTTGATACGCAGTCTTTCGTTGACATTTACCCGTAAAACAGACTCCTTCAAGAAGAAATTGCAGGCTTTGAAGTTCTTATCCGATTCTGACGGCATTTACGACAGCACGCCGCTCGTGTACATGGGCGTCGACAGTTTGGTCGCGGTGGAGGTCCGGTCCTAGTTCCTGAAGGAACTCGCTGTCGACGTGCCAGTCATGAAGATTCTAGGTGGTGCTTCTATCGCAGATTTGGTGGAAATTGTCGCGAGTAAACTGCCCGATGAGCTCTTGAATCGATTGGATCCTGAGGGGAAGCAGCGAACGGGCAATGCAGGCCTGTCTGAGGCTACTGTTTCTAGCTTGGTAAGTCCGACTGAGCCGACAGTCGACCACGTTGAAAATGACCACCATCTTGCTTCACCAGATGGTGTGAATGGCATCGTTGGCACCAATGGCGTGAAGTATGAGAATGGAGACGATGCCGAAAATAGCGGTCTCAAAGGCATCAATGAGATCAAAGGCGCTCACATTGCTGGGGCTGGTACGAACGGAGCCACGAACATCGTCGAGAAAGATTCGGAGTACGCAACGAAAGACACCAACTCTTCGATCATCATTCGGGAACAAGAGGTGGTCTAACTTGGTGCATCTACTGCTACAGTATATCACGTTTCAGACAGATATCAGTTATCTGGTTGGCAGGCTTTCAAAAGGCCTAACGTCATTTCTCCCGTCGGCAATTGTATATGTTCAGTACTTCTATCACTTTTTGCTTGGAGGACTGATCTTCCGTGCCAAGCGTTCGGTGTCCTTCGTAGGCTCTTTGAGTATACATTCGAAATCTCCGCCCCGGTCTGCGGACGATTGCTCGACTGTAGGCGTGGGGGTTCTTCTTCCAGACACACAGAGTCTACCTCAGAGTCCAGGGTCTTCCATGTAAATCAGCCTAATCTATTTTCAGCGGACCGGGGGAAGTCCGAGATTGTTCAGGTCCACTTGTTATTAAAGTGGATCCATTCCCCAGCTGTGATCGGCAGAACTCCGAATGAATGATGGGCCTCGCAGATCGAACTACTGAATCTGGATTCATTTCAGTACTATCATATTGGGAAGTTGGGACAATTAGAATTACACGACACAGATCACTAGCTCCCTTATTCCAGTAGAAAGATTTGGTACCTGAATCTCCTATCGGATTAAAGGACTTCCATTTGGAATATGCATCGTCTTGATGTTTCCCTTCGCGGACGACAACGCCTTCGAGGAGTACATTGCCATTTCAAACAGATGACCAAGTTTATTGTAGACAATCGTGGGTGGTAGTCTCACGTGTTGATCATATTCACCGCGAACTCGATCGCTGACTGTCTTGATTCTTCGAAACTCGAGTCTCGACGTCTCTGGGGCCCCGCATGCCGATAACTTTAAGAAAGTCCACCCCCGCGGAATTGCCTAAATGGGAAGTGATCCCATGACGAGAGCTGTCAGCATAGCCCAGCCTTGAGGGCCGAGACCAGTCCTCTTTGTACTATTGCGCACAGCTGCGTGCCTTCTCTATAAGAGGGCGAGGGCTCCCATGTGATGGATTGGAAACACTTCGTTTTGTAAGGACTCACGACTCCCACCTACAGCTCCGAACTGCGCGCAGGAAGGATCACGAAAAAGGCCCATGAGCTATCCTCAACAGCAACGACTTTAATCAGCAGCTGAAGTATCATTGCACAATCATCAAACATGTCACCAAAACACTACTTCCCATCCACGAGCGCCAATTCTCTAGTCCCCAGAGCGCTACGAGCCCTTGTCTCCGCGAATGACCATCTTACCCTCGACTTTACCGAGCGAGTCGTATCCAATGCATACCACGATGAGTCCAAGGTCAGTATCATCGGCGGTGGGGGTTCAGGACACGAGCCGGCGTGGAGTGGATTCATCGGGGATGGGCTTCTGTCAGCCGCGGCATGTGGTGACATTTTTGCGTCGCCGAGCGCCAAACAAGTGCTACGAGCCATCCAGATGGCGTCTTCGCAGGAAGGGGTGATTTTGTTCATTACAAACTACACGGGCGATCGACTGCATTTTGGTCTCGCGGCGGAAAGAGCGAAAGCGGAGGGTTTGGTCAAGAATGTGGCTATCTTACCTGCCACTGATGATGTCTCGATTGGAAGGAGTAAGAGTACTAATATGGGGAGGCGAGGATTACCCGGGCATGTTTTCAGTATGTGATTCGTGCTCCTTCTTCTGCGGGAAAAAGTGCTTTTTTTACTGAAGACACAAGGCTGACATGTCTTAGCGATGAAAATAATCGGTGCTGCGGCCGCAGAGGGATATTCGTTCGACCAGTGTCTCGCACTGGGCCGGGCGATCAATGACCAGACCGTCACAATTGCCTCGGCGCTAGATCACTGCCATGTCCCCGGGCGAGAGCAGCAAGCATCCGTATCAGATGGTGTGGTTGTGATTGGCGCCGGGATTCACAATGAACCAGGCCAAGTTCATGTTTCCCCGGCGCCATCCGTCGAGGAGCTAATTGAGCGACTACTGAAGTTGCTGTGCGATGAAACAGATTCAGAGAGGGCATTCGTCAGTTTTGCCACAGGCGATGAGATTGGCTTGCTGGTGAACAACTACGGTGGCCTGTCCGTATTGGAGTTACATGCGTTGGCTGATGAGATTCAAATCCAATTGCGCTCCACATGGAAGATTGAGCCATGTCGCACACTCTTTGGCGCTTTTGAGACGTCACTGAATGCCCCGGGCTTTTCAATTTCACTGTGTAATCTGACAGCGGCCGCGCGCAAGGCCAATGAATCGGTTGAAAAGTTGAAACTTCTTTTTGATAGCCCAACGACTGCCGTTTCTTGGCCCAACACGACTCGTCCACCAGCCTCTTCAATCTCGAAGAGAAAAGATACATTCGATATATCCGAAGCAAAGAACAACGACTTGAAAAATGCTTCTTTGTTCCTGAGAGACCCTTCGCTCCTGGAAAAGGCAATTTGGAATTCCTGCCAGAGAGCCATCGCCGCGGAGCCAAATTTGACCCAGTGGGACATGATCATGGGGGATGGCGACTGCGGGGAAGCTGTGGAGGGCCTTGCCCAATCTATCCTGCGGCGTATCGACAGTGGATGTTGTCGGTCTGGCGATGTGTTTGAGGCCATTCACTCGATACTCCAGGATGTCGATAACATGGGGGGTACATTGGGCGCAATCTTCGGCGTCCTTCTTTCCGCATTCCTCGGCTCCCTGAAGAAGATCGTTACCGAGTCCGAGTCCGAGTCCGAGACGAACTCACACTCACCCGAAATCTACGCAAGCGCCCTCGCGTCCGCAGTATCCTCGTTAAAATACCACACGGGAGCACGAGAGGGCGACAGGACAGTCATGGATGTGCTTCTCCCCTTTGAGCGGGAGTTCAGTCAGTCGGAAAATTTCGTATCAGCGATCAAGGTTGCAGCAGATAAAGCAGAGGCCACCCGGTATCTCAAGGCAAAGTTTGGTCGTGCGACTTATGTTGGCGACTCGTCGAGTCAGGAAGTTCCTGATCCGGGTGCGTGGGCTTTGTATGAAGTTCTCGCTGGTCTTGCTGATGGACTTGGGTTTGCCTGAAACAGTGAGAATAGCATGTGTCAAGCAGATTCTAAATTTTTAATAGTGAGAGGCTGTCCATATGTGAATTGGCACGGCTGATTGATATCTTGAGGTGGAATCTTCTGCTACGGCCGCAGATAGAAGCACTCCGGAAACAACGCAACTTTACGGAAGTAAACGGCGGGCCGATTCCGAGGAAACTGCAATTGATTTCACCGAGATCTTGAGAAGAAAAAATCCTTCGAGCGACAATAAAGCAACGATTACTTAAATTTGCTCCGATAAGTCTATCCAAAAGGAAAATCTGACAAGACCATCCATAAACACCACCAACAAAACTATCTAAGGGACCCAAAACCCCTATTCAAACAGATTAGTAACACCGATTAGTAGGTTATACAGCCTACGGATCCTGGCTTCACGCCCCGAGGCGAGGAGCTACACTAGAATAAAGACGAATTTTCCACTGGATAGTCAGATCAGCTTCTATATTCACTCTGTGATTAACTCCAGTGTATGAGTGTATCACGACACGTTCGTTCCCGGGTGCTATCATCGGCTGCCGTACGCATGGCGGTGCGACGTGCAACTTGGATTGACCCGACTGGATCGTTATTCTCCATAAGCTTTCCAGCTTGCAGATACTGTTATATACCAAGTCTTTCTTATTAAGGACGAGTAGAATCTTCGGGTAGTCCTTAGATGCTCTTCACATGTTCTCGTTAGCTTTCACGGAAATTGCGGCCAGGCCGCCACATATTCTTTGCCAACCCCTCGACCATCCTTAAGCGGCAAGAAGATGACAGCTGGGTGACGCTATGAGGGCTTAAGTTACTGCCAGGAGTGCAAAGTTATCATTAGTAACTAAGTAGGAACTTACTTAGTACCATGCTAACTTAGTACTAGCCTATTACCTTAGGTACTACCGTAGGTACCTAGTGACTAGTTAGTTAGGGTATAGGTGACTTAATACCTAGTTACCATTGGTTGGTACTTATCCGTACCATGTACTGCCCAGATATCGCATTCGAAATCCGTGGGTGTTTCGAGCGAATTAGTGAAGCTCGCCGCTGGTCGTCCCTGTAGATCATTCCAATGGTCATGGCTCGGTGGTCGCTAATTGGCATGGCTCATTGCTGTCGCTCCGGTTAGAATTTCGGCTTCAACGCGAGGCCTGGTGACCTAGCAGCACTAATCAATCGTCAATCTCCATAATCCACAGTAATTCAAGAAAGTCTATCTTGATAAGATGATAAAAGTAGTACACAACCGGTGATCCTACAGTAGAGAATTGACACTGGATCCTTTCACATGACATTCGGAAAGGATCCACCTTGTTCCACACTCTCTCGGGCGGTTACCTTCGGGCGGGGCGATAAACCCTGCAGGAAATTCCTAAGCCGATCCAATTCCGATCCTAATCCGATCAGCCCATGGCGAAATCTTTCGTCTTCTTACGCAACATCCCCTCCTCCTGATTCTCTCATTTCTCTCTTGCTGTACACCGATTGCACGCATCACAGGGTGCTTCATATCTCGCATCCATGGCTTCAACAATCACCAAGCCCGTTATCCCGCCTGTGGCGATGGACACTATCACCCAGCACATTGGCAACACCCCCCTCGTGCGACTGAACCGTCTGCCCCAGAGCTTGGGAATTGATGCCACTGTTTACGCCAAGTTGGAATACTTCAATGCGGGAGGCAGTGTCAAGGATCGCATTGCGCTCCGTATGATTGAGGAGGCTGAGCGCGAGGGCCGCATCAAGCCCGGTGACACTCTCATCGAGCCCACCAGTGGCAATACGTATGTGTTTTTATCTACTGTGCATGCAACAGACAAATTTGCAATACTAAGAGAGTCTTTTGTTTAGTGGTATCGGTCTTGCGTTGGTTGGTGCTGTCAAGGGTATGTTGATCCCCCTTGAGGGAACTAGATATTCGAATTTTTGCGCATATCTTTTGCAGTACGCTGACTTTGTTTGACTTCCACTACAGGCTACAAGACCATCATCACTCTGCCCGAGAAGATGTCTGCCGAGAAGGTCGCTGTGCTCCGCGCCCTTAACGCGACTATCATCCGTACCCCTAACGAAGCCGCCTGGGATTCTCCCGAGTCTCACATCGGTGTCGCCAGACGCCTTGAGAAGGAATTGCCCAATGCCCACATTCTCGACCAGTACGGCAATGTAAACAACCCTCGCGCTCATGAATTCGGCACCGCCGAGGAGATCTGGACTCAGACCAAGGGCGAGATCACGGCAGTTGTAGCCGGTGCCGGTACTGGTGGTACCATCACTGGTATCGCCCGCGGTCTGAAGAAGCACAACCCCAAGATCGAGGTGATTGCCGCCGATCCTCACGGCTCTATCCTGGCCTTGCCCACTTCGTTGAATGACCCCCATGTCAACGAGCCTTACAAGGTCGAGGGTATTGGGTACGATTTCATCCCCGACGTGCTGGACCAGAAGATTGTCGACCGCTGGTACAAGACTGCCGATAAGGAGTCCTTCATGTACTCTCGTCGTCTGATTGCCGAGGAAGGTCTGCTTGTTGGTGGCAGCTGTGGTAGCGCCGTTGCCGCCTTGGTGCACGCCAACGAGGAGCGCAAGTTCACCAAGGATGATGTCGTGGTTGTCGTCCTCCCTGACAGCATTCGCAGCTATCTTTCCAAGGTTCGTCAACATCTTTCCTCTTCCGATATATTATCCACTGTGCCTACTTTCGGGGAAGCGGAGATCAAAGATGTTCAAGTATTGACAAGTTTGACCATTGCTGTAGTTCGCTGACGACGACTGGCTCGCCGCCAATGATCTCTTGCCCAACCCCGCCGAGCCTACCCCGGAGAAGGCTCCCGCTCCTGCCGACCCTCTCGTCGGTGCCAAGGTCAGCGACCTCCGCCTGAAGCCCATCACCACAGTGACCTCCACTTTCACCTGTGAGGCTGCGAACGAGATCATGCGTGACAAGGGCTTTGATCAGCTGCCAGTTCTGGCTGCCTCTGGTCGCCGACTTGTGGGTCTGGTTACCTTGGGTAACGTTCTCAGCCGTCTCACTCACGGCCGTGCTACCGGCAAGACCCCTGTCTCCGAGGTCATGTTCGACTTTTCCAAGATTCCCGAGGTGGTCACCGACTCTCGCGCTCTCGGTCGCTCCAACGGTCAGGGCAGCCGCCGTCAGTTCATGGAGATCACCATGGACACCCCTCTCAGTGTGCTGAACCGTTTCTTCGAGTGGAACAGTGCTGCGATCGTCACTGAGAAGGGCGAGGGTGGTGCACTCAAGCCATTGGCTGTTGTGACCAAGATTGATCTGCTCACTTGGATGTTGCACCACAGCAAGAAGCAGACCAACGGCGCATAGATGAAAATGACTGCGATGACCAAATGATTCCCATTCGAGCTATTATAGCTCATTCCCTCCTTCTTTTTTTAAATCCTCTTCACCTGCATATCGCGACATGTATCGCATGTCGTGGATGGAGTTTTCACTTTTTTCAACATCCCTGGAGCTGTGTTCTGCTTGTCATATTTATCTGTGTCATTATGATTTGTGCTTAGATATGTTCGAGCCAGGCGTTTGTTTTTTTCCTCCTTCGGTTTACGTCGCGGCCTGGAAGCGCCCTTGGACTTGGTTCAACACAACGCGTGGAGATATTTCTCGATAGAATATGCATTGCGAATTACATATGAGTTGCGTATGCACGACGCGATCTTTTGACATACACGGTAATCTCCATTTCTTTTTACCAAGCGAATATCCTCGGTCTAGTATGTCTTGTTTCGAATTAAAGTTCAGTCAGATCGAACCAAGTGGATCGCGATCGGGTGCAACCTGAGATCCGCGATCTATCATTTCTTGGCCTGGCCTTCGTGTCGGTCATTGCATTCTGCAGCGCGGGCTACCTTATGTCGCGATGACGTGTATGCGGGACGATGGTTATCGGCGAGCTTATCGTGTACAAGCTCCTTATAGATACGAGCGTGCTCCGCCAAGTTCTATAGATTTGAGAAAGGATATACCTTGGGTGATTCCTCACATACTTGGGTTCTTTTCCCGACTCCGAAGATGTCTGGACTCAGAACATACCGCAATTATTCATTGCAGGACACTCCGTCTCTGGAGGGGCAGATTGCTCTAGTCACGGTGAGTACCGTACCAGATTGGCAGATACCGTCCGCGCCATCCATTATGCTAGCACCGACTTCGTTTCCATGCTGCTTCAATATCACTCGAACTCGGTCGCTCGTCCACTAATCATCTGTATTCTAGGGTGGTCAGGTAGGAATTGGCAAGGGTCAGTTCATTCAGATTTCGAACTGTGAAAATACGTTCTCGTCTCGGTTCTACGCCACCTTCGACGAGGGCCTTATGACCTACATCCATCTAACGCTCTGCATCCCGATCTCTCCATACAGAAATTACCGCACAACTACTCCTTCATGGCATCGATCAGGTCATCGTCGTGGCCAGGAGCGAAGACTCATTCAAATCCGCTTACGATGAATGGCGAGTACGAAAGGGAATTGGTTTGACTGAGGGCGACAACCGAGTCATTTTCATGCAATGTGACCTTGGCGATATGCAGGATACGGCTGCCGCAGCCAGGAGGATCAAGCAACGGGTGGATAAGATTCACATCATGATTTGCAATGCAGGTATGAAACTGGCTTCTTCGTATATCGTTTTCAGAAGGGCAACCAGAAGCCGGGATCCTATGGCTGCAGTCCCAACACCCGATTCAAAAGGCTAACCACACACCAGGCCTCGGCGTCCAACCCATCCAACAACTCAACAACGACGGCATCGACCCCATCTTCGCCGTAAACTGCATCGGCCACCAAATCCTCACAACGCTTCTCCTCCCCCATATCAAAAAGGCCGCTCCGACCGCCCCCCACGGCGCCCGCATCATCTACACCTCCTCCAGCATGCACCAGTTCTGCAGGACCCTCAACCTCGCCGATCTCACCCGTCCCACGGGGATATGGCCCAGTCTAGCAGACTGCGTGTGGCGGTACGGACGATCAAAGGTTGGCAATACGCTCTTCGCTAAGGAACTCAATCGGCGCTTGCTGCTTGAGGCCGAGGAGAAGGGCGATGAAGCGGCGAGGGAGATCTACGTAAACTCGTACTTTCCGGGGATTGTGATCACGCGGCAGTGGCAGGGGTGGAGTGAGCATATGGGGGATTCGGTGGGGAAGGTGATGAGGCTGTTGGGATGGATTCTGGGACAGAGCGACGAGGATGCGGCGGCGAGTGCGATGTATTTGGCCGCGAGTCCGAAGGTGAAGGAGAGAGATGAGAGAGGGTTGTATTATATTCCGATTGCGACGGTGGATCAACCGACGGCGTTGGCGCAGGACGAGGTGTTGGCGAGGAAGTTATGGGTGAGTCTATCTAGATTGAAGATGGTCGAGGATAAACTGCTAACGTTGAAAACTACAGGATTGGATGGATGATCGCATTGCGCAGCAATTGGGACCAGATTGGAAGGAAGAATGAATGAATGAAGGGCTGGTACTGGTACGATTAATGATTATCCAGGGATTTGCAACTGTTGAATACTTGTACCGAACCCGTTGTACGTTGATTGTTTTTTCTTCCTTGGAGTTGAGCTGTGTTGAGATAGAATATTGGCATACTATGGAACCAGGTGACCTGTCCATTCAACAGGACAACTCTTCATCCTTATTCTCAGCCGTGAAGAGGTGAGACTTGACGAGAGGCGAGCACAAGTTCACTGATTCTTCCTTGGACTAACTGTTTTTATCTCTCAAGAGAGATATTGACACTTCAAACTGGCATGGCTGGTGTAAAAACTTTGTTGTTCTTGAACTTTTTCGTAAATAGAGCAAGTACATCATCACTTTGAAGGTACATCATCAAGTCATGACACAGCTCTATGTGGCACATGCTAAACGTTTTTTTTTCTTTTACAAACACATGCCAACCCACTCCTCCCATCGGCGCACACCAGATCCCACCTCTTCTTGAGACTCACCCTTCACCGCGCCCCCAGTCACATCGACCTTGATACCCACATCTTCCATAAGCTTGAAGCTGAACACACCCTGGCCGTCGTCGTCCCCGAGAACCTCATCCTCTCCCACATCCACGTCTGCAGTATCCATACTAGCATCCATCAAGCCCTTCGTCTTGGACTTGCGCACGCGATCAATTTCCGCCTCGAGCTTCTCCCGCACCGATCCTGGAGGCAGCGCCGTGAACAGATCTTGCTTATTCGCAGCGATCAAGACAGGAATCTCCGTCGCCCGTTTCGTTGACGAGCGGCCCTTGCCCAGCGATCGCTTTTGCAGGATGAGGAGAACGTCGTGGAGATAGGTCGCGGTGTCACGGAGCACTGCCTCGTCCACAAGAGCTGCGGTATCGACCATGAAGATCACGCCGCGGAGCTTGTTCTTGGAGTCGTTTGACGAGGCCATTGTTTGAAGCTCTGCGATGCCTTGCGAGGCGCGGAGCTTGCCATGGCCGGGGGTGTCGCGGAGACGGTACTTGATGGGGTTGCGGGAGGCTTCTTTCAATGAAGGGTCATTGACGGAGCGATAACGGTTGGATGCCGTTGGGACGCTGGCGGGTAGAGTGACCGTGATAAGGGTCGAGACCTGCGACGTGTGGGTGTTGTGGGTGGTCTTGGAAGCCAGAGAGGACTTGGCTTCGAGCTAGAGGAAGAAGATTGTCAACATGTGAAAAGGTCAATCTGAGAAGAAGGACACTCATGGCGTCCCTTCTCGAGAGCTTACCAAAGTGGTGAACGCTGTCTTGCCTGCACCACTGGGGCCCAGCAAGAGAAAGTTACTCGACGGCGGCGATGCTGCGGCGCGGTAGAAGAAGTAATGAAGAAGAATCGGAACACCAAAAGCGACAACTATCGCGATCGCGATCGCAGTCAGGTTACCACTCAACAAGAGGGTCGCAATGCCCGAGACCGAGTCCCAACCAGCTTGACTGGACATCTTGGGGGACATGCACGTGTGGGGGGGGCTGATGTTGCGGACGGAGAAAGCGGCGAGCTGGTCACTCTTTCGGCGGAGGGCTTTCTAAGTAAGCTCGGACAAGTGGATAAGGGGACACTCTCTTATCGGCTCAGTCCAGGAACATCAGCCCATTCGGCTTCTCAGTTGCCTTTGCTCCGTGCGTCAGCTCATGTCACTGGGATGGACAACACGATCTGATCAGGATGGCATACCGTGTGCTCAAGTCATACATGAGCGCTGAGAAAGCAACCAGCTCTTTTGGATTCTTCGAATGGATGACCTTCAAGATGGCATGTCAGTCTTGCTACATTCCAGCGGTGGCAGCTCTCGCTCGGAGCAGGGTTCAGCTTATCGATAACCATATCGGCTTATCTTAGCGCTGCATATCACTTTCCTACTCGGGAAGTATATTGGAATGAGACAATGCTCTCCCTACTTGATGGTGACTGGTGATGGTACATACCAGAGGCCAAGGGGTCCCTGGAATAGAAGAGCTAGCCTGACACTGTCAGGTATCCCTTGGACCTCATGGCACAACTCCCGCTGAATTGTTCTTTTCGCTGTTGTTGACGCTGCCGCTACTGCTGCTTCATCATCCTCATCTTCACCTTCCTCGGCGCGACCTGTCTCAACGCTCGCCAGAAATGGGTCTCGGGAAGTTGTGGCTGGGATTAATTTCTCTCTTGTCTTCAGTGGCTGGTCAGACTCTCAGTGGTCTCGCATTCAAGGCTGGCGATGAGGTGAACTTTGTCTGGGCCTTTGATGGCATGACCACAGGCCGTTATGATTTCGACCTGTGTGCTGGTGATGAGTCTACGGGCAACTACGTGAGTGTTCTTGAATAGGCGGAGAATTCATCAGTGGCTCGTGTTTACAGGGCTGTAACTGATTCAATGTTCTATAGGAGACGCTGGATCGAGTCATTTCAGATACCCTGTTTTCACCAGGCGATCGCATTTCCTTTCGAGTCAACCCGCTCGTTGGAGGAAATGTTGCAAATGCATAGTAAGATTATAGTCTAACACAGCTGCCAGAGGGCCAAGACTGCCTGCCGAGTCATCTTACTCACCGTGTCTGCTGTCTTCCACAGCTTCTTGAAGATTACCCCCGTCAAGCCCAACGAGCATTGGTCCGGCTTCACCTCCCATTTTACCATGACGAACATGCAAGGTGCATTTTCACCCAGCATTATCGACGCCGTCAAGTCCATGCAGGCAATTACTATTCCGTCATTCATCTTGCCCGAGAACGACAGTTTGGTTGACGCGACCCCAGAGGTCCCACTCGTCGACGAACCCTTTTCCCCCAGCGAGGCCGCTCATCGAATAACTTCTACTCCCAACCTCGTCCCCACACCAACTTCGCCACTGGAGCAGGACCACAATGAGCTGCGAAAGCGTGTGGTTGTGAACCAGCACACCGTTCCTTGGGGTTTGCAGACTGGATTGACGAAATATGCGCCGATGCCAAAGCGGGCTGGTTCCACGATCAAACCGGGCTCCCCGACACCGCAGTACCCGCCGTTTCCTTTCAAGATTGCGACGACCTTCTTAGGGCAGCCAACTGTGCAGTATACGGATAACGCGTACCTGACCGCGACGGCGCCGTTTGTGGAGAATCCTGTAAGTCATGCGCAGGCGCGTGCTATGGCATAATCCTGGGCCCTTTACTAAGTCTTTGAAATCTAGGCTCCTCATGCTTCGGCGCCGACTGTAGACCCGGGCAAGCAGGAATGGTATGAGAAGTTGAAGGCGGAGTTCAACTTCTGATGTTTAACTTGCTCCGCGCTCTCTATATCGAATCTCGCTATTTGCTATCAACGGTTTAAGACAGTTCGCTGTCTGTCTGGCAGCTGATCTTCGATGTTCTTCTTATATGTTTCTAATACTTTCATTATAATACCCAGCATCTATTGCACGGTCCAACCTGGAACACCTCCGCCAGTCCAAAAGCACTTTTCAAGACACGTAGTGTAATCTTCACATGCCTTTTTGACTCTGTCCTCTACATTGTCCATGTCCACATCATACCCCCTTGACTCATCTTTTCTTTTCATTTCAGATTATCCACTGTTGGGTGACTTGGAGACTTTCCACTCCTCCAACGCAGGAGTAAGCTGTGGCGTGACAGGATGACTCTCCTGGGGATGGAAAGAGATATTCTCTCGCAGCGCAACATATTCACTGTCAGACCATCCCAGTAAAGACTCAATATGTGTGCTCCGGTGGCCCTTAATCAAGGCAATTTCCATCGACCCGTAATTCACCAACGCGCGCCCAACTTCCCGCGGTTCTTGCGCATGGTGATTGAATTCGCCATTCAGCGCATCCGGCGGCAACTTCTCCGCGACCACCAGACGCACGGCTTCTTGCTTCGCAAAGTGACCCTCGACGCCGACAACGCCCGCAGGGAGCAGACTAGCCTTGTGGTTACAGATCGCGTCGTACGCGCCTTGGTCAATATATAGCGTGCCGTGGGGCGTCAAGCCATGCAGGAGCCAGAAGGTCACGGACTGAATTGGGGTATCGGAGGGGAGGAACCGAGTGTGGAGGGGCGGGGAGGGATGATCGGCCGGCAGTTGGCCATTGGTTTCTTGGAGTTTCTGCAGGTACTTGACGATCTCGTGGACGTTGCCTGGTTTGGAGCTTTTCGTGATGATTGTCGTTACGCCGGCGCTGGTGCCGAGTTTCGCGGCGACGATCTTGGTGCTCATGCCGCCGGTTCCCAGCGCGGAGCCTGCGGATGAGACGTCGGCTTCTAGGGTGGAGATATCGGAGACGACCTCGATGGGGCGGGCGTCGGGGTTGGTCCGGGGATTTGATGTGTACAGGCAGTCCACGTCCGTCATCAGGAATAAATAGTCGGCCTTGACGGTGGCTGCGGCGATTGCAGAGAGGGTATCGTTGTCGCCAAATTTGATTTCCTAGGCAGGTCAGCAATTAGATGGCGAGGATCGAGCATGCGGTGGAGGTAGACGTACAGCAACGGCAAGGGTATCATTTTCATTCACAATAGGCACAACGCCCATTTCAAATAGTTGCTCAAAGGTGTTTTGGGCACTGATATATTGGGTTCTCTGGACAAACTCGTTAGAAGGGCACGTTCAGGTTGAGGTTCCATGGAAGAAACGTGTCATCATACATCGGCAATATCATTCCTTGTCAGAAGGATCTGAGCCACAGGCACTCGTAGATGCGAAAATAAATTATCCCAAAGACTCATAAGTCGGCATTGACCAACAGCAGCGAGAGCCTGCACGAGTTCCATGATCAGTCCATATTGGTCGGATAGTACTAGTCGCAATCTCACGATAGATCCAATGTCACATGTCCTACCTGTATACGAGGCAGATGCGTTGGCCGCTTGTCCCAGTCCATTCGTCTCAGGCCGACACCGACAGCACCTGAGGAGACCAGCACGACACGGTGGCCATCTTTGCGCAATTTCGCGACTGTCTCGACGATCAATGTCAAGATTGAAAGAATTGGCTCGTGAGTTTTTTCATCCACGATGGAGCTCGTCCCTGTGAGTGTTAAGAATTGTCAGTTGAGTCATACTTCTTAGCAGAACCAGATATGTTTTCCCCGCACCCAACTTGATTACGATTGTGAGACCCGACTTGGCCATTGTCTGTAGGGAGTGTCCTCATGTGACAGAGAAAAGAGTATGTGCAAGAAGAAGTACCCCCTTCAAGGAGAGTAAAATGAACTCCGATGCTCGTCGCAAAAGCAAAATGTCAAGACAACGAGACACACCCCGGCAGTTCTGCTCCGAAATAGGACCCTCCATCGCCCGCTTGCATCAGCGCGGAGCAAACTCCGCTATTTCTGCCAGAACTCCCCGCCCTTCGTCGGAGATTCTTTGCCCTCGACAGGTACAAACACCATCTATCGATTGGACCGGAAAGATTGACCAGATCAATCATGTCTGATTCCCAGGGCCGAGGTACGGCTGCGCCATCGAGCGAGAAGTCGGAGACGGGATATGTTCCCGGAGATGATACATTTACCCAGTTCCGCAATATCTACCGGATTTTGACCGGGAAGATGACCTCGGAGGGCATCGAGCAATTCCGCGTTGCGCGAGACTTGCGCAATGAAGCCTCGGATTGCAAGCGATGCGAGGACCAGCGTGATTATTTGTTGCAATATAGTGAGTTTGTCTGGTTTTCGTTGTTCTTTCTCTCTTCCACATGAGAAAGGAACAACCTTGCCATGTTTGAGCCTTTTCTAATCAATCCCCGATTCACGATTACCAGGCCCTGTCATCCGATTCCTCAGCGACAACATCCGCCAACTGGGCGGCGATCTTCACAGCCATAACATCTACTGTCGACGATGCACGAGTCGAAAGGCTGGTGGATTCGATCCCGAATTCGGAATCCTACTATGTGCCAACGAGATGAAAGACCAAGGACATCTGGAAGATACCATGGCACACGAGATGGTCCATGCATACGATCACTTGCGATTCAAAGTCAATTGGACCGATAATCTACGACACGCCGCTTGCTCAGAGGTGAGAGGAACAAGCCTGTCAACACATGCAGACCAAATCGCGGCCCAAGGCCCCTTTCACTAACACTTCATATCCTCGCAGATCCGAGCCAGTTCGCTAAGCGGCGAGTGTCGATGGGCGCGCGAGTTCTTCCGTCGAGGCCAGTGGAAACTCACCCAGCAACATCAGGAATGTGTGCGGAGGAGAGCGATTCTGTCCGTTCGCGCACGTCCAACATGTCGCGACGAGGCTCATGCAGAGCAAGTCGTGAACGAAGTGTGGGACAGCTGTTTCCGAGACACGAGGCCATTTGATGAGATTTACCGATGATACCATATTCGCAGCTGCTCTCTTGTGTGCTTCTCCATTTCCCGTGAGTTACGACTGACTCCACTCGCCACTTGTCTACACATCTACACATTGTATTATATCATTCTCACTTGAGAGGTGTATCATAACATGCATTGGCATCCTCGGAAAGTAAATGAATTCAAAGCCCCAAATGTACCATATCGCAAAGTGCTGTTCGCCGCGATGACCTAAACAAGCAAACTCCATAAATGCCCCCAGCCTCAGCGGAACGCCCTGGATGTCGACCAAAAACCTGATAGTGAGACCACACGAAGAACAGACAACACCCAAACTCAACGCCTGTAGCAACACCGTTGTCTCATCGAGAAGAAATAGAATCGCTATGCTTTACCTTCCTTGGAGGAAGAGGCAGATGTGCGCTTGGGGTCTTTCACACAGTGCTTGACAATCCAGGGGTGGCGTTGGATTTCATCCAAGGGAATACGTTTTTCGGGTTCCAGAACAAGGAGCTACAATGGTCTCGTCAGTGAACAGTCACGATGAATGGTGGGAGGTTTCAGAAGTGCAGACTCACCCTCTTGATCAGATCCTTTGCCTCGGGGCTTACGAATGACGGCACAGACATGTCCGCGCGCGTAATGCGACGTTGCGTCATCACAGGCGTATCCTCAAAGGGTGCTTCGCCCACCAAGAACTCGTAGGTCAGAACGCCCAGACTCCAGAGATCAACTTTTTCATTGTAGAAGTTGTCCTGCGAGCCGGACTTCAACATCTCTGGGGGCAAGTAATCGAGAGTCCCACACATCGTTTGGCGACGGTTGTTGGGGGCGTGCACACTCCAGCCAAAGTCGCTAATCTTGATTTCACCGTGAATGCCGACCAGGATATTCTCGGGCTTGATGTCACGATGCATCACATGCTTCTTGTGGAGGTACTTGAGAGCTGCCGCCATTTGCGCAATGTATTGAGCAGCCTTCCACTCCGGGAAGCGGTGCTCTTTGCGCAAGTGCTTGTAAAGTTCGCCGCGGCCAGCGAACTCCAGGATCAGGAAAATGCGCTTGCTGTCATGAAAGTGGCCGTACAGACGTAGCACATTCGGATGACGCAGGTTGCTTTGAATCTCAATTTCACGTCGAACTTGCTTCTGGACACCACCCTGCTGCAGTTCCGACTTGTGGAGAACCTTCAAAGCACAGACAAAGCCTGATGATCGCTCCTTGGCAAGATATACTCGACCAAATTTGCCCTTGCCGAGAGGCTTGCCGATTTCAAACATGCCCAGGTGAAGGGCCTTGGGTTGATCGTAGAGAGGAGTTGCACTGCGCTGGTCGCCGTTCTCATCGGTGTTGCGCGAGACAATCACATTTTGGGAGCTCTTTCCAGGTGATTGAGAGACATTCATAGCATTGTTCTTGTTGTCATTTGTGTTTTGAAGAGCAAGCTTCAATAGTTGCGCGCGTTGAGAATTTGAAGCTGAGCTACCGAGGATCGTAGTAGAGTGAGATGTCTTGAGCGCACGTCAAGTCAGCATGATGATTGTGTCAATTTTTAATTCAAGGTGAGTGGGCTTACCTTGGGTTTTGAGTAAGTGCGGTCATTGCCGGCTTCTTTCTCGTCTTTTACAGTCAGGTGCTCAAAGCGAGCTTCCAATGTTTTGGTCGCCATGACTGTGGACAGTGAGTGAGAGTTCCCAAATGAAACCCAATCTGGCAAAAGTCGTGTGAAAAGCTAGAAACAGATAGAAATAAAGGTTTATCGGGTTGATCCGAGCATATGGTGGTATGGTTGGAGAAAGGTGAGTTGGGCGGAGTGTCGAATGGATGCGGAATCAGATATGGAGAAGAGAGAGCAACCGGCTGTTTGGGTGATCCAGTTGGCCCGTCACCCCAGCAACGTTGTCGGACCGCCTTTTTCTCCGTGCGCCGCGGGGTTATCGCTATCAGTCGATGATGTGCAGATAGACCCCATTCATGTCCCATCAATCTTTGTGACGGCTTGGCCTTGAGCAGTTGATTTTGCCCATGGCTTCAAGATACCCTGTCGGGCCCGTGGGCCATGCGACAGTCTCTCCAGAGGCCAAGAAACCTCAGTCGATAGCGGTGGGCGGCTTTCGCATTTCCACGCAAAAACTCCCCATTCTGAAGGCGGAACCGATTGAGGAAATGACCAAGCAACTGGGCATTGCCCCTCCAGAGATGATCTTTGGTGATAATCATGTCACCATTGAGCATCAAAAGTCAGGATGGGGCATTGACTTCAATGCTTTTGACGCGCTTGATCGGGTCGATAAAACTGGGCAGTCGATGCTGCAGGTCGCGCACTCTAAGGAATGGCAACAGAGCAGGTATACAATCGAAAATAAACCACATGCAAGGTCGCAAAAACCCAGGCTAATCTAAATCATTTTGCGCTAGAGAAAAAACTCACGAAGGAATCAAAGAGGTTGTCAAGCCCTTCGACTGGTCCTACAGCACCGATTACAAGGGCACTTTGAGTCCTAATGCGCCGTCGTTCGAATCGACTGAGAAACCCATTCCCATTGAATTACTGAAACGGCCAGACCCTATTGTGTTCTTCGACGAAGTCGTGCTGTATGAGGACGAGCTTGCAGACAATGGCATCGCGATGTTATCATGCAAGATCCGTGTCATGCCTGCTCGCCTTCTGCTTCTATCTCGCTTTTTCATGCGTCTGGACAACGTCCTGATCCGACTACGGGATACCCGTGTCTATGTGGACTTTGAAACTCGTGAAGTGATTCGGGAGTACCAGGCCAAGGAGTGCGAGTACGAGAAAGTTAGACAGGTAGGATGGACGACAGTGTTGCTGCAATTCGAGGACGTTGTTAACCCCATCTAGATCCTGGCGTCTACTCGCGACGACATTCCAGCCTTGATGCGCGATCCCAACCGGCTTTCTGAGATCCTGCCAGTCGTAGAGAAGAGCTCTGAACGCATCATTCTCGACGGATGAACCTTGGCCGTCTAGACAATCTATCAAAGCTACGGAAAGTAGGAAGCACCAACATGAGTTTCGGCGAGGAAGCACCAACAATTTTGAAAGATATCTGTCAGGTTACAAGCCTAGCAGCCCATGTCGCTGACAATCATCTACAATCAGTGGACGGAATGTCTGTCTTGGCACCGTGTGCGTGAGTCGAGATGGTTCTGCACGCTGATACCCCCTTAAGCGCCAGTGGACGTGGATCTACCTGCCTCTCGCTCGTCTAGGACCTTGGCGCATACAGTCCACGATGTCTGGCATGGGTACAGTGGGATTCGAGGCCATGATTAACACCAAATATTGCTGCTTTTATCCGCGTGGCATCGACGTCGTCAATACCTCAAGCCTGGTCGACGCTCATCTGCGCCTTCTGGATTGTCAATGGGCAACCCCCTTCACAAATCCGAGGCCAGTATTACAACGAAGACTTAGTTCAAGTTACATTTCAACCTCATATAAAGATCCTACATTATGCTCTAGCGGTTCAATCTGAATTTATTTGTCAGGATCTCGCTCAACCTTCGAGTACGATCCATTCTGAAACACCAACCTTACAAAGAATCCCGTCCTTCATCCCACTTGGGTCTCGTTATTCTTCTCGTCAAAGCATATACACAGTGCCGCGATCAACGCTACATCAACACCGGGCGCTACCACAACGTTGTACGTCTGTTGACCAAAGATCAAATCCCGTGAATTGATCATTTTGCGATCGATTCTCGCGACAGGCTGGCCGCTTCGCTCTTCAACAATATCAGCAGAGTGATCGAACCAACCTCCCTTCATCTTCAACGTCACATTTCTGCCGCGTACGTCTGTGAAGGTAGCGGTTGCTTTGGAGCCCATCACTATATGTAGTTTTTATCGGCACAGTCAGTAAGATAATCCCGTCAATCGTTCGCTTCTCTCACTGCGAGGCATGGAGTCAAATTGTCACGGGGAAATGAGGAACGAAAGACTTACGTTTCAACGCGCTCTTCACCTCCGCAATCTTCTTTCCCTTTGGATCCTCCAACGCATAAGTGGTATGCAAATGCAAATGCTCCTTGACAATATCGAAAAGATGCGTTCCCGTCACAGCGTCCGAGACCTTCTTGCGGCCGGAAATCGTCACCCACTTACCCTCGACCTTGAGCAACGGGTGTCCGCGGGCGAGTGTCACTTCGAAGCTATCGCCAGACAAAGACATGATTTTCTCTTTCATTTGAATTACTGAGGTTTCGGGCTTGATGTATTCCGCGTGGATTGCGAGAGGCTCCGCGATGGGCGCGAGAGCATAGCGGCCGTGGTCAGTCATGTTGGGTGGAGGATCAGAATTGAATGTCACACTGAGTTTGGGTAGGGCTTGGATTTGCGAGGTGATCGATTGAATGGCCGAATGAATGATGTATACTTATACTGCTTGTGAATAACGTAATCTTACCAGGGGGCCATGCTTATGACTTACAAGGCTGTGCCCGACGCCCGTGGCTTTTTTGTTCAGTCGGGGGCTTTGGCCGATCTTGCTACTCTTGGCATACGCAGTCGAGAAGTGATGCTCGGCTGAGGAATAACGTAGTGTCGGGTGGCGCTGCTCGTCTGATGCACAATTTTCTAAAATTGCGCACTTTACCAGCGCACCTATTACTATACATTGTCGATATTCATGAGACTGAGCCTGGCAGATGAATCGCTATGTCCGGAGCGACCACTGCTAAGGTTAGGTCTGAATTTTACCATCCTGGGCAGAATACGTCTCACTTCCGGTATGCATTCGAGTAGCGTGTCTGACGCGAGTCAAGTTCAGTAACGAATCGCTCGCAATGCCACACGCACTATGCAGTATGCACCGATGCAGTCATTCTGTAAATCAATGCAAGATGACATAGCCTTCCAAGCTTGGCTGCCTCGAATCAGCCATCTATCTACTTGTGGCAATCTACGATGTTGTACTTGTCTGGAGCATTTGGCGAGGGAACTGAGACATTGAAAAGAAAAGGATTATCTTGGATTGGGAATTGGAGAGTTCTATTACATGGACGTCACAAAAAGCACAGATCGTCACTCATCAGACATCAGAATGGGTTCCAAGCTGGAGCAGGATAATCGTAGCACGGTATACAATTCATGCCACTTGGAACTCGAGAAAAGGAAAACAAAAATCGTTAAAACAGTAAACGCCGGGTTGTGAATATTCCCTGTGAAGGAAGAAGCATGAATTGTCGCCAAGTAACACCGAATAAAACACAAGCAACGAGTGGGAACAAGAGGGAAGAGGAGCGGTAAAAAACTTGCAGTGACCACTCGACCACAGAGTAAAAAGACAAAATGACTAACGGCATCTGAGTGTGACGCCTCAGATCACGTTACTCATGTCCATCACCGAGGGAGGGGCCATGCTAGGGGCAGCACTGTAAATCGAGCGCCCATCCACGGACATGCGGTCACCACTAGTCATCTTGGAAACGCGCTTATCCTTGCCAGGACGAGCGATAAGAACCTGCGCGGGACAGACGACCACTTCGTCGTCGCCTTCGCCAACGTCGTTGCCCTTTTTGACAACGAGGGGGAAGAGCACGATACGCACGACGGCTTGTTGGGCCTCGAGCTCATCGTTTGAGGTAGTCTCGCCACTACGTTCATTCATCAGAGACGCGTTGAAGAAGACTTGGCGAGCCAGGTCGCCATTGGTGTCGTACTCGGGCTGCAGTGGGGGCAGCATGATGAACTCGGCAAGCTGCGTACGCATCTCCAGAGAGAGGTTGACAGCAACACGTAGAACCTTGCGCAAAGACTCTAATAGTTGGGCCTCGACCTGTGACGGGGGTGGAAGCACACGGGATAATGTACTGAAGATCTCCTGGGCGACGGCTTCAGTGTCATTTTGACGCTGGGCTGCGAATGCAGGGCGTTTGGAGAGAAGTGTCAGGGTTGTTGCTCGCCATCGGTGAACAGCACGACGGGGACCAACTTCGCTGAGTTGCTTCTCGAGGGACTTGAGTTTCTGGCGCTGCTCGCGGTCCATGCCAAAGAGGTAGCGGGTGAAGATGTACTCCCACACCATGGTCATGACCACCGACATAAACACATCACGACGGCGAACACGATCGGATAGGTAAGTGTCTGCATCGGAGCCGTCGAGAAGGGCATTGTCAAATCGGTCGGCAATCTTTTCATCCCGGAGCTCGCTCAGAGCACGGCAGCGGCGGTGATCAGAGTATTTGGAGAAGCGAAGGACCCACTGCTGGACATGACCACAGAGCTTCTGGCAGGCAGCGTCAAAGTAATCCTCGTCACGGAATACCAGCGTATCATTCTGAAGAGAAGAGGCAATTTGCTGTTGCAGCTCTTTGACTTTGTCGCGAGCTTCCTCTAGCTCTTCACGAAGACGTCGCAGCTCAGCGTCCTTTTGAGCGAGCGCCGATTCAATCTCTTGTCTGACACGCGCGTCCATTTGCGTGGACAGCGTGTCATGCTGCGACCGTAAGTCTTCCAGTTCTCGTGTGGAGGTCTCGCGAACTTTCATAACCTCATCAGCATGTGCGGCCGCAAGCGCGGCGTTGGAGGCAGTGAGACCTTCATTTTCTTGGGTCAGACGGCTCATCTCCCGTTGCAACCACTCCACAGAGTTCTTGAGCTGCTCCACCTCGGCTTCTCTGTCGCGCAAATCCGCACCGCTGGAGTTGAGAGCGCGATCGCTCTTTCGTCGAGCGACACTGGCATTGCGCAATTTGTCTTCAGCTTCATCGCGAGCTGACATGAGCAAGCGATTTTCCGAGATGAGCTGATCGAGACGAGTCTCCATCTCTTGGAGGTGTTGCATGCTCCGTCGGCGCCGCACACTAGGCGGTCGGCTGGGCGACCGCGGGGAGCTGGGTGTCTCGCCCCATCCCTCCTAAAAAAAGACTTAGTATACACAAACACAACAGTCGGTCGCATAGTGGAAACAGGGCATTGAATGAAAGAACTCGAATTGTCATGAAACACTTACATAGACATCCGACATATTTCGTAAAGGACGTTTGCCCTTGTCGGTGACGGGGTCGTAAGAGGAAGAGGAAGGAAGTTGGGCGAGATCGAGACTGGGCGAAGGCTGGGAAGAGTCTAGCGCTTTGCTAGCGCCCCGCAGATCGCTGCTGGTGCTGCGGTTGGTGCGCCGCAGCTTACCCTTGCTGCTGCTTGGCTTCAACACCGGCATACCCTGTTCGGGGGTTTGAGTAAGGGCAGGACTCGGTTCACCGCCGCTTTGAGTCGCCTTCAAAAGATCATCGAGACTGGGCGATGAACCCAGTCGGTCTTTTTCGGGAGTCGGCCATGCTTCTCTGGCAATAGCATTGTCTGTGAATTTTCGCACAGGTGTGTGAGGCCGGGGGAGAACGTGCTCGGGCTTCATTTCAAGACGGGGAGTCCCGCCACGACCTGGGGCTGGAGTGTGTCCATCGCCTGGCTGCTCCGCAATGGGGTCCAGCGGAGTCCGGGGTCGAGAGTGGGCTTCCTCACGAGGTCCACCGAAGAGGGAACGAGGAGGCGAAGAAGAAGCAGTGGGAGTGGCATCGAACGATTCCTTCGATTCCTCCAAATTCCACATCCGGGGGGTCTGCTGGTGACGTCCACGGATCACTGAGGGCGTTCGGCGCAATCCGCATGGCGATTCCGGCGCATTGTCCATTTGTGATGGCAATAGACGGCGCGGCGACGTCGTATCGAGAACATTCATTGACCGAGAGGGGTCCATCAAAGGAGGTAACTGTTCTGGAGAAGTGCCACCATCTTGAAGTTCAACCTCTTCTGGTAGAGAAGGGACATGTCCTGCGTTTGCCTGTTTTGCAGCGTCTGCAGCGGTCGAGGCTTGGAGCTCGGTTTGAGAATCAACGTCGGGAATTGAATTTAACTTCTCATGCAATTTGGCGGTCGCTTGGGGTGCCTCCGAGACCGAGATCGCTATGTCGCGATCGATTTGTATAGCTGGCACGGTCTCATCCTCGGCTTGGTCTTTTGGCGACAGCACGTCCTTGTCCAAGGCCGACCGACGGAATCCACTGCGCTCAAGCTCAGGGAACAGACTGGCTATCTTTGAGCCACCAGGGGTGGTGGTGCGAGCGGGCGCCTCGGTCTCGAGCTCGGGCTCCTTTGAGGTCTGGATAATTTTCTGAGTATTGTCGCTGTCGGGTTCTAGGGCTCGGTCAGGGTCATTGCCGGAAGCATGACCATCACCTCCAAGCGCTGCTGCCTGCTCCGACTTGCGCTTGTTCTTCTTGGCTTTTTTCTTGTCTTTCTTTGACAGAGTCGGGGGTGAGGGTGAGAGTTCCTCCTGACTCTGTGCCAAGTCCTGCTGCGGCTCTGTCCAAGCTTCTTGCAAGGCTGACGGGATCGCAGATTCGTCGAATTCCTCAATGGTCTCAGCTTCAGGCATAGGGGTCACGTTCTCAGGCTCGGGAGCCCTTTCAATCGATGGTTCATCCTCGTGACCCTGGCCGTCCCCCCATTCAATCACGGGCCATTCTTCGTCGTCTCCCTTCTTCTCCAGCTCAGCCGTTGTGGGAACGTTCTTGGTCTCGTCGCTGATGTCGGTAGCCGGGTGAGGCGCCTGTTGAGTGGCCTGTTCATTGAGAGATATAGTATCCGAAGCACGACTCGCCTGTTCGGCGTTTGTCACTGAGGTGATTTGTGGCAAAGAGGGTATCACCTCAGGCTCAACCTCAACCTCTTGAGCATCGGATGGGGTTTGATAAGATGCATCTGCGGGTCTCCAGTCGGAAACAGGTGGATTTTTTCCAAAGGTATTTTCGGAACCCTGGGACGCAGGATCAGCATCTCGTGTGATATCTTGCGGCTGCTTTTGCTCTTGGAGTTTTGGTTGCTCTGGCTCAGTTGAAGGAGCAGTGGCATCATTGTCCAAGATTCTTGATTGCTCAGCGTCAGTGTCCCCGATTGCCGTGGCTGTAGTGGAACTTGAGGCAACATCATTGGATTTCTGTTCCGATATCTCTGACGCAGTGTTTTTCTTGGCTTTGCGTTTCTGCTTCTTCGACAGTTTCTTTGAAAGGGGTGCATCTTCCGCTTCCACAGACCTCTCTATTAGAGGGTCTTGGACTGGAATAGATTCTTGCAGCAAGTCGGCGTCTGCGATCAATTTTTAGTACGAAGTTTCATGCAGGATCAACTCAGTCGAACGCAATGACTTACTCTTTGCCAAATTGCTTTCGCCAGTGGGAACAATAGATGAATCTTCCGTAGGTGGAATAGCATCACTGCGACTGTAGCCACTCGCAGGCTCTGTTTGTTGGGTCGTGGTGACTTCTGCCTCCTTATGGGGCTCCGTAAGCAGACCAACAGGTTCCGTATTACCGTTCAGGGCCGTTACTTCGGCCAGATTGGATAGATATGGATCGGATACCTTCACGGCTGGCGTGGCTGCGCTTAGGTCTGGGGGAGCCTCATCTGACTGTTGAGGCTCACCGTCAATATTTGCCTCGGCTTGTTTCTTGAGCATGCGTTTCTCTTTCTTCGAGAGTTTACGGTCAAGTGCAGGGTCCGGTGCAGGTGATCCCTGGATCATGGAAGGCTCAATTACCGAGTCTGTGATGGTCGGCTCTTCAGTATGCAGCTTCTCTTGGGTCATTTCATTGACTTGCGGCTCCCTGGATCCCAAGTGTTCAACGGACACTGCTGGTTCATCTGTGACCGACTGGAGTAGTTGCGACTCCTCGACAGCTGCCTCATGGATTTGCGGTTCTTCGAATTCATCTTGCTTCGCTGCAGAATCCACAAGGTAATTGATCACCTCCTGGGAAGCTGGTTCGTGAATTTCAACGTCGGGCCTCTCCAGCATTGGTGCGTCGATCGCCATGTCTTCGGCTGTTCTCTCTTCGGGGACCGTCAACTTGGGTACCGAATCTTCAAAGACGAGCTCCACAGGGGCTTGCTCAGCAGACTTGGCTTCATCGACATTCTGTCTCTCCAAGTCAAGCTCACCAAGAGCTGTCGCTTCAATAACTTCAAAGCCTGACTCATTTTGCGTTTTTTCATTGTCGATCTTGTGTTCCTTCTCGGGGATCTGGACAATCAGTCTAGAGTCAATGGCTTGGGGAGGCTCGTCCTTCGAGTTGTCATCTGGCAATTGGTCAGAGGTTTCCATTTGAGGGACAGGCTCTGCCAGGACCTCAGGCTGAGGCTGTTCAATTGTGCTTGTCTCGGCTTCAAGCGCCGCAGCGGCAGCGGCAGCGGCAGCGGCCAACGCCTTCTTTTCTTTCTTGCTCAACTTCTTCTTCTTAGAAGGAGCCTCCGCTTCCGCTGCTTGCTCACCTGCAGAAGAATGTGCTTCAGCTACTTCTGGAGATCCGCTGGGCTCTGGGACAGCTCGCTCATCTTGGTCAAATGCATCGAGACTCGTATGATCCGCCACGGTATCTTGCGGTTCGTTTCCTTGCGGAGCTGGCGTGGATACAATAGCGGCCTCTGAGATCTCCGGCTGTATCTCCTCATTGGAAGTCGGGTTTATCTCCACGGCTTGCTCGTCTTGTTGTACAGTATCAGTGAAATGCTCATTGGGAGGCTCAGCCGGAATCTCGTCTTGCTTGGCAACTGCATCCTCGCCCTGAGAATGATACAGGAGGGTCGAACCATCAGGCACCACTGGCTGATCATATTCGTGCTTTGAGTTTTCAGATGCCTCCTCCTTTTCATCTTGCTGACTAGGCAAGTCTTCAAAATTCATCTCCTTGTCTGCCTCGATCGATCGTTCGGTCGAGGGTAGCTCCCCAGCTGGTGGCTCGGTCTGGAAAGCGACCTGATCTGTTCCTGGTGGATCTCTGTCCTCATCCGCTGTCTGATTTGTTTGCAATGCCTCAGTGGCTTTGTCATTTTCTTTATCCTCAAGCGCCCGATCTGATGAGTGCATGGGTGCAGCTGTTGAATGTTGCTCAACGACCGGGCTTTGCTCGACTGCTGGGTGTGGAGAGGACTCTTCAATGTGCTCTGGGATAGGTTCAGATTGTGCTTCAGCAACCAAAGACATCGACGGCGTTGTGGGAATAGAGTCTTCGTCCGGGGCTTGGGCCTTATTGTTGTTCTTTTTCTTGTCCTTCTTCTTTTGCTTCTTGGACAATGCAGGCTCTTCGACATGTTCTACCCGTGCAACATCGGCAGCTTGTGTCTCAGCCGGAAGCTCCTCTTCGACAGTGATCGCGGGTTGCGCTTGAGCGCTCTCTTCGCGCACGTTCTCCTCTGTAGACACTGGAGTCTCCGAGTTTAAAGCACCCTCCTCCTTGAACAAGCTCACATCATTCTCCGCAATCTCCCCTTCTCCGGACTGTTGATGCTCGGACTGCTGGGCAAATGAATGAGTGTCCTCGTCTTGCTGCACATCTTCTCTTTTTTCTTCGGCTTCAGTGACCCCCATAATCTCTGGCCGGGCAACCTCATCGAAAGATTCAGCCTCTGGCTGCGGCTGCTCTACCTGCGAAGACAAGAACTCATCAGTCGAAGCCAATTCATTTTCCGGCGTCACGGGCGCTTCCTTGTCGTGGGACTGAAGTTCTTTACCGTCTTTCTCCGCAGGCGAGCTTGCCGTCACGGGCTCAGCAATATCCCGTGATGAAAATTCGGTCTCATCTGGTTGCTTTGATTCATGAGGGGCATATTGAGGTTCCGCAACGGGACTAGAAGGGGGAACGTCGTCAGGATCAAGAGCTTTCGATTGCCGCTTTTTCTCTTTCTTTTTGAGTTTTCGCTTCTCTTTCGCGGTGAGAGAAGGCTCATCGGTCGTTTGCTCCGCAGTTTGCCCAAGCGACTCGACAATTGGTGATGGCTCTTTTAGATGCACATCGGCTTGCTCAGAAGCTGTGGGTTGTTCTGCTACTGCTGCAGAGCTCGTCTCTGGGTCAAGTACATGACTTTCCGATGGCTGCAGAGCTTCATCAGCTTCTTGGACCTCGCCAATCTGATCGATATTGAGCGAATCACTCGTTTGCCCGTCGTTGGCATTGTTTTGGTCCGTCGTCGGCTCCTGAGTCGTCGAAACCATGACGGGCTTCGGTTGAGATTGTTCTGGTCCTACATCAATATCTTTCGCGGGCAAAATTGGAGAAGATGCGTCCTCTCCAGGGTCTGCAGATTTGGATTTCTTCTTCTCTTTTTTCTTCAGTTTGCGACGCTCCTTCGCTGACAAGCCATCGTCGGCTGGAGATTCAGGGAGGGCGTTGTCCAGTCGAGAATGGGCTTCCTCGCTTGTCTTGGGTGAATCATCGACAATATTGGTGGCGTCGCTGACTGTCTCGAGATGATTTTCGCTCTTGGGCGGTTCGGGCTCCTCACCCCCTGGTTCTGGCAATGAATATTCTTTTGGTTCACTGACAGTATCGGGTTGTGCTGTGACGCCCTCGTCTATCACTTCCAGAAGAGGTGGCTCTGCAGAAGGCGATGCTGAGTCCGTTGCAATCGTCCCGAAGGTAGAATCATGACCAGAAACAGTCTCTGAAGCATGAACCTCTGCTACCTTTTCAGCTTCACCGGCTTCTTGGTCAACAGCAGCCTGACCTGTTGTATCATCTTGAGCTTCGCTTGATTCAGCATTGGGAGCTTGCTCCATCTCAAGTTGAGAATCCGCTTGATCACCGGTAGATGCCTCTTCAACCGCCACCGACTTGCGCTTCTTCTTGTCTTTCTTGGCTTTGCGCTTCTGTGCGGCAGTCATTGGCGCTTCTGTCTCTGCTTTCTCAATGGAGTCTTTCGCGTCCTCCCTGTCTTGATCCTGGAGGCTTGCGTCATTTGTGCCAAAACCTTCATGGGGGAGCTCTGTAGTCGTCGTAAACTGGACCTCTGCACTTGACTCGGGTTGCCCAATATCAGCTATGGATTCCGAGAATTCGGTGATTGTGGCCTCGGGTTCGGCGAGAGCGGAGGGTGTTGAATTCTCATTGTTGAGGAGGGGCTCTGTGGTCGTCGTAGGCTGGTCTTCGGCACTTTGCTTGAGTTCGACAATTTCAGCTGCAGGTTCCGAGAATTCAGTGATTGTGGCTTCAGGTTCGGCGGCCGCTGATAGTGCTGAGTCCTCATTGTTGAGAAGGGGTTCGTCAGAAATGACAGGCTTGTCAGAGTAAGTTACCGGGGCATCGTCTGACGAGGTAACTTGGACCGGCTGCGCTGTGACAACATTGGCATCATCACCCAGCTGTAGGTCATCTTCTCCATTGGCCGCCTGAGATTGTGATTCTTCGTCGACAGAAGAGGACTTGCCCTTCTTCTTCTTCTTTTTCTTCTCCTTCTTTGTTGTTGGCGTGACAGCTTCAATTGGTTCAGGTTGTGCTTGGACTTCAGGCTCGGATGGTGGCTCTTTTGCCTCTGGTGCCGAAATTGTATCCGCATCCTCGGGAGCTGTAGGTGAACATGAATCAAGTAAATAAATAGCAGGGTCCGCGTCGCTTGGAGGCTGGGCCGCCGGAGGCTCTGATGAGGCGTTGGGCAAGACACTGTCCTGCTCGCTCTTCTCAATTGGCTCGCTAATTTCAGCCGACTGCGTTGCAGCATCTGTGTCCTCTGGAGGCGAGACATCAGTGGTCTCAACGGTTGGCTCAGCATCGAGCTCAGGAATTGCGGGCTCTTCGGCTGCTGTATCTTTGGCTTCTTCAGTCTGGGCTTCTGCAGGGACATCTGCTGTGACAGCCGGTAGCGTCTCGCCTTGAGAAGCTACTACCTCCGCTGGAACACTGCCTTCAGTAGTTGGGTCTACCTCAGGAACATTCACCTCCGGCGTGGCATTTGCTTCTTCTGTCACCTCAGACTGCTCAATGGGAGGAATGTCACTCGCAGGTGAGTCCTGTTCGTCGGCCTGCAATGACAGCTTCTTTTCCTGCTTATTTTTGTCCTTCTTTGCCTTCTTCTTCTGTGCCGCGGTGAGAGGGACTTCCACCGCAGCTGGAGGCTCCTCCGCGAGAAGAGTCTGAGGTTCCTTATCTTCTAGGGTGGCATCATGAATGAGACTCAAAGGCTCTTCTGAAGAAGCCTCGCCGTTTGTCTTGAGATCCTTCGTACTTTCATCAGTCTCAGCGGCATCTTCTCCGAATATAGGCGCTGCTGCATCCGGAGAGGCCTGAGTTGCATCCTCGGCCATCAGGGTCTCCGTGGGGACATCTTCTTGATGGGCAGGTTCAGATTCATTTGCAGGAGTTTCAGACTGAGACGCGTCTTTGCTCTGTTCGAGAGACTCATGTGCATCAGAAGGGCCGGCAGTATCACTTGTAAAGGGCTCCTCCGGCTGCTCGGATTGCGATTGAGCTCTAGGCTCAACTTCTTGAGAATCCAGAGGATCCGCAGCTTCCGTGAAAGGTGATTCAGGCTCTTTGTTCTCTTGTTGTTGCTTCTTCTTCTTTGCCTTCTTAGCTTTTCTCTTTTCAGCTGCCGTCATTGGGGCTTGAGACTCCTCTGTGGTCTGCGCTGGTCCAGGCAGATCTGCATTGGCAGTTGTCTCAACTGCCGGGTCAATTGTGACACGAGTCTCAGAAGCAACAGTCTCGGGCTCGGGGTTGTGCGCAGAAGCTGAAGGCAGAATATCTTCCTTTGGCTCGTCAGGCATACCAGCACCAACCCGCGTATCCTCGACCGTTCCGGCACCAGTTATCGTATCGTCGAGCGGAGAGGAAGCCTTGCCATCTCTCGGCACCTCACTTGGCCACTCGGGATCAACTGAGGCTTCGACTGGCGCGGCAGGTCCAGCTGGAGTGTCCACTTCTGCAACCAGGTCTTCCTCTTTCGAAGGCTCAACAGTCTCACGTGGATGAAGGGGAGCATCCGCTGCTTCATTTGGCTGCAATTCTGCGCTTTCTGGGTCAACAGACTTGATCTCAAGGTCTGAAGGTGCCTCTGCCTGCTTTTGCTTCTTTTTCTTGTCTTTCTTGGCCTTCTTCTTTTGTGCCGGAGTATGCGGAGTCTCAGCCTCAGGTGCAGCTTTCGACTCCTGGATAATCTCAGCAATGGGCTGATCAGCGATTTCTGCAGCAGGCTCTGTAGGCTGTATGCTTTCTGCGGTCTCTGAAAGATTGACAGGCTCCGTTACCTCCGTGATCTCAATGGGCTCCACAACCTCAGCGAGTTGAGACGCCTTTGCAGGCTCAACAGTCTCGGCCGTTTCGATGACCTCCGTAGTCTCAGTGGCTTCAGTAGGCTCCGTGATCTCAATGGGCTCCACAACCTCAGCGGGTTGGGTCACCTCTGCAGGCTCGAAAATCTCGGTCGGTTCGATGACTTCTGTACTCTCAATCGCTTCGGTAGGCTCCGTGGTCGTAATAGGCCCTGTGGACTCGATTATCTCGGTGGGTTGAGTAGTCTCGCCAGGCTGAGTGGCCTCTGCGGACTCTGTTGTCTCCGCTGGCTGTGCCACCTCCGTCACCTCCGGGACCTGTACAGACTCCGTGGCTTCAGCAGCCTCTGAAGCTGGAGCCATTCCATCGCCAATGACTTCGGTCAAGCCGGTTCGCGTATCCCCAATCGGTTCATCCTCAACTGGGACAGGATCTTCTTTGGTAGCTTCAGCTGCAGGCTCGACAAGGTTCTTTTCCTTGTCTGCAACGGGGACAGGCTCTCCTAGAATATTTTCAGACTGCGTTTCTTCTCCGGTCTGAACAGGCTCCTCGATATCATTCGAAGGCGTTGAGGTTTGTTTCTGCTTCTTTTTCTTGTCCTTCTTAGCCTTCTTCTTCTGCGCTGGTGTAAGCTTGGCTTCGGGTTCGGCGTCGGCGTCGGCGTCAGCCACAGGCTCGGCTTCTGGTTGCGCTTCCGGGTTGACTTCGGGAACAGACTGCTCTTCGGTCTCAAAAGTGGGTTTCGTTGTTTCAGTAGACTCTGCAGCTGGTGCTTCGTCATATTGAGGCACTTCCCGTGTTTCTGATTGTGATTGAGCAACAGGGTCGTCGATGGCTAAGGCGGGTGGTTCTTCCTTCGCAGCTTCGCCTTCAGGTCCTGGTAACGTCCTCTCCTTATCGCTGACAGGAGAAGCCTGGTCTTCTGCCGGGGTCTCAACATTAATCTGCTCCGTGGATACTGCTGGCTCGGTGATTGAGCCTGCATCGGCGGGAGTCTGTTCAGCAGGCACCGTCTCGGAGCCAGTCTCGAGGGACGAAGCAGGAGCGTTCTCATCGACTCCCGCTGACTTCCGCTTTTTCTTGTCTTTCTTTGCCTTCTTTTTTTGGGCGGCGGTCAAGGGAACTTCTTGCTCAGTAGAGGTTTCGTTGATCTTAGGCTCTGCTCTATCAGCGGCGGTGTCGATGGGGACGTCGCTTTGGGGATTCTGGAATTCCTCGACGAATTCAGATGGTGCTGCAATGGAGTCCTGGAGGATTTGGTCATCGGTTTGCTCCACAGGTACAGGTGCATCTTCAGCTTCAATGACACGGTCAACAGTCTGTTCAGACTCGATAGTTTCTGGCCGAGCTTCTTCCGCCTGTGTGCCATCAATAGGACCATCAAGGGCTGTTTCATCGCTCTGTCGGGCAGGATCAGTCGTCTCGGCCTGACCTACCACTTCCTCGGGAAGCAGAGGCGCAAGAGGAACCTCGACGTCTTTTGGCAGCTCTTCAGCAACTTCACTTAAGTCTTGAGACGGTTCAAGCTGATCGGTATCCACAATGTTCTCGATCTGCTCAGCATCACGGGCTGCCGATTCGGCGGGTGTCGTCACAGCCTCATCATATTCGAATGTCTTTTCCGTGTCGAGTTCACTCGCAGGCTGCGGTACGCTGGCCTCGATTTCGGGGACTGCTTCGACTGCTTGGGTATTCGGTTCAAGTGAATCCTGAGAAGGCTTGATTTCCTCAGCCGCGGCTTCGGTTGTCTCAGAAGCAATAGAGTTCTTGCCCTTCTTCTTCGCCGCTTTCTTGGCCTTGCGCTTCTGCGCCGGTGTCAGGTTGCTTTCAGGCTCAACCGTATCCACGGGAGTGTCTTGAGCTGACTCCGGTAGGGTCACAGGATCAATCGTGGCATCGATCGTGGGCTCTGGTACTTCTGTCGTCTCAGCTGGAGCCCGCGCTTCAGGCATCGGTGGGTCTGTTGAGTCAGCTGTTGGATCTGGCAAGTCTGAAGTGATGTCCCGTGAGGGCTCGGCAGGCAACACAGCACTTTCAGACGTGGGAACTTCATTGTTCTCGGGAGTCACAACAGCATTGGCTTCAGGCATCTGACTGCCATTATCGGGTAACTCATTTACTGTTGTGGGCGCAGAAGGTGCGGGCTCAGCAATCGATTGTTCTTCAGGCTCAACGGCAGGTTCGGACTCGACTGCGCTCTGGCCCTTCTTACCCTTCTTCTTCTTTTTCTTCTTTGACGAAGATGCAGTCGACGGCTCTTGGGTCACAACAGTCTCGATCACCGCTGAAGGCTCCTGTTGTAGGCTATTAGGCTCTTGAATTGCCGACTCGGTTGTCGCGGGCTCGAGGGGCTGAGTAACTGTGCCCGTGGTCTCAGGAAGCTGCTCTCCAACGGGATCAGACTCGGGCTTAGACAGTGATTCGATGTTTGGGAGCTTAGAATCGGGCTCCTCGATAGCAGTGCCTGGCTCACCCACGCTCTCCTCGAGACTTCTCTCGTTGCTGTCCTTCGCAGCGACAGCAGCGCTCACCAGGCTAGCAAAGCCGGCAATATGAGGTGCCGTTTCGATCGATCTTTCGGGATCTTGCCTAGGTCGAGGTTCTTCCTGGATGTTCTGCGACACTGCATCACCCGATGTTGAAGCAATCGGCTGGTCGTGATCTTCGACAGCAGCTGACACAGCGGCGTCAGCCACATTGGCGAATCCAACCCCCTCGCTGGATTGATTTGCCTGGGGTGGCTCGACCTCGTCAGTTGTAAGCTGTGGCTCATCGACATCTTTATCTCCGGCGACTGATCCCTCGGCGGAAGGAAGATTCTCCAAAAGTGAAGGTGCGGGTACCTCCGGGAACATCTCCGGATTCTGGAGTAGTTCGGACGGAGAGTGGAATTCGTACGTTGGCTTGCTCTTCTTGACACCCGGAGAGGTACCACCGAAATCGCCAGCAGTAGGCGTAGCTTGCTGCGAGTCCAGCAAATCCCCCTCTACATGATCATTGGCACGAGAAGTCGAAATCGTCAGACTCGGTTTTCGACCCTGCATCATCGAAGGTGCTGTATCATCCCGAGGCTCCCAGCTGTGCATGCCATCATCCTGCAAAGACTGGAGATTATCAAAAGATGGAGATCGAGACGAACTCTTGCTAGATGGAAGAGAGGGCAAGTCTTCACCTGGCTCGACAAGATCGCCCTTTGAAGTGCCGTAGCGGTCGACGAGCCAAAGGGGTCGGATCTCGCGTGATGTCCTGAATTCCACGGAATTAGGCCGGCGGTGTCGTGTCTGGGTTGGTGACGCCGATGTGGGGGAGTCCCTTCCTGTCGCGGAGGGGGGAACAGATACAGCGCGAGACAAGCCGGGCGATGTCGGTGGTCGTCGGAAGTGCAGCGGTACCGCGGTGGGCGACTCCGTGACTGAACGGGCCATGGATGCGCGACGACGTGTAAGTGATTGATCTAGATCACCGGCCATTCGTGGAGACGAGGGTCTACTGTGAGACTTGTGTTCCAGCCCAAGAGCACGCTCAGTACCAGGAGGCGAGGTGGAACGGCTTCTAGGACGCTGATGAAGGACTTTGTCTGCCAATATCATTCCACCTGTGGCAGTGACTGCGCCTGTGATAGCTGCTGCCAGACCTGAGGAGTCACGCTCATTGCGTTCAGTATCGGCTGATAATTCAGGGCTGTCTGCTAACGAAGGCTGTCCGTGGCTGTCTGACTTAAGGTTGGAATTGGAAGTTTCTTCGTCCTGCACATGGAGTAATACCAGAAAAACGCTTAGCATTGATTTCTCTCTCGTGGATTTTAAAAAGGGGAACATTGAGATGGGCAAAATCGAGTCTTGTTCAAAGAAACAAAAGATGTGGTTTGAGAGACAGGGAAGCACTGAAGAACTGAAGGAGAAAAGCATGGGTAACAACAAAACTACATCGCACATAACAGCGTACAACATTGGGGTCACATCACATACAAATAAGTCACAAGGAAAAAAAAATTAGAGGCTATACCTTATCAGAGTCTCGACGCTTGCCGGACTCAACAATGTCGCCATATCTTTGTCGGCGTCGTTCCTCCTTTTCCTGTCGCCGTAGTCTATAGTCTTCCAGGTTTACGTCACCTTTGGTGCTGCCCTCCTGGTCCGAAGCATCGTCCTTCAACTGATCACCACGACTGGAGCTACGGTGCCGAGACGAACGCTTCTTACGGCGGCGTCTCTCATCGTCGACACCGGTTTCGGAGACAGCATCACGGGATGGCTTCTTCTCCAAGGAAGAAGATCGGGAGGACTGGTTAGATCGAGTGCGTTCGCGTTCTTCGGGGGCAGAAACACGAGACCCGAAGAGACTGCGAAGGAAGCTGCCGCTCTTGTCTTTCTCCTTTTCATCCTTGCCATCATTGCTCCGGCGCTTCTCTCGGGTCTCGTCGATTCTGGCAGGAGACGAGCTGACTGAAGCGTTGTCATCGAGATCTCTATCCTTTGATGAGCGATGGCGGTGCTTTCGACGCTCCGACTTTTCAGGGTCGTCGAGGGAGGTAATGGCGGAGCGGGCATCATCATCCACTGAGAACGTGTCACTCTCGCGCTTGGAGCGTCGCCTGCGTCGCTCGGATTTCTCGTCATCATCGTATGAAACAGCAGCGGGGGAAGACACGACCGAGGCAGCATCGTCGTCTCGGTCGCGAGAGGAACGATGTCGATGCTTTCGGCGCTCCGATTTGTCACCGGTATCCGGCAGAGTGACAGCAGATCTCACATCGTCGTCCACAGAGAAATTATCGCTCTCGCGCTTTGAACGATGACGCCGACGCTCAGATTTGTCGGCATCTTCGGTGTAGATGGGCCCGGGTGAAGAGAGATTGGAGGCGGCATCGTCGAAGTCTCTGTCACGCGAGGAGCGTTGGCGGTGTTTGCGACGCGGGGTCTGATCAAGGTCCTCTTGATTCACAGAGACAAAGTCATTGTCATCATCAAGAGGCGCATCGTTCACGGCGGAGTTTGCCTTATCTCGGGAGAATGAAAGATCTTGGTCCTCGCTTCTTCGAGATTCCTTGTGCTCTTCCGTAATTTCGAGCGGCAGAACGATTTTTTGCTCATGCGAGGGAATATAACGGAGCGTCTCGAAGTCGATGCTAGTGCGAGGAGTCTTTTTTGGTTTCTGCTTGGCACTTTCACGTTCCAGCGGCGCAGATACTACCGAGCGCATGTCATCTTTGGGTAGGTCTCGCGACAACTCTCCGTCATCAAAGCCACCAGGCATTGAAAATGCATCATTGTCAGGTGACTCGGCTCGCGAGGCCTTACTCTGAGATTTCTCGGTTGCTTCAGAAGTAGATGGGTGACTTTCAGGCTGCTCCGTGCTGGGGTCGTCCAGGTGCACAAATGTCGACACCTTCTCCGGACGGTCTTCCTCCTCGGGGACTTCTTCAACTGAAGGTTGTCGATCTCGAGATCTGCTCCACTCGCGAGTGCCCCGATCATCTTCTAGATCTCTATGATGGCGTTCTGCCGATGATGTGGTAGGCCATTTCGACCCTCTTGAGTACACACCCTCGTCTTCAGAGCCAGGAGGCGAGGTACGGGTGTGATATTTGGGATCATTGATCACGACTGAGGGGTCGAAGCCCGCGGCTTGCGCGCCCGCGGCGGCAATCGCTGCAAATTCAATGTCGTCACCAAAACCTGACTTGCCGTGTGGATTATCAATCCCTCCAGAAAGCTGTTCTGGGGTCACGAGATCTCTGAACGCTTCTTCAGTGGGCGATTGCGGATCATGTTCTGAAGAGGATGGGATTTCATACTCATGGGTTTGGTGAGGACCCCATGAGACTCGTGATCCCGTAGATGACCGGTCACGCTTTTGTACCGGGTGGGCACTGGGGTCGAAGTCGTCATTATCGTACGTGTCATGTCGTGGTTCAGATCGAGCTTCATACTCGATCTCCCGGTCATACTTGTCGCGGGATTCGCTTTGATTAGGCTCCACTTCCTCTTCGATTGTCTCGATTGAACTGACGGGAATGACTGGTGATTTGCTTTCGCGAGTCGAACCATTGATACTATGAGGTGGCGTGGGGTCGATGAAATGCAAGCGAGGAACAGACCAGGGAAGATCGCGCCCCTCATATGGCTCTCGAGCGAATTGCGGAAGATCACTGCGGGGTTCATCGTTGTTCTTTTCACGTTCAGGCGACGGGACGGCTTCGATCACGCGAGGCTCGACGGGTTCATGTTCGGGAGTATCTCGGCTGTGGTGTTTATTGGGACGAATCTCGTCGGGAGCGAAGAAGTCTGCATAGTCTTCATAGACGGGCTTCGAGTTGGAGGATCTTACGGGCGAGGTTGCGACGTCGTGGTTATCTTCAATCGCTCGATCTTCTTGCTCTTCATCAGATCGCTTGGACCCATAGTATGGCTCCGAAAATTCAGAGCGCGACAGCACAGAGGAATCGCTTCGCCGTTCGGCACGACGCTCGGCCCGGCGATCGTGGCGACGAGAGCTCGTTTCAGAGTAATCATCGTCTTCCTTTCGACGAGAGAAATTCATCGATCCAATCAGAGCACCACCAATAGCTCCAATAGCGGCGGCCTCGGCCCAGGCAGATGAATCAAGATCCTTGTCATGATCTCTTTGACGCCTCTCCTCTTCATCGTAGCCACGTCGATCACGGCGCTCTCGACGTTCTGCCCACTCTCGATCTTTGCGGTCCAGTTCGGCCTCCCGGTCGATGAGTTGCACGGGCTCATCGCGAATATGCTCACGTGGTTCTCGATTGCGGCGGTCGAGTCGTCGCTCGCGCTCGGCCTGCTCCTCGGTCAAATCGAACGTGACGGATGCCTGATCTCGTGCAGTGGATCGACGCTTAGGGGCGGTCATTGAGAACTCTTGCGTTGGGAAGACAGGTGAGGAGTCGCTCCGATGCGGCCTATTACGCAAAGCCAGGCTTTTGTAGCCGCGACTGTCATCATGGGCGTGACCAACATGTCTCAAGCTCTGGGTCTGTCCATGGTACTGCATGTAGTCGTTGGCAAAAATTGGCGGAACACTGGCGGGACTATATGCAGGAATGGACCCGGGAAGCGCGCCGTGGGTGGAATAGACTGCTTGAGAAACTGGTGTGTAGGGCTGGGGTTGCTGAAGAGGAATCGAGCCAGGACGGACCAGTGGAGTCCGACCATCCGACACAACAGAGGGTGAGATGTGGGCAACATCAAAGCGAGTAGGGTCAGAAGTCGGGATCGGATAGACCTGTTGAAGACTTGCCTCGCTCGGAGGACGGCTATCCTGGCGGCGAGCGACAGAAGCGATCGCGGCACTACCCAGGGCGCCGGCTCCAGCTGCTAGAATTGCATCTGTGTGAGACGATTTCTTCTCCTTGTCCTGCTTCTTCTTCTTATCCTTCTTACTACGCCAGCCCCATCTCCAGCCCCCACTGCCGTTCGATTCGGAGCCAGATGAGGTGCTGCTGGCCCCAAATGCCAAAGCCGAGCTAATGCTTGAAGATGAATGTTCTTCGGATTCAGCATCAACCCATTCGTCGTCATCGCCTGATCCAGCAGGACTATGACGAGATTTTCGAGTATCTCTGGCGCTCAGAATCTGACTCTTGTTGCGCCCACTCCGACCATGAGAAGAAGCTGCGAGAGCAGTAGCAGTCGCTCCTAAGCCGAGAAGAGTTGCATTGAGGTCTTTGTCCTTCTTACTCTTCTTGTTCTGTTTTTGCAGCTTGCCGGGCTTCTTGGCAAAACCAGTGCCAAAGGCGAGATCGGCATCAAGCGAGGACGAGGATGAGCCATTGAAGGAGAAAAAACCCTTTGTCTTCTTTGACCTCCGCTTCTGCTTCTCTTTCTTACGGTTCTCCGATGTTGAGGTGAAGAAGGAAGTAAATCCTCCACTGGATTTTGGAGAAGACCGCGACACATCCAGAATAGATGTACTAGATGAGGAATCCTTGCGGCGTCGAGTACGAGCAGGCGAGCGACTTCGGTCTCGATGGTGCGTCGCCAACGCCATGGCTGTGCCGCCGACTGCTGCACCAAGGGCGGCTTCTTTAACAATGGAATGGCGACCGGAACGGGATGAGGATCGGGACTGGGAGTGTGAGCGTGATCGTGAGCGTGATGGAGAATTCCTTCTTCGTCTGTAGTTGCTATCGTAATGACGCTCCCCTGAAGATGAGCGACCAGAACGACGGACTACACCCCGCGAAGTAGAGCTCCTCCGATCTTCCTCGCGATAGTACTGTGAATCACGATACTTTGATTTTTCGCTAGAACGCACACTGTAGGAGTCATCGAACTCCTTTCCTGTGAAGATGGACTTTGCTGCATAGCCCGCAAGCATCCCTGGGAGCCAGGAGGAAGACTTCTTCGATGAGTTCTTTCGACTATTCCGCTCGTCGTCCGAAGATTGGTAGCGGCTGAGTTTGTTGACTCGGGACGAGCCGCTGCTGCTGTAATGATCGGCCGAGTGGCGGCGTGGTCGATAATTGTGCTTGCGCGGAGCATTGACAGAGCTTGTTCCAGGTTCAAAACAGTACTTGCACACGCCGATCGTTTCCGTGTAGTCTTCAAATCGACCAACTCCCTCTGGATCCCGCCAGAAGTCCACGAATTTCGTCAGCGGGTCCTTGTGTCGGTGTTGCATTGCAAGTGAGCTTGCAGGATAGAATCCTGGGCTCTGAACCTCGCACGAAGAATAAGCTCCTGCACCAGCAGCGCCAGCGCCACTCGGGGCCATGGGGTGCCCATGATTTGACCCATGCAGCGCAGCGTGCTCTTGGTGGTAATGCGGTAAATGCGACGAGTGCGTTGGGCTGGAAGAATCATGATGATGACCAATCAGGTAGCCTGCTGCTGCGCCTGCTGCAGCCATCCCTACTCCATTTCCAATGCCATGAGAATGGGAATAGGAATTGGAATGAGACTGGGGCTTCGGAGGTCTGCTTGAGCTTGACTGTCCCTGCTGCGTATTATGGTGTGATTGATAGAAAGAAGCTGAGGAGTGTGTATCATTTTGGTAAGCTGCTGCTGCCTGCGACTCCTCGTGCTCGCCTATCCCATAGCCAACAGCGCCTGCCGCGGCGAGGGCAGCTGCAGTCGGGATCGCGCTTGAAGACTGAGGTCTCGTTAGCTTAGAGGGTATCGAGGGCTTGTCAGGCTTAGGAGGTTTCGATGACGACGCAGCCGGCGGAATGGGTTGCGATGCGCCATGTGGGGTATCATCAGTGAAGTAAGCGGCCGCCGCGCCAACTTGTCCGAGACTACTAGGCTCAGGTGGAGGATTGGCCGACGCAGATGCAGTCATTAAGTGAGTCTGACTGTTTGGAATGACGGAAGGCTGTTGTGGTCGAACACCTGGCTGATCATTCACAGACTGGCCCTGGTCGCCATAGTAGTCTGCCGCGGCTCCTGCTGGGTTGCTGGGCGGGTAATAAGGTTGCGCGGTTCCGGACGGAAACTGACCAGGGAACTGCTGCTGCACATGCGGGTCGTAGGACGGCGAAACCGCGTTTCCGTCCAAAGGATGATCCGCTGAGGTGGTCACAGGGTGATGAGCAGGGCTGGCATACGAGGGAAAGTGTTGCGCCGCCGTATCAACAGGGAATTGGGCACCTGGGGCGCTGGACGGCATGGCGGTGGAAGTGTGCGGCGCATAGTGATCCCCCGAGTACGTGCGACTCCGTTCACGATAATCGCGCTCAGGGTATCGGCGTTGGCGCTCTCGGATCAGCTCTTCTTCATATAGATCGTCTACATTGCGGCGACTGGAGCGCTTTCGATCTCGGTCGCGACTCCCGGAGCGATCGCGATCCCGGCGTCGGCCAGTCTTGCTGTCACGATCACCATCTCTGTGTCTGCGGTTGCCTTCGTGGGTGGTCCGATCGTAGTCATCGATTGGATCGGGCTCGGCAGTGATGTAGGATGATGCGACAGACTCGCCAGCGACACTCACTGGCCCGCGCCGTGAGCCTGTCGAGGCACCCGGATAGGCCGACAGATCACCCAAGCCACGATCACGGTCGTCACCCCGTGAGGACTTGCGGCTTGATGTTGACTTGGAATCGGTCTTGCGACGGACGAGCTTCGACCCGGAGCTGGTTGTGCTGCGGACATCCGAGCTGGACGCCGACCGGCTCCCGCCCAAGAGGGCCTTGAACATTGCGGGCAATGATTCAGAAGAATGCCCCAACGGCACAGACCACCATATGGAGGAGGGGGAGGTGATCAGGAATGTTGGAGGTTTGAAAATTCCCGTTTGAAGGGAGTGAATTGGCCGCGATGCAAGAACGGGCAACGATGACGGAGCGGACAATGAGGAGGTCGGGGGGAGATCGTCTGTGGTGGTAGTAGTGTGGCTGGACCCGATTATTGTTGTTACGGTTTGTTTTGATGGGGGGGGGAGAGAGTTAGTCTTTGGGGTGGTCTACTGGCTCAGTTGTAAACAACGGGAGCTGAACCGTGGAACTTCAGCTCGGAAAGCCCCCGCAGGACTGGATCGAGCCGGACAAATCCACCCCGTGCAAGGGAAACTGTTGCTAAGGTTGCGGTGTTAATACTCGAATGGGTCAGGCTGGTTGCTACCCAGCCGATCGCACTAGTCCCGCCTCGGTCCAAGCTTTTGGGGGGTGGTGGAAAGCCTGGAGGCTGGTCTCGGGAAGTCAGATTAGTCAATGGGGTGCGAACTACGATGATCAGTGGTAGAAGCTCAAAAAGTCCCATCCGGGAATTGGAGCGCAATGTCGTGCGGCGTGATGTCGTGATACCGAGATGACAGGACTTGATGAAATGCGGAGCGTGCAGAAGTCGATCGCACCTTGTTTTCTGCAGGAAGTTTGAAAGGACAAGAAGAAGAGAGAGAGAGAGGCGAGAAATTTTGCTGTTGGGCTTCGGGTGAACAGCTGTCCAACGCCGCCAAGTGGAGCGAATCCAAGTCGCGGTGAAGCCAAGTGCACGTGCCACTCGAGGCGCCAAGAGGGGAAGACATTTCAATGCGAGAAGTTGGACTTGTTCTCGGCTTGCATCGAAGAGACTATTCGGATGACATACAGGTATGACTCCGACGAATGCAAGTCACGATCTCATACGGTGCTCGCAGAAGCCTGTTAGCTCATTTATACTAGTCATCCTTCAGTCTATATTGGGTCCCAATGTAGATCAGTTGTCTTCAAACCTTCACTTCATGTCGTGCAGTTGAGGGTACTCGAGAAGGTACCTGATACTGATATTATTTATTTAACGGTACTCCATAACAAACTCAAGTACTAGTACAAACAATCTTCAAAGCTAGGTTTTACCATCTTGACGACAATTCCATTTTCCTTCCCGATAATGAATGATAACATAGATTGTAACTAACACTGTGGGTCCATAAATGCAAAGCAGATGACTGAATCTTGCAGAATGTACACAACAGTATCACCTCTGACCTGCCCTCATCTCTGACAATGGGAAGTCAGCCCACGGGCATTTATAGTTGAACATCACCCCGGCCCAACAGAATAACTTAGACATTGCTATCCCCGTCCGAACCATCGAAGTCCTTCCCTTACTCTACTCGCATCAACTTCTCCAAACTACATCTCAGCGAATGCTGGAACCAAAGAGGATAGCCTCTCAGTCTCTGTGCAATAGCTCCCGCCACGCCCGGAACCACAACATGACCGCTCTGTCCCGACATCACCTGATCCACCACACTTTCTGCCACCGTTTCCGGGTATAACAGCGGGTTCAAGAATGTATCCTCGGGGGTCAGATTGTCAATCAGTGCGGTCCGAGTGAACCCCTGCGTCACCAACACAGTGCGCACCCGAGGTGCCTGATATCTGGCCTTCAGCTCCACGCCGAGACCCTCGTGGAAGGCAATCGCTGCGGCCTTGGAAGCCGAGTAGTCCACCATGTTGGCTGTCGGGGTGTATCCAGCCTGCGAAGCAACCGTGACCACCATTCCGTGGTTTGAGGAGATCATGTCAGGTAAGAACTCCTGTGCGAGCCAGTAGTGGGAGAGGGTGTTCACGTCGAACATGCGACGAGTGGTCGCCTCCGTTGTGTCCAGGATGGTTTTGCCGGTCAGGATGCCGGCGTTGTTGATCAAGATGGTGGGACGGCCGAACGAGGCTCGAATCTTGGTGGCGGTCTCGGCGATGGCCGCAGGCGAGGTGATATTGCACTCGAAGTAGCGCACGCTGTTGGGCAGCGTGGCTGCGGGTGGATTGACATCCAGAATGGCGACCTTGATCCCTCGAGAGCCGAGGAGCTGCGCGATTCTCTGGCCGATGCCACCGCTGCCACCCGTGAGGACGATGACCTCACGGTTCCAGTCGTAGTGGTCCGTGATTGCATTGTTGACGGTGCGCCGGTCAAACCAGGATGACAGACGGCTGACCACGGCTGTCAGGGCGAGTGCATGGAGCACTCGTAGGAGCTGTGGTCGTCCTTCAAGCAACTCGCGACCCTTGACAGTGTACTGGGCGAGGGCCAAGATGGGTAGCACTTTCCATGGACTGAGCACTGTTCGGTGGAGCAAGTTGGATAGCACATCCACCGTGAAGCCTGGGTGTGATGGGGTTAGCGCCCGTGAAGAAGGACATGGTGAAAGTGTGGGTCCTGGCAAAAAGCAACCGTTCAGGTGCCTTTTTCACGTACTCAGGTAGTAGTAGGGACTAGGGACCACCTGAAATCACAACACTCACCTTCTCGAGACGGCCATTGCTTTCCAGACGAAGGCATATTGAAAGACACACACTGAATAACTATCACCGAGCTAGCAATTACCTTCCAGAGAGTCCATTTCAGACTCTGAGCCAGGGGCTGGCGAGACAAGATACTAATAGTCTGTCTTTGTCTTGGCTACGCTAGACTCAGAACATGGATTTGACGAGGCTTCGAAAGCGGGGAAGCCGAGGTCTTTATGTGGCGTTGTGCACTTCATAATCTCTCGATTGGTCTCTTGCCTTTTATGCTCCGACAGTAGCGAAGAAGCTGTGAGGCTTCGAGTGAGCTGTCAGATGCACATGGCGCATCTGGTCTCGAGTCTCTACTATGAAAGAGTTGACTACTGCTATGTGCGGCAATGTCGCTGGCCGCCGGCACCTGCATTTGCACCTGCAGCGTGCGATCGCTGAGTGAAGGCCAACTGTGCCCAGTCAAGCCCGCCCCTGTCGCGCGTGGCTTCCAGACCCGGAAGGCAGCTCAGTAATGACGTTCCAACGCTTCACTCTATCCGTCCATTCAGGACGACCAGGATCGCCTGCACCAGACTACCGTAGTACATCAGACGACAAGTCCCAGGGATACTTTGATAGCGGACGTATAGGTCATCGAGGCTTTATCTCATTTCTCGTAGTCAACAGTCGTCAGCGGTTTTTTTTCTTGCATAAATTCAGACAAGTAGAAGGACATCGTCCAAATCATGGAACATGACACAGATTCAGGAATGCGCTGCAAAACGATAGGGCATGTGTAGCCGGGTATCTTTCCAAACTCCAAAACAAATGCAAAAACAAACGTTGCAATCGAACAAAACACAGTAGCAGTACAAATTGCCTTCTCCTTTTGACATCCCGCACGATCAGCGGGACGAAATCCCAACAGATGAGAAAGGACGAGGAACTGAGACCGAGTCCTCAAGGCTTTGGGAGGGTTCACGCCTTGTTGGGTCGCTCATTCTCTTGCACATCTGTGAGCGGTAACTCAAGGTCAAACGGGTTACTACGGGTCCTCATGCGCATCTCATAGTCTCTCCGAGGTGCGAGTCTATCAAGTTCGGGGAATCCGGTGAGGTTGACCTTGATCGTGTCCTTTTTGGCGCCGTTGGATGCCGCGTGTAACGAATTGACATGAGCCTCACTGCCAAAGTCTACGGGACGAAGATAGTCGAGCTTGGATTCATCTGATCCATAGTCCGAATGATCAGACATTGTCCAGGGCGTGCGCAGGCAGGTCTGCACTTGATTTCGTGGAGCGCCGGAGCAGCACGGGGGAAGGCCGACCTCATTACCACGAGGACTAGACGGTAAGATTCTCACACTGATTGTCGACTCGTGCTTGGCAGGATCCACAAGTGGAAGTTGATTGAGCGTGGTTTGTAGAGCCATGTTCGGATGCTGAGACGGCAGGACGGCGCCCATGGGGAAAGCTTCGCTATCACGCAGGGCGTGCAGCGTGGTGAGAGAGTCATCGCTCTTGCGCCGTGAAGCCATGCCGAGGCTGCTCAGTAATCCTTGACCCTTTCGTCTTGAACAGAAGATGCAGGCAAGAATGACCAATCCCAGACACACCACTCCCCCGACCACGCACGCGACAATAGCACCTGACGGCATGGCTGGTTTGCTTTCGCTATGTGGACTGTCGGCAAATGTCGACTCTGATGTGACGCCTGCGGCCGATGAGAGAGAAGGCGTAGCCGAAAGAGAGGTGAACGTGACAGGGAACGACATCGGGGTGATCGCGGCGGGCGCGCGACTGAACGTGATCAGCGTGCGTGATCTGAGCTCGGGGTCAAGGGACGTCGTTCCAGGCCTCGAGCTCGCCGTACTCGCAACGCTCATCGTCGAGGTTGACATCGAGGATGTCACGACACTTGGCAAGGGAAGAGGCAAGACAGATGGAGCTCGCGCAGGGTTGTCGCTGAGAGAGGTCATCAAGGTTGCCGTGATCTTGGTGGGCGTGGGATGCGTTTGCTCTGTCAGCGAGGTAGTTGGCACTGGCAGGTGGCTCGGATTTGGAATGTCCGGTGCCCATGTTTGCGTTTGACCTGCGTTTGTTTGATCAGGCTCCGGTTGCGTCGGCCACCCAGTCACTTCTGGCTGAGGCGACGGTCCAGCGTTTGGTGCGAATGGTGAGGATGGTGAGGAGGCTTCCGTCCGTGTCAATCCAACAATGATTATCTGGGTCGAGGTGACCGTGGGACGAACAGTCTCAGTCACAACTGAGGTGACCACCACCGCTGCTCAGCCGGGTTAATCGCCCAGATCCTGTCCTCACACTTGGCTTGGTATGATCACTCACCAGAGGTGATGGGGGAGTGAACCCACTGCCCCGCCGACAAGACACGCAGCATCTCACCACAGCCCGGAGGCCACAGAGATGAATCCACGGATCGGTGACTCTATTTGCACCGGGTGTGATGATGATGCAACGCAAGAGAGATTGAATACGATAACAACAAAATTGCGCAACAATCCAAGGGGCCGTCCCTTGTGATAACAGGTGACTTGACTTCCAGCAGGACCGCCAGCAGAGACAGTCGCCTGATGAATCTCATCCACTGGTCATACACGATATTTTTATTGGATGATCGCTCCCTCGAGTCAGTTTGAAATCTTTGATGTCCTAGAGTCGGTTGTCCCGGTACCTCTCCCTTTGCCGCGAGTCTGCAGTGTGGACTTTTCAATAATCCATGGCTCTGCGGCGTCATGCAGGCTGCATTGTGGGCCAGCCGCAAAGATATAGCAGAACATCACGTCAGACTCGGGCCCCGATCGACTCTTGATCAAAGTTCCTTCATCGGTCGGCCAGCCCAGGTCTCCGCTTCGCAGGGGGTGAGGGGGGGGGGCAGAGGGAGGGTTGTGTCAGGGGGTTAGTCTCTGTTTCACGTCTGGAAGTTGGCGCTTCCTACCAGGTACGACCGATCACAGAGCACATCAGCACACCACGGGGGACCGAGCCATGTGAGCTGTGAACAGTGTGAACCGTCAACCGAGACTAACTCTCCCAGACACAGCGCTTACCCCAGCGATGCCGTTAAGCTTCGCCAGTGGCAGGACGGATGGAGACGGATGGGCTCTCCCGAGCTCCCTTACGGGGCCAATCAGGCCGCATAAGGCTGGCTCCTGGGAGAGTCTCGGCGATGGTCACTGCTGGAGGCTGGAAACAAGTTTGGCAAGGGGGGTTTCTTCATAGGAGAAGTTTCTTCAGGCAATGCGCAGATGAGTGATGGAATCATACATGATTCGAGTCTTTAGGGTGCGATGGAATAATCTGGTTGTCTCTTGAGATGGAGAGATGTCTGAGCAATCTACACGACTACACTCCTACACTTGTGAATCACGGGAACCACGCTAGTACTGAACTTAGCAACTAACTGACAGGTAAGTTAGGTACCTCCTGACTGTTCGAGTTCATAAGTTACCTACTGGGCTAGTAGGTAGCCCTAAGCCTACTAGTACTAGTACTACAGTCTGGAGTCTACCTACAGTTAACACTACTACGACCCAAGGTGCTGGTACTGGTGGTAGTAGTAATGCAATCCTTCTTCAGCGGTACTCATAAACTTGCTGAAGAACTCTTAACCTTCTGCCTAGAGATATTGATCTACAAAGGGGCGCCTGCTAAGACCATGAGGTTGATTGTAGAGCTCACTAGGGTGTCGATCATAGACCCCCGGACTGCCTCAAATCATATGAGAGTGTTCCTTTGGGAATTGAACCGCAGAATGAATATTCAGCATTAAAGTCTCAGTACCTTACTATAGTAGTAGTCAGTAGTTAGTACTTTTACTTACGTTGCGGTTCTCAGGCGGATCGGTCATACTTTTGTATGAAGTCAAGAGTCAAATCCACCTAGCGCGTGGCCCTTTTTTTGAGATCCATCTCACACAGGCCAGCTCCTGATCTGGTTTGTCTCTCACACCCATGGGCTGGGCATTTTTCCTGCCAGCCACTACGATTCCCTCTCGCACAAGTGTATACAAAAATTGACAAATAACGGAGTCTTGGTAGCGTCGGCAATTGTGCACTGTTCAAAATTCCCTGTCGCATTCAACCACACATGAGACGAACTCCTATCAAGCCTGAAAAGGTTCCACACATGTCTGGAGAGTCTCATCATCGTCTGAGACCATCCCCGCTGGTTCGTCCAGACGGAGGATTCGATTCCGAAATTTCGAGTCCTACTACTACGAGTACTGAGAGTAAGGAATTGGTAACTTGGTACATTCGTAGCCAACTTACCAGAGAAGGTTGGTCGTTGCTGGGTGGCCTACAACGCCCACGATAGAAGTGGATGATGGGGTCCAGCCACGCTGCGTTTCACTAGTGCACCAGCTCAAACTTTCTGGACTGAAGCCCTTCTCGCGTACTAGAAGAGCAACTCGTTCTCTTCAATAGAGACCTGTCGAGTCGAAGCAACTTAATCCTTCCACGCCGCAGCAAGAGAATCTTTTGTCTGAGAACCACTCTACATTTCTCGTATCTCAGGTGGTCAAGGGCTGGATGCTGCGATGGCTGCCGAGACGGTCGGGGAGAGAATGCAACGGGTACGAAAGGGTCAAGTACTTTGTCGACGAGTGATGCCCCACAAGCTACATCATCGGCTTGTACCATTGTGTTCGACCACGACCTCTCCTCGTTGACGGTCGGTTCCTGGCAAGCTTGGGTAAGTTACGGACAAGGCACAGGCACCCGGCGCCCGGCACCAGAGCATCAGCACCAGCACCAGCCAGTAACTTTACTTGGCACCGGCCTTTTTGGAATGTGTCGAATCTTACATCCTAGACGGACAGCTCGGACCCTCGCTCTGATTTTCGAGCTGGACGATGGTGTATCTCGTCCGCAACATCGAATATGCAGCAGACGTGTTTCAGTACCACATCCAGATCCGCCCTCTTCTCGTGGGTGTCCGTCATCGCCCACAGAAAAAGCCTCCTGGCCCTCTCCTCCACAATGGGGGTCTCCACTTGACTCGGGCCTGAACGTACATCGGCTGTGCGCTCTGCACAACTTTGCGTTCCTGCAAGTCTCCCGGCGAGCGTTGAACTGCCTACTTTCTGATCTTTCCACTCCTACCAACCTGCGATCAGCGAGATTGTCGAGCCGGGACGTTGATTCCCAGAGGATGCGATTCTTGGACCTCACCCGAGTCCAGACTGCTTGATTACCATGTTCGGATGGGGCCCCGGCCTAGGTAGGTTCATCTCTCATGGTTCCCCTTCCCCTCGAATTGCCCCGCGGTGAAGAAAAGCGTCCCGCTGTCAGTGGCGCCTGGATTGAGCATCGGCATGCGTGCGCGTCCAGGACGAATGCTTTGGAAGCCCATGAATTAGCTTCTCCGGCCTTCATCAGCAACACGCTCTCTCTCTCCTGCTTGTCTCACTTCCAGTTCGATTTGTGGTTTCACGGCTAATCTAACACCCCTTCCTATCGCGCTATCAGCCTTGCCCTCGGCCAGTTCTGAGCCTGAGAAGGAACGCAATCCCCCTTCGAATCCCACTCCGCTAGACTTCCCCGAGTACAATCTCCCCGAGGTGGTCCCCAATGAAGCCGACTCCGCCCTGCCGCACTTGTATGGCATGTTGGCGGGGATCAAGCGACCGCAAGACATCACGCTGGACCGCTTCAAACCGCTGAACGTCCAGGTAGAAACCAACGTGGAGGTCCATCGCATGTTCCCAACAGATCAGACCCGCTCACTCCCTCCATTGCCGTGGGAACTAGGATCAGACAGCCAAAACACATCCTCCAACAAAGAATCCGAAGATGAAGAGGAGGCCACACATCCGACCATGAGCAATGGCTCCCCTTATCCTCCCAAGGAACGTTACGAGACTCTGCGAAGGGAGTTGGCATTGGACAATGAGGATACTTTCCGGGAAGTGGCCCGGTTACCGCCCCGTGAAGGTCGTTCCCGGGTGCGAGTCACTCAAACGAGGAAATTTTGGACGGGATTGGAGCATGTGGCACAATACTGGGACACGAGCTTGGATAACTACTATGAGCGCCCGGTGACACCCCCGTCGACGGCAGCGGGGTACGAGTTCATGGATCCGCTCGACGATTTGGCGGACTTGGGCGAGCCTGGTCCGACCGAGCCTGCCATGGACGTGGATCAGGACGCTGACGGTGATCACACTTCTTCCGACCCTGAGCAGGCCTCTCATCCGTCGGTGAAGAAGTACACAGGTCGACGCGTCGGGGCGGGCAGTGAGATGCCCGATGAGATGCGAGATGAGACGATCCGTGGATTCGTCGAGATGATTGCCTGGCCGTTCGGCTGTCAGGTCACTGCTCCTACGCTGCCACCCCGTCTCACCATTCAGAATTTGCTGTTTCCCGTCCGTCAGTCCTTCTACGCGGCCCGGTCCCCGCGGGATCGCACCGTTGCGCGTAGTGGAATCCTTGAAGGGCCGGTCTTGATCGGTCAATGCCGATCAGAGACCGCCTTCCGAGCACCGGGTGAAGCACCAGGATCCGGACGAGGCGAGTTGTGCGACCTGTTCCGGGAGGTGGGTGGGATGCTGCTCGCCGCTCAGGAACGTGCGCGTGAGGGGGAACTGGAGCAGCGCCCAGGTGAGGGCAAATGGTGGACAACGATACCACGTTTCGGTGGAGCGCCCAATGGCGGGATCCTGGACGACCTCGTCAGAAGTGCACATGGTCTGCCACTGTCCGATTCTATCCTTGAGGAACATGCGACGAAGCCTTCCTCGCCCATGGAGGAACTAGAAGGCTCACGCAAGCGACACAAATTTGAACACCCGTTCATGACCTCTCTTGCTCGTCGCCCCAGTGCCATGCGCAAGATGTCAAGCTCCGAGAAGTGGAAGATTCTCCAACCTGGGCCCAGTCTGTGGGATAGACGAATGCGCTATATGCGTATTGGTAAAGCCAGAGAAAGCCTATACGACGATGTGAGTCCTTTGAGAACCATACGTTTCTCCATGCCAGCTTCGTCTTTGTGTGTGCGTTCTTTGCTAATCCCATGAGTCGTCAGATTTACATGATCTCCGCTATTAACCATCACATCTCCATCCTCCATCTTCGAGTTCATCAACGCTATCTCGACATTCTCACCAACGGTACCAGCAATATTCCTGCCGATTCAGATCCAGATCAGCCCTGGCACGTCCTCAAGTTACAACGGACCAGATGGTACGATCTTCTCAACGGCCCTGATCGCGTGGAAGCACTCCAGAGTGTCTGGACTTTGTTCCACTACCAACTCCGGCCTACTTGATCCAGCACCAGCTCACACAATCCATGACATGAACCTTCTCACGACTCTTTCCTCGTCCTTTTTTCTTTTACTTCTTTCCCGGGCCCTCTATTTCTATGTATCCTGTCAGGGCTTTCTTTTGATTTTGAATATGACGCCTCCTTGAGCGATGCCGATACTCTGTGTTGCTGGGAGACTTGTCAGCGAAGCATGTGTATGTAGATGATGATTTGACTTGATGCCCTTTGTCACTGCGTGGTTTTCATTCCAGTCTCGATTTTTATATTATGAAACTTGCATCTCTCAGCCAGAAGAATTTTGTATTGCTCCTCGAAACCTCGCTTGGGGAACCCTGTGTTTTTTTTTTCCTTTTGTTTCCTTTTTCTTTCGGGTGTCACCCTCGGGTTGTCTGCCGCCCATAACAGAATCAACAATCATCCAAGCCAACAATCTTCGTGATATTCCCCTTCCCTAATCATGCATGTCCGGGGATCATTTGGCCCGGTACCTAGATAGACAACACTATTCACATGTTCAAACATATCGAATCTTGTCCAGAGTACGGCGACTTGCACTCTGTTCCCGTCGCAACAGCAATCACCTTCCAAGCACGGCGACGGGCTCTTTTATTGATCTACGCAGTGGACGTATATGGCACGCCTTCCTTGATAGTCTCGCGCCTTGGCACTGCATCTCCACATCGAGACAGTCATCATCTAGTGCTCGCCCCGTTGTTTATAGCAGCGACAGATCCCTGGCGTAGTTCGCCTTGCCTGTCCAGGATCAGCAGGAGCCTCGCATGAACGGACATGTCTTGCGATCTTACGGCTGGATGTTGGGTCCGACTTATGTGCGGACGCCTTATATCGATTAAATTGCCCGATCTGTTCAATCCGCAGGCACTTTGACTTTCTCGTTAGTACTAAAGTAGCAAAGTTCCAAGTAGGCAAGTCCTACTGCAGAGTGATGCGATCGAACACGGAATACGAACCGAAGGCGTGTCCGCCGGTGGGGGAACTACTAATGCTACTCGATCACTATGTGCCAATACGGACCTCGAGTGGGTAGTATTGTAGGTACGGTACTTTCTGCATGTCTAGACGGGACCCGACGCTCTCTTCGAATCACGATAGAGCCCATCCGATATTAGAGGTGCGATCACAATTCCCATGGGTATATGAGCGATCATAAACGACCCGATGTTCGAAGCCCACACGGTCGCGATAAAGTACGAGGGGTAAGGCAAATCATCGCTTGAAAGGGCAAGTCACGCACTTCTTTTCGAGATCCAAGCGCAGGCTCGGTGGTTCGTAAAGGTCTACTGTAGGACTAGATCCCTAGTTCCCAGGCACAGTTCCTACTGTACATATGGGCTGGGGCGTGTGGAGCCTGTGACATCGCCATCTACGACCCATCTGCAGTTGTGCGAAATAGTCCGTTGCTCTTGTGTCAATGAGACGTGACCTGACTGGAGTTATGGTGAAGGTACATTGGGACTTGGGTGGCCTGGTCGAGATCGGAAATACGTGCTCTTTGCCGTGGGGTGTTTTGGATGGCTCATACATGACTCTTTCACGAGAAAAAAAGGATACCTTGGGAATCAAGCATGACAGGGTCAATCCCCGTCGGTATACGCAGCGGTAAAGCTTCGCTAACGAAGCCAGCCCGAGTCAGGCCCGCGTACAATGCTGTCGAGGCTCATGGAAACAGGTGAGCTCATCGAGGACATTCATCAAGGATCCAGCGCACTAGCTCTGGATCTCGGTTCGAAAACCAACATCCAAAGACCAATGCACAAAGCCACAATACGCAATCGCCAAGGTATATGGACGATACAAGTGCTGCTCGGTGTTGAGTCCAGAACCGTGCCATCCGCCACAGTGGAGTCTCGAGGCCCTTCATGCCCGTGGTCGGGTCGTGATGCCTCGGGGACCTGGGACGGATATAGCCTCCTCCCCGTAACTTACCTTTTCCTTGGGGTCGCTCAGCAGGACCGGCGGTCTGGTAAGGTTAACTACCTACTGCGGGCGGGGGGGGGGGGGGTCTTGGCCGTCGGTGTTTTGCGCAGGGACTACGCAAGTACCTAGTGGATAACGTCGGTACTGAGGAAGGGCTGGACTCGTAGGTTTACCTGGATTTCGGTTGATGATTTGACTATTTATGCGTGTAAAAGTCGGTGGCTTGCGAGTTCAACTTCATGTTGTTAGTCCTACTCCTGGGTATTTACGCAAGCACGGGCTTGCACTTCGGCCCCCTCCCATCTCGGTTAGTTGAATCGTGGGGTGTACGGGAGTCGTCGGCGTCTGCCAGTCTGGTCTTGCGCTTAACGGAACGGAGTGGGGAATGGGGATGCAGTAAAGTGTGAATAGCGAAATGAGCCCCCTCTGTGGATCATTGACTTTCATTAGTCTCCCGTTTTGAATGATGTCAAGGCTGTTTGGCGAGTAATGGAAATCGTATGGCTATCCGAGTTGGCTGCCTTTAGATTGGTCTGGAATATACATACATCGCATGTTGTAATCAGTGATCGCAGATCACACGCTGTACAAGTGTACAGTGGAGTATGTGTACCGTAGATAGGTACTGGATAGTGGATGTCATTGTTGGCTGGATACAGCTTCAATGTACCCTCGAGGTTGTTAAGAATACATGTCTTTTCGGTGACGCCGAGCTGTCTTTGGTAATACAAGCATTTCTGTTTCCGGTTTGCACCCTCCTTGTAGGTTCCATGGAGAGTTGGTGGAAGTGGCAAGTAAGACAAAATGCTAAGCTAAGGTAGCGCGTCCGTCGCTATATATAATTGCAATCAACTTGACTGCCGACCACCTAGGAAGCCGGGTCCCTACAATATCCCTATTTCCTAGCCAAGAACCTAACGCGAACACGCAGGGAGGGACAGAAAGGTCAATCCATAGTCCACACCGAAAGCTGATATCACACGGTGTGGAAATGGCATCAAGATTGGCGACGAGGTAGGCTCAGGCACAGATGGATTTCAATTTGCGAACATTGCATTCGTGCGCACTGAGCAAGACAACCAAAGTTCAGTTCAGGGGCGTGTGCGGGATAAGTCTGTGCTCAGTGCTCACCTGCTTATAATGCAGAATGTGAAGGATGGTATAACAAATCTTGCGTTCCTCCATCACATACGACCACAGGGTGTGGAGAACAGGGCTTCCCGTCCGCTCAGCCGTACTTAAGCCACACGCCGGCCAGTTAGTAGTATGGTGGGTGACCACATGCGAATCCTGGCTGTTGTATGTTTTTGCATTTATTTTGGCGGGACAGATTCTGCTGTCATTGCCCAAAGCACCAGGTGGCTAGGTCGTTCTGGCTCGAAGTTCACGTAGATATCGTCTGCTCTGTTCCATCACAAGAGAATGTCTCTTTTTAATCCTCGACCGGATTGGCAGGTTGTACACAATTTACCCTTGCCTTAAGACGCCGAACATGCTCTGGCTGTTAGCTCGTGCCTACGCGAGATACGGAGACCTTCACGGTTCTAGATCTGTTCGTTGTTTTATCACCCATAACGATGTGTCGTTACCGATAATTACACTCTATTAATTTTTGCGCCGTATATCAAACATCTAGAACCAAAGCCAAGTACATACGACCATAGGGTGTGGAGAACAGGGCTTCCCGTCCGCTCAGCCGTACTTAAGCCACACGCCGGTCAGTTAGTAGTATGGTGGGTGACCACATGCGAATCCTGACTGTTGTATGTTTTTGTGTGTTTTTTGGGATCTGAAAATCTTGATTCTCTCTCATCTTTCTGTCTGTGGTTAGTTGGCGGATATATGATAGCGGCAGATGTGCGGCTATCGCATCGCTTTTCGCATATCGTGACTTGAAAGTGCATCTCTTCGTTTTGACAATGCCTTTACATGGACCAGCTATAACTGCTTAACCTCTGGGTTCCAGCAATTCGACACCACACAATCAAAGTCTCGTCCTGGGTCTGGAGGTCTTCCCGCGAGAGCGCAAGCGTGCATGTATTGGATCGAATGCTGGGTCCAGAGAGCCCCTGCCTCGAGGACGGCATTTTGAGCCGCATCTTAGCCTCTTCTCAATCAAAACACGTCGAGCCAGATCGCTGACCGTGTACCATTGCCCTTGCTTGGACATATTCAAAGCTAGTTGAGAGACTCGAAGAACCTTAAAGTCATCGTCGCCATCAGAACGGCACCCATGGCTCAACCCATCCCGTCTAGACACGGGATGCACAGAAGTGAGGCAATCCCGGACTCTCACTTTCATTCGCCGACAACAGCACCAAATTAAGTTTTTCAATGACAAGGTCTCGGTGAGGTCCAGCGTGCATCGCAAGTGATGCCTCGGAGCTGATCGCTATTTCTCTTCCGATCTCAGGGAATGGTGTCTAATCTACTGGATGATTCTGCGGAGAGAATTAGAGTCCTGCTCAAGTAAGGATTTGTACGGGTGTATGCGACTTCGACAGAATCCACGACCACGTGGGACGTACAGACCCTGCGGTTTTCAGCAACGGCGAATGGCCATCTGACGGTGAACATGCCCACGGTGGTACATAGTTATGTATGATGTAGTATGTAGTATGTACTGTAGAAGTGTAGACTGTAGTCATACCGTACTCCATGATACATGCTCGTGACCAGTCGATCGGACTTTGATCTTGACCGGTGATCTCCAGTATGTGCGGATTTGACATGTCGAATTCTGGCTTGCATGAGAGTGCCGCTGTTGTGGCAACCCAGTGTCAAAAGTACAGTCTGGTGCGGGGCGATCGATGTCACCAAGTCATGTGTGAGAGAATCCACAAACACAGTGCCATGATGCGAAAACTGAACAAGGATCAAAAAAAAGTGGGCATTCGCGCATTGCCCATCGTCAAGTCGTAATGATTTCAATCAAACTGAAGGAGATAGTCATTCTCAGTGAGATGACAAGGGGTATTCGTGCATAGAATCAGATGGAGCTTATCGAAGTGCCACGGACGGGGGGATACGGAACGAGGGTTACTACGGCGTCATACCGTCGGA